TTTGAGGACAAAATGTTTACTTGCTGCCTGATATATCCCACCCACTGATAGGTGCCATAATAATGAGATAATCGGTGTTATTCACTTCACCTGTCAGTGTACATTATGTTATGGCTGATTGGTGTATCTCCCAATTGTTGCACAGATCCTTACACTCACCCGTTTCAGGCTGCGGACGCTGCTGTTGCGGATGGACTCCATCAGCTGGTCGTGGGCTGACCTCATTGGCGTGGATGGCCTGCTGCCCTCCTCCCCTCTCCTCTCCCCCGACACAGGCCTCAGCGCGTTCTTGAGCTCCTTCAGGATGCAGCTTGTCTCGTCTTTCCCCGACTCCTTCGACTTCCCTTTCTTGCCCTTCTTACCTTTTGTCTTTGTCACCTTCTTGCTGCCCGCCTCGTGCGCCTTGATGACCTCCGCAATCATCCTGGTGGGCTTCTTCTCCCGCTGCGGAGGAGGCAGTGGTGGAGGAGGTGGTGGGGGAGGAGGCGGTGGAGGCGGAGGAGGAGGTGGAGCAGGAGGAGTCTGTTTTTTAGGCAGGTCACTTCGGGGAAGTTTGGGTGAGGACCAAGGAGAGGCTCTGGGTGAGTTGTAAGGTGAAGAACGAGGAGTTCCTTTCTAGTGATAGAGGAAGGAAGATGGATAATGGCAAATACATTTTGTGCTGAAAGTTGCAAGTACAAACACTAAGCAGGGTAAAATGTTGACTGTTTGAATGTGGGATGTTTTTATGGGAGTTAGAGTTTAAATTTAAGCATTGAAAGCAGTTGAAGTGTGGGTTGAAGTTAAAGGACTGAAAGGGTTGCAGAGTAAATTGAAGCGTAACGTTTTCAAAGAGTGAAGTTGTCATTTGAAGTGTAAGAGATGAAAGCAGTTGAAGTGTAATCATTTCAAGTTTATTGAAAAGAAAAGAAAAAATGTAGTTGAACTGTTAAAGTTCACCAGAAGCAATGGAAAAGTAAATGGTAAGTAAATAGTTGAAGTGTCAGTTGTGTTGCATTTTAACTGAAAGAAGAGTAAGCACTGAAAGGAAGTGAACTATCAGCTTAGGACTAAGATGTGAAAGCAGTTGAAATGTCATTTGACAAATAAACAGCAGTTGAATTATCAATTGAAGTGTTGCGATGAAAGCAGTTCAAATGTTACATATCATAAGCATATAGCTTGTTAGCTGAAGAACTGTTTATAACAGTTGTGGGGCCTTTGAAAACAATAATGCCGAACAACAGAGAAGCAGAATGCAATTGTCGGCCTGTTGGGGGCACTGTTTATCAGACATGTTCTATAATGGAGCAAAATTACCAGTGCAGTGGTTCTTGGGTTAACTGCTCCCTCTGGCGCCCCCTGTTGGTCCTGCTGCTGCTGCCTCTGCTCCTGCAGCCGTTTCTGTCTCTGGCGGTCCTGGTTCCTGGTGAGGATCCCCGTCATGCTCATCCTGGGACCAGGGAGATTGAACTGGTAGCCCAGCTTGATCAAGGTGCAGTTTTCCCTCAGAATCTTCACCATCTCCATCTCTACCTGTGAGGGGGACGTTTCAGGGAGGGAGACATTGTTGTGTCTACACATTGCACATGCAGGTAGAGAAAGACTGCTAACCAGGCTCCTTAGGGAAGATTTGTTTGATTGAGACATAATGGTAAGTGTAAGACGAGAACTTACCTGTCCTCCACACATGTGTCTCTGGTTGTGGAACCGAAGTTCAGTCAGAGTGTTGTTCCCTGGGAGTGCTTGAACCAGTGCCATCACGCCCTTCCCAGTCACATAGTTGGACTCAATATTCAGGCTGGTGATGGAAGAGTTCTCCCTCAGCATCTTAGCAGTGGCCAGAGCCACATGATCGTCAGCTCGGGTGTTCGCGAGGCTAAAGACCCGTACGTGTGTGTTGGATCTCAGTGCCTCTGCAAATCGGATGAGGGTTTCCTAAGAAGTAAATTAGGAGGACATAGAGAACTTGTCACCACCACCTCCAACACCACATTGAGGATCCCTGAAGACATATAATACTTCAGTAAGGCAGTCCCCCTCTTCCTACTCCACATAATGCTAAAATTAGTCAAATGACCTTCTTAGCTACTACTTGCTATTGAGTGAACCGCAGTACGACTTAAACTTAGCTAAGGGTGCCTACAGAAAACAGAAACCTTGTCAAAGATGTTAATTGAGGTCACCATGTTCATTTTCTAGTCATACAAAGGGTTTGCAAGATGCCTGGTTCTAAAAATAAGCTGGCAGACAATCGAAAGTTAAGTCAGTAATGAGCAGGAGGCTAGCAAGATGGAAGCTAACAAATGTCTAACTTACCAAACGCAAACCACATTTCAAAACTCTTAGAGTTAATCTACTGTTTTGACGAAACAGCAGAACTTGGACCTTTCTCAAGCAGGTTGCATATTCTGAGCTGTTTGATTGTAAGTTATCAGGATAGCACATTTGGGCTGTTTTATTACTGTATTAACTTTAAACAGTATGTGTCTATATTCGTACCTGTGAGATATCTTCAATGTTGTTGAGATTAACCTCTGTGAGTTCAGAGTCATCGCTAAGAACTCGTTGGAGGGCGTCATCGACGACGGTTGGGTTTCCGGTCATGTTTGGGTCGACAGGTGGAGGGGGAGGAGTCAGTCTGATAGGCTCCACCCTCTGCAGCTTCAGTAGCATTGGGGCATTGACCTGTGACGTCAGCGCCCCAGAATCCTTTGAGAGTTCGGGTTTTAAGTTATCTTCCTCCTCTTCGTCTTCTTCCTCCTCCGTAACCGCTTCCTCCTCTTCCTCACTCTCCTCTTCTTCCTCTTCCTCCTCCTCTTCTTCTTCTTCCTCCTCCTCCTCCTCCTCTTCCTCCTCCTCGTCCTCCTTTTGTGTTTCATGCTTTTTCTGTTCTTTCTCATTTTCAACATCTTTTTCATCCTCTGCTCCACTGTTTTCTTCTGTCACACACTCCTCTTGTTCTTCATCCTGTATTGAAAGGCAATACTGTAATCATCAGTATTTGTTTTCTTACATAATATGTATATTGTCAAGCTAAATAAACGCAGATGGTTTTAAAGATTGTTATATTTTGTCTTTCTATTAGTATTTCAAATGACTTCTGACTTTTAGCTTTATTAGGTAATCTGTCTTGAGTTCTATCTGATACAACTTCAAACAAGCTGGCTTTGCCTCTGGCACATTGTACAAATGCCAAGTAAATCTAATTAAGTGTCATCACTGACCGGTTTGGGGCTTCCTCCACCTATCTCGTCCTCCAGCAGTCTACGAGTCTCATTTTCCCAATACTTCATGAGGGCCTCTCTGCTGAAGGTGCCTGTCGGGGTCTTGTCAGTCTGGTCTCTCTGTCTGAGTCCTATGGGCACATTGGCGTCTGGATCAATGTCTGCCAGCTCCTTCTCCAACTCAGCCAGCTCTTCAGGGCTGAGGGAGGCCAAAAGCTCGTCCTCGTCGACATCTTCGTACTTACTCAGCTCTCGACGGTACCCGAAACAGCTCATGGCCAAAGCGTGATTAGCACAGACCAGTCAGTGTGAGTTTAAACTACCACAGAAAGACCAGTTGTTGAGTTGACATGTAATTCAGTCTGGACCCCAAAATGAAGTAGCCGTGTGGGTATAGAGGTTCCAACAAAAGGCAAGGTGGCTGGAGATCCACGGACATAAGGGGTCATTGGAAATTCAGAGTCCAGTCGAGGTGATCCTTGCCAGGCGAAGGTGTTTGAACGTTCTGGGTCCAGTCAAAATGTGCTTCTGATGAAACCCCTTTCCAGTCTGAACCAGATCTCTCCTGGCCAGTCGTGTTGCTGTGAGTCTGTGTGTGTGTCGGTGTCCTCTCCTCTCTAATCTCACCAGCTGCTGTTTAGGCCTTAAGAGAGGGATCAGAGGGGGAACGTACTAAAGTGTGGACCCCATGATGCAGCGTCTTTTTTGGGAGGCACTGCTCTGAGAGACAGAGCCACAAAAAGCATGTGAGCTCAGAGACTGTGGCCTGTCAACGTAGCAGTCTGTCACCACGGCCTGAGTGGCTTTGTTCATGGCCAAAAAAGACCAACTGGACCCAACAGAACAGAACAAGAAAGATAAACAGAGATAATGTTTGGCCCGCAAAACGCCACGGCTCACTGCATATCCGTCAGCAAAGAGGTGTCAGCAGATCCTCCGTTGTTACAGTTGATCTGTTTTTAACATAGCAGAGTTACATATGTAGCTTTTCTGTTTGATTTTTAGTTTTTTACCCTGATTCCTATTTTTAGCCTTGCCAGCAGAATGGTTCTAGGGATGGTAATGGTCTGTCAGTCACCCCCATTACTTTGGTTCAGACAGAAATATCTTAACTTCCACATGAATTGCCATGACATTTTGTAACAACATTCACGGTCCCCAGGGGATCAAACCCACTGCCTTTGGTGCCCCTGACTTGACATTCCCATCAGCCTCAGATTGACTTTAAGTTTAAAATTTTAGCATGCACCAGAAGATTAACTGCCTTTCATAAGTATTTAGCTTAAAGAAAGGCCTCTCAGAGCTGCTACCATGGCTGTAGACTCTTGTTTAAATGCCCTCACCTTATTTGACCTTTCAAATTGATAACAGTGTGGATCAGAATGACGTCAATAGTCTAATATAAATCAGGTTGCCAAGAAAAACATAGTTGTTACATCACAGGATTTGTTTTGTAAAGTAGCTTGACGTCACTAGTAAGTCGATCATTTGGTGTTTTTATTTTTCTCTTTTTCAAAATTTTGGTCGAGAGCAGATTTGGAAGTTATAGAATGCAAACCTGCTGTGACACACTACCACGTACAAACACATGAATAGCTCATCATCAGCGTCATCACTCCAAATCTTTCAGTCTGTCTCAGAGAACATAATGAAAACACAGGAATTATGCTGATATTATGGAGGGGTTTTAAACAGCTCAGAGCTCTGTTTATTCTAATCTGCTGTTGAGTGATAGGTTGTGGTTACACTCAGAATGACTTTATTAACACATAAAGAGAACAAAAACACTTTGAATTGCTGCTTTGGTGATTTAATTCCACTTTAGTCAGTAAGCTCCAAGATACAGATCTAAACACAGGTTACAAAAGTGTATTTTTTTTTTATATCATGGTTTATTACAAAAAAACAAAACACACTAACAAATTCATGTTATATAAGTTAAGTAAGTTAAGTAACAATACTATAATGATTTTCCTTTTCAAACCCCATATTGACTATACACAATGTGTACACTTGAAGCCGGCACAAAGTGAGAATAATGTTGTCCACCCACACAGGTGTTTCCACTTAACCTGCCTGATTGGACCTCTTCTCAGGACCGTGTGGGCGTGTGCATTGTGCTTGATCGCGCTCGGTTGCACCTTTTAGGGCAGGAAAACTTAGACTGAAGTCATTCTGATGAGTTGCTGTGGTTTGGCAACCTCATACAAGTCCCTGCCCTTACATGCACTTATCCTTGACCTGAGGTCTAATCAGCAAGAAGTGAAAACACCTGTGTTGTGAGACGTCAAACACATTTGCAATGTAGTCTAGAATACAAGCATTAATGATATTGTATTAGACAGGAACAGAAAGAGACCGCTATGGCAACACAGTCAACCACACAAGCTGATACTATGCAAAACTTAGGAAATTAAATAGAAAAGAGAGTTTAAGAGAAAATATATTCCCATTTGGTGTATTTTAAAAGAGTGACTTGTGCATTTTCTTTTGTGTTTCAATCACACAGAGTCAAATGAAATGTGTTTCACGTCAGCGAGAGGTCACCATACAGGTCGTAGTCTCTGTAGGTCACATAGTTCTTCAGTCTTGGAGGAAAGGGGATGTCAGCCATGGCTTTAGGGTCATTCAGCATCCTGAGGCTCATGTGACCTCTGATTATTAGTCGACACAAGTGCTGCAGAGACCTTGGCCTGCCTGGGGGTGCACAAAGACACATATAACTTTTAGTTACTTAAAACTTCCTCAACATAATAGATCTCTTTTTTGAAATACAAAATAATGGATCTGATGTTTTACTCATTATGCCCAAAATCTCATCCCACTCTGGCCTCCTCTTTAGGATGCGTTTGAGCTTGGGACAGATGTTGACAAGGCTGACATAGTCCAGGAGCATCCTTACAACACTGCCAACCAGATGTGTCAGCCACGACACAGATACAAACTCACAGAACTGAAGAGAGAAAGAAAAATCAGGAATGGGATTTATTGTCTATGTTGTGTTACTGGCTCATTGATAGGTGGATCTTTCGCGTGGTGAACTGACTGCTGTCTTTGTGCGAGTCTAAATTTGCTCTTACTGTGATGGCGTTAGGTTGGCTGTAAATCTGGTAGGCTTGGTTATGGAGTTCAGTCCAGGTGCTATCCATTTCTACACCGTCACCATGGCAACACTGGAAACACCTGCCAGAGACGGTGTCGCACAGATAAAATGTTAAAATGTGCAGTTTTATAAATGGCCTTTTAGTACAATTTCAGTGTTTGCATTACTACACATGCAGTGCCGACAATGGAGGAGAGTGAGAGATAGTTGGCTGAGATATGGCTATAAGTGGCTACCACATCTGGACCACCTGTGGACCATAATTCCTTGCTGTGATGTGGATTTCTAATATGTTAGAAAAAGCTGGTAGATGTACTTGTAAGCGTGATATCCATTGTTGAGCAGTAGTCTCATCATGACGGGGTCCCTCAGGCTGTACTGCAGGGCTGTGGGGAACAGTGTGTTGCTGATCGCTCTAAAATAACAATTCACCTCTGCACCGTAGGACAGCAACAGCTGCACCAGCTCATACCTGGAAATGGCCAGACAGAGGGACGTCATAAATTATCAATAATAATGGATTATCCTAAATGAGGATACACGCACCTCTCTGCGCGTATTGCAACCAGGATGCATCGCAGTGGGTCCAGGTCAGTCCTTGCTCCAGCAGCCAGCAACATCTCGGCACAGGTTACATCACCATTGGAAACGGCAAAGTACAGAGGAGACTTCCTAAGGTCGCTGTAGTTCTCTGCAACAAGATTTATATTGGAGCAGCTTAGAAGATGCATTATGACTATAAATTATTGTTGCATGATTTAATAGAAAAGATGATGCACTTTGAAGGAATATGCCAGTGGTCTAAATGTAGTTTAACTTGTTTTCCACAATAAGCACTCATAAAACAACATAACAATATTGCTATTTTGAAGTCCCTGGTTTCCATTTATTACTCTACAGCGGAATAAATCAATATACAGACATTTTAATCGTCCTTGAGGTAGGTAAACCACCACAGTGATTAATTATTCATGTTTATCCTTTGGTCGGAGTTACTACTAAGGTACTGATGTCGCCAGCAGTGACCTCTCTAAACTTGTCATCTGTGGTGCATTTAGGGACTCTATGATCAGAGAAACTTGATGAAACTTAATATGTTTTTTTGAGCAAGCGTGTATGGGAGAGAGTTTACCAGAGATGTGCGTGTCTAGCAAGGCATTGACATCGTATCCCTTCTGGATTAGCAGCTCCAGACACTCAACCTGTCCCCCATCAGCTGCTGAGTGGACCGGGTCCTGGCCTGAGAGACGGATAGCTCTCTTTGTGGTGATGGGGATGAGAGTCCTCAGGGCTCTACACAGAGAGAGATAGAGAGAAAGAGAGAGAGAGATGGGGGTGAGGGCCAACAGGAAGAGAGTGAGGGACAGAAACAGTGAAAAACAAATGCGAAAAGAACAAAACAGGACATAGAGAAAAATGTTCATTAGATTGTGGTTTGTGCCACAGTGTTATTTGGTGACGGCACTGAAAAACAGTGATAAACAGAAGGCTCTTTGTGAAAATGACTACAGTGAAAACACTGCAGAGCTGTGAGGTGCAGAGAGAGAGACATGTTCCAGTCTACAGTTTCATCAATTTGGCTGCAGAATAGGACAAAAAGGAATGTTAATTTGTCTTCAGTCATTTCTTTCTTTCTGGAACTGGCTTATCGTTTAAAACTCTGATATTCTCAAGCTCCTAGCATGAGAATACAGTCTCAATTAGTGTGTCAGGGTGATTGGGTGCTCTTTTGCATCGCCACAGCTTCAGCACATGAATGTAAGCTCACAGTATGTGTCCCTCATATGCGGCCCTGTGGATGGGCAGCTGGCAGGCGTAGCTGGCCACATTCGGGTTGGCTCCGTGCTCCAGGAGCAGCTCGATGCAGTCCAGGTTTCCAGATCCAGCTGCATCATACAGGACTGTGTCTCCATTTCTGGCCTGGGCATTCACGTCACCACCTAGTGGAGCAAAGGGAAAATACAACACGGTCTGACGAGTGAGAAAAACTGTTTGTGTGGTATTACTCAACATATAAACATGACGTGACGTGAAGCACTAAACACTGTGTATTTTAGTGCTTTACCATGCTGTATGAGTATATCTAAAGCTTCGGCGTTGCCATGCTCAGCTGCAATCCCCAGAGGAGTCACCCCATGACCGTCTCTGGCAGTTACTTTGGCTCCGTGTCGCAGCAGCAGCATCAGAATAGCTGGACAACCCACCTGGTGCGAGAGACAAGAAGCAAGGGCATAGAGAAGGAAGGAAAGATGGTAGAGATGAAGGGAGGATAAAGTGTGACATTTAAGGCCTAGATGTTTAGTTTTGATTCGATGCCACTATCGATGCCGCTCTGTTCACCTTTGCAGCTTCATGCATGGCCGTCCACTTAGTGAGACACACCTGCTCCACAAAGGCCCCACTCATGATGAGGGATAAAACCATGTTGTATGATTTCTGTCTCACTGCTGTAAGGCGTAGAAAACACAAGATTATACGGTAAAAAATCACACTAATGAATGATTTATTATTAAAAAATTGACTAGGCTAATGCTTAAAGTAGTTACTGAGGTTTGCACTTAGTAACAGTGTTGCTTTGAGTTAAACGCTAACGTCAGCAGGTATAAAGTTGACCATGTTCACGGTCGTAGATTAGCATGTTAGCTACTATTTGATAATCAGCACTGAACACAAAGTAGGCTAAATATAGAATTTAAAAAAAAGACATACTAACATTTGTAACTGCAAGATTCATGTACTTAATTAGGGATAAGTGAGTGAGTCACTGACTGTGTGTGTGTTGATTTTGTGTGTGCACTACCAATCAGCAGAGGAGACTCGTTCCTGCTGTTGGTGTTGTGTGGTGAGGTTCCATGCTGCAGCAGCATCTTGACGTTTTCCAGCAGGCCGGCCTCTGCTGCCAGAGTCAGAGACGTGTCCCCGTCCCCTGTCTGCTCCTCCAGGGTCAGGTCTGTGGACGTCAACACTGCTGCAAAAACACCAATAAGATTTGTTTTAGATCTAAGTAAATGGTTTCATCGAACTGCAGATGACTTTACACGCAGCCTGTCAGTGGCACTGAGCTCTCACCCTGCAGCACCGCATGCAAGACGTCTTGCCGCGGCTGCGCAGCTGCTGCGTGCAGAGGCAGCCGGCCCCTGCTGTCGCTCTCTCTGAAGGCAGACACACCTGACAGCTCCTGCAGAGCATACACATCACCTGTGGAGAAACCACCAAGACTCACACTGGGGAAACATCTGTATTACAGAATGACTGGTGCTCCTGCCTTATGCAACTTTGCTTAACATTTCACTTTACACCACATGCACATATTCTTGTGCTAAAACAATGATAGCTAAATAGGAACCTTACCTTTGTGAATGGCTTCCATTATCTTCGTAAAGTCTTCACTGTTTGGTTCCTTCCTAATAAATCAAAGAAGAACAAATTAAGGTTTTTGGGGTTTTTTTTAGGTAGTCCCACCCAAACCCTTTGAGTGAAAGCATTTTGGATATAAGGGGCAGGTTGTACTCTCTCATACCTGTTTGTTTTAGAATATGGCAGCTTGTAGGCATCTTGGAGGCTCTCTTGAAGGGCAAACTCAATCAGTTCCTCATTTATGCCTTCCTGCTCATCCATATCCATTTCTATATCAAAGGACACGACGACAAGCATGTGTTTCCCTGTTAACACTCTTGACTGATTCTTCCATCTTAATTGTTTATTGTCATAAAAATAGCCCAAAATTGAGTTACACATGCGGCTAACTGAAAACATGTTAAAGTCACATCTGTCTGTACTTTGTCCACGACTGCAGGCATGCAACTTGTTTATCAGCAAAGGGCTGCTGGCACAGTATCGCCCCTGTTCAGGCTTGACATGGTGTCATATGCAAGTACATTAGTATAAATCTGTTATATCTGAGATGGTGCCACAGAATTAATGAATTTCATGTTAGTCACATCAATCTGTCTCACCTGTTGATCTGAATAGGCGCCCTCGAGCACTCCAGCTTTTGCAAGCCCGTGTGTGTTTTTTGTTTTGCTGGGTCCTAAGCTGTCTGGGTTATATTTAGCTGTGACCTGCCACAGCCGACCTGACTCAGCTCACAGTGTCACGTTTTCACTTCCAACTCCAGTGAACAAAGTACTCCCTGATTGCTACGCTCATTCAAATGAGGTAATTTAGTCATATGTAAACAAAACACGTTACATGTTTGTTAGCATGACACTTCATTTGCAGAGCATTACACGTACATAATAAGCTTACTGTTGTTCGTATTATATTCCCACATCCCACACCAACAGTTATCTCAAAGGTTAATAATCATTTGTGATACGTCTGCTTCTTTTTCCCCCCTTTTCCCCTGAATATCCTCCATTGGGATTGGTATTGATGTGATAATGGAAATCAATAATCAGTCTCAGAATATTATGCAACTTTACTTTCTGCACATCTACAAACTCACTCAACCAATTAAATTGAGCAAATTGAGTAAATAAGCCAAAAGTTAGACACATTTTTTTTTATCAAATAGAAGCAAAGATAGTGGCTGAAAATCTCAATTCCCCCCCCCTCCCCCTCCCCAACACTAGAAAAATCATCGTCTTATTTTCACTTTCTAAACAACAGCTTGGGGAATAACCTTGACATATTCTAAGCGAAATATTAGAGAACAAGCGCCCACTTTCTCCTGATGAACAAATTGATACGTGGGAGTTTATGGAAAAAGTCTCAGACGGCGTCAGTGTGTGACACAGTGACTCAGCCTGTAGGCGGCCTCTCTCTACCACGTCAAAAGACTTCACCAATCTGTCTGGAGTGAAAGCAGACTGCCAGCCCATCCTCAAGTTTCACTACACGCTTGGACATCTCACATACACATATACACACACACACACATACACACACATATACACACACACACACACACACACACACACACACACACACACAACAATGAGCTCTGTCTTTGAACTGGAAACACTTAATTTCATGCACTGGATTTGAGCAGCCGCGGATTTTAGCTCCATATGAGGAAGAAAGTAAGTAGTAGAATTTCATTTTGTTCTGTTTTCTTACACAGATTGTTGGTCTAATTTTGTGTTGTAAAATTGTATAGACTCATATACTGAAGCAGACATATCTTATTGTTTAATTCTTACTTGTGTTTTGCTTGTTAAATAGCAGAATATCTCTATTTTCACATTTTTTATATATTCTTTGTGAATTGTTAGCTTTATTCTTGCAGTGAAGGACAATTGATGACACAGGATCTCACTGTGTTATTTGATTTCTGGAAACTGTTAATTCATTTTTCAACAGTAAAAGAAATACACAAACTGTTAACTGTAGGTATAAATAGTCAAATTAAATAATATTCTGGTAGTATTTACTAATGGATGAAAAATAAAAGTAATGTAATAAAAGTCATAAAAGTCATAATGAAGAATACTTCCTGTCCAGAGTTGCATTATTGTTGCATTAAGTAAGGGATATTTTAATGTGTTAAGAGATCTGCAGTAAAAGGGGAGTAAAGTAAGGAGACACAAGGATACACTTTGCTTTCACTCAATATATTGAATGAGGAAGATTAGCACGTGCTCTCCCAGAAATCCAACTGCACATTCAATTCATTCTGCTGTGAGAAAATATCTTTTACAAGAATGAAAATTCCTTTGAAATAAACACATTCCTGCCTGTCACAGTGGCAACTTTGAACTCTGTTGATTCATCGTGTGTGAGCTTATTGTGTGTTTTGCATTTAGTCATTACTGCTGCCACATAAATGTTCTTCTTGGTCCTTTACTGTAATGGTGCGAATGGTGGTAAAAAGCATCTGGTTTAGGGCTGCAACTAACAGTTATTTTCACTGTCGATACATTACATTATTTTGTTAATGAATTGTTCATGTTGAATAAATCTGAAAGAATTACATTCACAATTTCAGGGAGTCCAGGGTGATGTCTTCAGTTGGCTTTTATTGTCTCACTAACAGTCAAAAATCAAGATATTCAATTTACTGTCAGAAGCGACAAAGACAAGAGAAACAGAAATTTGTAGTTACAAAAAAAAAACAATATCCAGCATATGGAAAACGTGACATCAAACCAATGTGAAGACTAACTTACATGAATAAATTGTAATTTTGAAAGAAATTCTCCAAAGTCCTTCATAACAAAGTAAAACCACCATATTATAAACATTGGATCCTCATTCATTTCTGAAATTTATCATGCTCTGTTTTTTAAAGGAATATATAACATGTCAGTTCTGCATGCTCAGAACGTATCAGGAGATTAACTAGACAACAAGCCTTTAAAGAAAGCTGGAATATCAATAACAATAATTTACATAAAAGATTTGTATTTAGCAGGATATGTATATGTATACGTATGCGTGTATATGGAAGTCAACAGGAAAGCCACCTTGCCTGGTATCAGAAAATGGGTGTGCAGAAAGTGATTGTGCTTCCTATACATATCATGATACCCTTGAGCAAGGCACTGTGGGTGTCGGTGTGGTTTCACTGGTCAGCTTCCAGGTCCAAACGTATAACTGGATTCAGTTAAATCAGGTTATATACCTTCCGCATAAATAAGTATCAGTTAAACAGTCGTGTTGTAACTTTTCATTGTTCTACTATAATGAACATAGTTTAATATAAAAACACTGTATTTTGCTAATATGTTTGACCTTTTTTGTCCTCAGATCTTGAAAGCACCTTGTCTCCTCTTGAGTCTGTTCACAAGTTTAAATCTCTGCTCCGGAAAATTTGGAACACCCATAACTGATGATGTGAGCAAGCTGTCGTTACTGGTGAGACTACCGAGCTGCTACAGATGTCACATTTATATACTGCGTTCATATTTGTGTCAAATGATCTCCTTATCACGTGTATATGTTTTGTATGTTGAGAAATGAGAATCCTGTATCACTGATATTATGTTGCAAAAATCTTTCTCTGTCTTGCAATTGTAGAAGCAGAATATCCCTTCTGATTATGAGATTCCTGTTAATTACATTCCCAAAGAAGTGGTATGTATGAAGACATGAAAGCAGTAATAAAACAGTCAAATACTCATGAGTGATTTAATATTAAATTGAACAATGGATGCTGAATGATGAACTGTTTTTGTACCTGCATCTCCAGGCTGGCACATGCTGGGTGGTGTTAAATATCTATCCTTTGGAGCAAAGTCTTCGGAAGTTGGCCAACATGTTCGGTGCCGTGTCGTCCAACAAAGAAAACATAGTTGTCTTCATTGCCATGCTGAAGAGTTTACGCTTCACCTTTGACCACGAGGAACTGGTAAGCAATCAGCAACTATTTTGCGTTGCAGTAGATGAGATATTCATGTTATAATTGCACCATTGCCATAATGTGCAATGGGTTTTGGAGAATCAGCCTTAATGAAGCATATTTTACATCATGAGCTCATCCCAACAAGCTTTGCAGATCGAGTAAAAGGACAAATATGAAACATGGATAGTGTAATTTTAGGGAGAAGTACGTAATACTTTGGACATTGGGCTGTTTTGCACATTTAATCACATAATCGAGTCATTTCAGGATTGTTTGTTGTTGTCTAATCCCCCAGGAAACAGCGATGCAACTCTTCCAGTGTCACTATCAGGAAGGGAGCTTAATGTCTGGTCTTTACTTTAACTACATCAAAGACGTCTTACATGCTGCCTCTCAAGGAACATCCGGCTTCTCATGCAAGCCGCCACCATGCCTTAATCCACAAACACCAGGTACATCATTCATTTACATTTTTCATTTTTAATGCATGCGTCAAAAACTAAAGCAGCTTAGTAGCTTATTACTGGGCAGATATATTGATTTGGGGTCAAAGACACACAGCTGGGGAATCGGATATGTAACCTTCAACACACAGCCAATGCAGGTAATTAAAGGAATTATATGATCAAAAGCTGGATTGAAAGCAAGTCTCATACCTGCTAAGTAAGTTTTTAAGCCACTTGACATCTCAAAAGGGAACCAAAGTGAGCAACCACTGCACAAGAGTCTGTAACTAAGCTTGAATCCCATCAGAATCCTCTCTACCAGTTCAATAGATAAACATCAGGAGGATCTATCTTCCGACTATCAGATTTCTAAGTTGTAACTGTAGTCAGTAAAATAATATTTCCTTCTTCCAGAAGGTCCGGAATACAGCTGGTCAAAGAGAACTCCCTTGATGCTGGCTCTCATACCCTTCACAGCTTGTGTTGTTATCCTGGTGTGGCTGGTAAGTGAGCAGCTCGCTCGTTGTGGATTAACATGAAAATGGTTTTCAAATAATCTACATGAAGATTTACATACAGGGAACACAGGAACATACAAAGAGTAATTGTTTTATTACCTAAAAAAGCAATATTTGAACAGGTCATAATTGTTCAACTAGCACCATCATCAGGTCTGAAATTTTAATACTTCCAATACTTTAATTTATTAATAATTATCTGCAAAGCTAATGACATTCCCACCGAACTCAGCTGCACTTTGTATTTAGTGCTAATTAGAAAATGCTACCTTAACAATATACTCCATATTCATTAAACAGGGTTATTAATATTACTTTACAAAAAATATTATTAATATTAGTTAATGTTAATACAGTAAAACTTTTACATGTTCGCATGTTGATATTAGCATTTAGCTCACCGCCTCCCCACTAACATGGTTTAGCTGTAGGCAGTTTCCCCACCAATGTAAAAGCTCCCTTTTTGTTCCTCTAATGCTGGTACTGGAATACAGTTATCACACTATTCAGGCAGATAATTGAATGTATGCATAAAAGGTCAAAAGGCATGAATAGCTTCTATACCACAATGAGAACTTATTGCAATTTCTAAAACCCGCTCTCTTGTATACAGTGAATAAATTATAGCAGTTCACTCACGTCCATCTAAAATAAAATGTTCTTTGTGGTAAGTTTTCCATCAACTATCTTTTCCTTCCTTTTCCTCTCTACGGGTTAATAATAAAGCCCACAAGATAATGTGCCTTCATTTGAGCACTTCCAAGAAGCCAATTCTTGTTGCTCATCAAATATTCAGTAGTACTTTGAGGCTCCGTTATTACCTAATGTATGATGTCCGCTTTGGAGATTTATCATCCGTCATTTGTTCATCACAGAAAACAGGATAGAAAAACACAGTTCAGGCAGGAGTGTGATTTTCTATCTTTCTTTTTTTTATTTTTAGGCGAAGTCTGGAAGGCGTTTACCGGTCTGCAACTCTGAAAATAGCCAAATGGCACCTCCTGACATGATCCCAACTGTGTCTATCTCCATCCCACTTCAAACACTCACCCACACTGCTGAAACTCAGCCAGTGGGGGAGGCGATCCCTGAACATGAGAGTGGATGAAGCATGACTAATAGCAAAACAAACACACAAAAAAAAGGGAAATCTGGACCGCAGCATAACAACTCACTCTCCAGGTTGATCAGTTATCTGCAGGAGCCTGCTGGATAAACGAGTGCGCTCCGACACTCTTCCTCTGCTTTCACTCATCTGAGTGCATGGACCTGAGCTACGAGAGAAAACTCACCTGCTGTGAAGGCGGGCAGTATCACAAAATTCCCCAGGCACTTCTAGCACTTAAACATCCAAAGAGGTTGTTTGGGACCAGAGGAAGAACTCTCTACACAATGGCTGGTTGTCTGCCAAAATGGCTGGTGAAGCACATTAATTGTCTTGGCTTGGCTTCGGCCTTCTCTAAGAAAGTTAATTTTTTTCTTTTTTTTACATTCCTGCCACTCTGAACTGTTGCCATTCAGGGTGTTGCCGTGGTCCAGTTTTGAGCTGCAATCAAACGTATCGCCAGATCAAATCAAAATGATGTCACACTGTTTGGAGGACATCATTTCATTCTGAGACGGGGCTCCTGTCAGCAATGTGTCGGCTGTGTCCTAGTGGACACAGAGACTGTCCTTTCACTGCTGTACTGTCAACACACTGAACCCCAATCTGCTCCTGTATTCTGACTTCGACTGTAATGCATTAACGGTATATGCAAATAAGTGCATTCCAAATCAAATATTGCCTTTTAATAACACAACTGCATCAGAAGTAAAGGGCCGATTGAAGAAGCTGCATTTGATCTATTGCAGCTTGTCTTGTACTTGTTGTTGACATTATTCTGATCTGTGATCTGCCACAAGCTGCCAACCTGCTAGTCACAAACAACACGCTGAGCAGTTCAACAAGCGTCCTACTTTGTGTATCAAAGATCTGACCAGATGGCAGATAGCCATCGCCAGAGGCACTTTGAATCCCGTCATTGTATTTCAAAGCTGTTGCCCAGTGATCTATAGCTGCTGCTCAGGCCCCAGTGAGTGTGTTAGAGTTTTTAATGCCTTATTCACTGAGTCAATCATGTTCAGTCATGAGAACATGACTCCCCGAGTGTGAGCGCTCTTGTGCTGTATGTGTCAGAGAGAGGGAGCGAGAGACAGGACAGGCAGGACGAGGGATAGTGAGGGAGATAGGGATAGATAGATGGATGGACGGATGAGCTCAGTGAGAAGCATAAGGAGGGCTTGTTCTCGTCACAAAAGAACTGGCCGTAGGCTGGAGGAAATACCAGTTACAAACACGACTGATGTCGGCAGATCCCTATGAATCAACAGGCGAAGAATCTTTCCCGACCGCAGGCTATGTGGCCTGATCTACAGAGGATTGTTAGTATATTATAATGATTTACTTCCAAAACACCTTGTGAAATATGGAAAGACATGCCTATAGTAAAATAAGGTCTTCAACCTATGTCTTTCTGGGGACCAATTTGTATAATCTTTCATATTTTAGTTTTATTTTGTGAACATGAGTATTTGTGTTGTATGTGAGATGTTTAAGTTATTTTTTTCTTTTTTACAAGATCAACCACTTACAAAATATAATAAACTTTTTATATAATTGTAATTGTAAAAATTTAGCAATTCATCATGAATGTTCGAGGGGTGGACAAAATACTGTGAAAAAGCATAACTTTAAAGTAACCAAACTATTATTGCAAAGTGCTCTACAGCAGTGGGTCATATAGTTGTATGCCAGTAGCTATATTTGTCATCCCTCTATATTCATGTATATTGTATATCTCATTATTAGTTTCAAATTCTGATCACTATTTCTCTTTGTTGTGATTATTTCCAAGACTTCAAGTTTTTGTTTTCCTGTCTCTTGTTTTTCTTCTTATCTGTCTCATCTTTAATGATTCACATATAAAAGTGCTGATTGTCTTTTATATCTGGCTTATTGGCATTTAAATGACTACCATATGGCCCACATTTGTAGCACTTCAAAGTCATTTGGTCAATCTACTTTTTAACTAAATGTTGTATGAAGTGGAAACATTATTTTGTCCACCCCCTGCACATGGCCCATGAGCAAAACCATGCTGTTAATATTATATGTATATTCTGATACTATTTGTCAGCAATGTAAAAACTATCATCTTATTAATGTTGTAGTAACACTATACAAAACACATACATACACAAAAGACATGAGGTTCACTTAACATGGACAAAATTTCATTTCAAAGAGACAAAAATTCACTGACTGGGGTTTTAATGTTTTATTTTTGTCATTGCCATGGTTACTGATTGCACAAATAACAATAGCACAAATAAAATGTTTTTGTGATTAAACTTGTAATAATAAAACTGCATTTGTGGTTGTTGTGCATCACAAGCTGTGCTTTGTAACTCCTTTTATGTTTTAATTTGACAGCTGTTTTATATATTCTTTTATTTAGACATTTAGACAGACTGATTACACAATTATAAACGTCTTCAACAGGACGAAAATGTTATTTAAAACATCATAAACAAGGTCATAATTCATGCTGTTGTGTAGGTTTTGCTCCTTGCCAGCAAATTAAAAAGACTTTTATTTTATAGAGAAATATCCGCCGGAAACAGTCGGACTTTTGTTTTGGAAAGCCGCTACCGAGCGGTCGCCATTATTCTTCCTGGCTTGACGGTCGGGAGAAAGACGGTTTAATACTTTTAAACATTATAACAGGGGCTCAACTGCAGCATTGTCGACCTCCCGGGCACTCTGTGGATTGACTCATGAATTAGCGACCCACCCAGAGCGCAGCATGGAGAAACGCTCCGATACCACAGGTAAGTTGCTAAGCTAGCGCTAACAAGCTAACAGGCTAACTGCCGCCGAGCACGGAGGTCAGACAACGAGACGCTACGAGGGACATCTGTTGCACTAAAACTGACCGCTGGCGTTTAATCTCAGGCCGACGTGCGTGTTGGGAAGTCTTTCGGGTTATCTTGGAGATGTTTGGAGGGTAGCTAGCTATCGAGATTTAGCGGGGGATTGTCCAGGCTGCTCGATTTAAAAAAAAAAAAAAAAAACCATCCTCCGCCTCCGGATGTCCCGATCGGCCGCTGCTTTGTGTAATATCGTACAATGGTGATTCCCATAAGTCACAGTTAGCTCTACACGGCCGACACTATCTAAAAGTTTTAATCTGCCTCGGCTGTAGTTTGGCGCTCATTCTCTTCACGATTGCACACGCACACGCGCAAACGTGCACACTTTCGTCCCCTCTGCAGCTTATCTGACTGCAGCTGGTAAAGTCTGTAAAGTCTGCTGTTTGCACCGCAGCGCCCCCTACAGCAGCCTGTGGACCCCCCCACCCATCTACAGCAGCCTGTGTTTTACAAACCCAATAACACATCAGAAGTTCAAAGTAGAAATAAGTAAAAACTATTATGGGTATATGTGTTCATGCAGCCTTTTTACTCAGTTTAGTGGAGAGATGCAGCTGCAAGCATGTGAAACCATATTTAGTGCATACTCGGGTTTGACAGTAAGAAGACGATATAAGGACTGATTCAGTAAAAGATTTATAAAACAGTGACAAAAACATCAAACGTGTCAACATGAAACTTGTTTCAAACACAAGCCGAAGCCTAACTGTATGTTGTGTTCTGCACAGGTGTTGGAGGTGCCCTTCCCCTGGCCTCCCTTCGCTTAATGGCCTCCCCTCTGCAGCTGACGTACTCCTACATATGGCAGGTCATACGGCAGAGAAACGTGAAGTTGTACGGGAAAGTGGAGGAGTTTGTCACCATGGTGACGCAGACCGTTCCTGAGCTCATGAGTTTCAAGCAGACGGCCCAGCTCCTCTTGGGGTTGAGAGCAAGGGTGAGAGTTTATCATCTACTGTGTGTGCGCATCTGATAGCAGGCTGTAGTTGTGTAGACTGTATCCAAGCAGGGAATTTAACTGGATGGAGATTTTTTAAAACTAATCAGTGATCCATACTTGCAAGGGTCGGAGCACGGTTTTTAAAGCAGTACAAAACTGCATCAGACAGCTGCCACATGCCTCCATCACACTGAGTCCGTGATCTGTGCTCTCCAGGCTTCCACATTGGCGTTCATTTCTTCCTCAAGATTAGTGAACATCAAAGTGGTGGTGTGGTGATGAGCTCCATATGTTTCCTGGTAGAAATGGCAGATGGATCACATAGAACAAAAAGAGCTCTTGAAGTAGCCTCTGTGCCTGTATCTGTGAAATGAGTTGTCAACCTCATTTGCTTAGCGGAATTTGTATCTTTAATATTGTGTTTGAGGAAAAGAAGAAGTGATTATCTTGACACAATCAGCATGTCCAAAATACATAATCCTTATTACAAAAGCAAATAACTGCAATGCTACTTTATGTTGTTTTGTTTTGATTTATGTTTATCATATGTCTATAATCCCTGTCTTTTCATGTACTGTAGATCATTTTGGATTTGCTTCACAAAGATGGCCCACCGGATTCTAGGGCTATACAAACTCTCATAAATAAGTTGAAGGTCTCTGCATCTACAGGGGTAAGACTTGGATCTTTCTTTTCCTGCGAAACACACAGTTATACCCTCTTGAAGCTAGAATCCTAATACATGAATTAAAGCGGAGTTAACAATATTTCCTGTGTTACAGAAGGATTCAGAAGTGGAGAAATCTCAAACAAACTTCATGGTGCTCGTCCAGAGTCTCCTCAAAAATCCAGCTGAAAGGAAGCGCTTCTTCCAGGTATCCACATCAGTCTTAATGTGTTTTTAGATAGTGTTTGGTTGTCAGCACAAAAGTATATTTGAAATACACACTCGCAGCTCATTTAGATGTGGTAACAGACGCTTTGTGTCTGTACTTGAATATGACGACCTTTTGTCGCTTCTAACATGGTCGGTATAACCAATCTCACAGCCAGCTGCTGTCATTAACCTGTATTGTTGTTTATGTTGTTTGATGACGTTGTGATCATAAACTAATTATCTTTATCAGCTTGCCAATGAAATCTGGTCAACATAGTGTTAATTAGAGCAATGAGATTTCACACTTCCATTGTCTGCCAGCGGAAACAGTAAAATGTGTAAATGAGAACAACTGTACTGTAAAGTCGGAAATAAAACAGTGCACATGGAGATTTAACAGAATAAAATGAATATATTTCTCCATTTGAACAGTTTTTTTGAGTTTACAATTTCAAAGCCCCGATGCTGTTTCAGTCATATATTTCTCTCTCTGCAGGAAGTGTTCCCTGTTCAATACGGCACAAAGTTCGATACAGCTCTGCAGGCTCTGGTTGCAGGTCTTGTTTGCAAACTGGAGCAACTTCTTCCTGTTCCCAATCTCTCCCAGGTATGCACACATACTGTCATTGCATTTCGACATTTGCCCTGGGGCAGTGATAGCAAGCTGGGCTACTGGTTGACCCTGATTCAGTAGCAAAATGGTTGCGCAAGGCACAGGGTTCCTCTCAGCTCCACAGGTGTTCTGTAGTTGAACAGACTAAAAATTGTTTTTCTGTAGGTTATCAGTAAAAGTCATAGAAAAAATGTCATACTTCTCTAGATGCTTCAAGCCTTTTAGAATTAAATGCATCAAAAAGTTTTACTTGTATCTATTTACCAATTATTTGTTGCTCTAAATACATAAAACAATGTAAGAATTCAGTGTCTCTTTAATTAGACTAATGTCAGACATTTAACACAATATAATTGGAGAAATTCTAAAACATTTCAGGATCTGGATTACGGTTTATATATAGATATATATATATATATATATATATATATATACATATATATATATACATATATATGTATATATACATATAGTTTTTTTTCTGTTACAAGAAGCCTTTTAAAATTTCAGACATAAAAATGTGATCCAACCTAAAATTAAAAATGAAATCTATACTGCAAAGTTATTCATTACTTCCATTCCCTGCCTTTCCACCTCAGCTTGGTACCATGATCTCAACCGAGTCCAATGTCCTGGAGGCGTGTGGGGGCTTGATCCCTGAGTCCAGGGACCTCAAGACTCTCCTCCTGCACCAGCAGGCCAAGGGCCTCCTTGGTGTTAAAGGTATACTTTAGGTTGTTTGTACGAACATATAATGAAACATGATGAAAACTTAAATAATATTAAATTAAAAAAATTCAGCGTATTTGACAAAGTCTTCTCCATTTGTGCAGCAACTATCTCGTCCTCGGTGGGTGACTGTGTGCTCTCTTCACTCGCCTTCCGGCCCAAACCAGTAGAGCCGCCTGCACCACCAGAATCACCAAAGCGTTTAGAGGTCACTTTGAACGAAACAAGCCCAACCTCCTTCAGCGACACTGAGGACTTGGGGTTGATGTCCGATGACTCCGATGGCGCAGCAGCCCCTGCTACTAGATCCCAGAGAAGAGGGCAGCACAGTCATAAAACCACTGATGGCAGTGCCGCAAAGCAAAAGAGTGTCACAACAACAGCTCACACTGAGAATTTGGTGCAAGAGAAGAGTAGCGCACAGCAACAGCCTGCCACACCTCTAGAGCGCAGAGAGGAAGATGGGACACTGGCAGGGCCACAGAAGCCAGAAGTACAGCGGGAGCTTCACTTGAAGTCAATCCCCTTCAGGGTAGTTCAAATGCCAATCAAAACCCCTTCCACCGTACAGAATGCAGGCAGTGCAGGACCAAAAGACGGCCAAAAGCCCCAGACTCAGCGAGTCACATTGCATCAGTGGGTGTCGCAGATTGCCACTAACTCGCTCTCGCTCCCAGCCCTGCCGCCACTTCCTCCAGCCAGGTTTAGCTCAGGGGACGACATGAAGCCAAGCATAAGAAGAAAAAAGCAAATCAGGCCTCCGGCTGACAGATTCACGTGTTCCGTGTGCGATAAGAGCTTCCCGTATCAGTCCAAGCTAATGGACCACGAGCGCATTCATACAGGAGAGAAGCCGTTCATTTGCACCGCTTGCAACAAAAGCTTCAGAACGCAGGCGTTCCTCAACAACCACCTGAAGACCCACAGCACGGTTCGCCCTTACGCCTGTGGCCAGTGCGGCAAGTGTTTCACCAAACTTCAGAGCTTGACGAAGCACATGCTGGCCCACAGCGGCCAAAAGCCCTTCTACTGCAACATCTGCAACAAGGGCTTCACACAGTCCACCTATTTCAAAAGACACATGGAGTGCCACACAAGCCAGATGACGTTCCCCTGCAAGCACTGCAGCAAGAGCTTCCCGACGGCTTTCAAGCTGTCCAACCACGAGCGCTGGCACACCAGAGATCGCCCTCACATGTGCGAGCGTTGTGGGAAGAGATTCCTCGTGCCCAGCTTGTTGAAGAGACACATGGGCTACCACATTGGCGACCGTCAGTATCTCTGCTCCCAGTGCGGAAAGACCTTTGTCTACTTGTCTGACCTGAAGAGGCACCAGCAGGACCACGTGCCCAAAGCTAAGATCCCGTGCCCTGTTTGCCAAAAGAAGTTCTCTAGCAAGTACTGCCTGAGGGTTCACCTGAGGATCCACACCAGAGAGAGACCCTACCGGTGCTCCATATGCGACAAGAGCTTCACCCAGGTCGGGAATCTGAAGGTCCACATCAGGTTGCACACCAACGAGCGACCTTTCAGCTGCGACGTGTGCGGGAAGACCTACAAGCTGGCGTCCCACCTGAACGTCCACAAAAGGACTCACACGTGCAAGAAGCCCTGGACGTGCGAAACGTGCGGGAAGGGATTCTCCGTCCCCGGCCTTCTTAAGAAGCACGAGCAGTTGCATACAAGGGACGCTAATCCTGACTTCTCCGTTAAACGGAGACACAGGGGTAAGCACAAGAAGCACTCCCTCAAGAGGAAGTACGACGAGGAAGACGAGGGTAGTGATGATTATTAATCAAAGAAACATGTTTTATAACTAGAGGGGCAGTCCTCCGCCAAGGTGTGTTAGTTTGAGGTGGCTGTTTAGGCTTATGTTTGGTCATGGCACACCATTGACTTTAATTACGACGGGTTCACATATGCACAACAAGTGCAGTTCATTTTGCCATAGACACAAGTGTTACAATTGACCTACCTACGAAAAATAATTCACATATCCGCTCCAGGATTTTTATCCACAAATTGGCCCATGCTTCACGCTTCCACCACGTTCCATTAAAATGGGGCCAGTAGTTCTTCCATAATCCTGCTGACGGACGAACAGCACCCAAAACATAACCTCCTTGGCGGGGGGTAATAAAAAAGGATGCTCTTATCAGTTTCAAGGCTGACCACTGTTATAATTAAAATTGGCTGATTCAGAAAACTACTACATAAGTGAGCCTTTAAACCATGTAAAGGTGTCAAGTGTTTTCGATGTTTGTTACCTTGTGAAGGTGATCAAATCACCATGATGGTTTGGGTCGTGAAAACAGATTTTGAATGATGTTTGGATAATTTTTTTTCCTAATCACTGAGTTTAAAGAGTGCTAATTTGAGTTATAATGGGTATTTGCTGGTGGCCATGCCAGCCAGAGCATCTGAACTAATAAAGACCAGTGTTTCACTGCACATCAGTGCTGTTTTACATATGACTAGATGATGTGACGAAATTAATTTAGGTAAGAGTTACTGTAAGCTGTCACATTTTGAGATAAAAAAAAAAAGGTAGCAATACAACTTTTTTAAAATCCTTTTCTGATCTTTGTGTGAGTTGTAAATAGTTGGTAATAATTTTCAGTACAAAAAAAAAAAAAACCTATGATGGTGTAAAATAAATATTATTTTCCAAACATTGTGCTTTTCAGGACGCTCCCTGAATATAGCCAGCATCTGAGAGAAGGGCATCATGTAAACAATACAGTGAAAGTATTTCAATGCATGTGACTGTAGATAATCTGTCTTCTATTGTAATAAAATGGTGTAGTGTCACTAGGAAACATTTTAAGTTACTGTATGCTTGTTGAAAGTGTAGTGAATTAAAACTACTTTTACCACACTTTTTTTTTATGTAACCTTGACCTGTAAACATAACTCTTGCTTTTGTTTTAGAGTGAAAATAGGGTGATTAGTTTAGTAGGATTTCACCAGCAGTAGACGCTGTTTGTTGCTCTAGTGTTGAATTAACACATTGAGAAAACATTGAGAACTTAAATGTACATGGACATGTATAGTAAACATGTAAATGTGTGATGAGGTGCTCGTGTTTCCCATTACCTTTCCTATTGTGAACATCGGTGTATATAAGGCGGTAATATGTGTATTTTTTTGTTTTGCAGAAAAATAAAAACATATAACAAAGTGCTGTTGTCTTATTGGTTTGTTATCTTGTGTAGTTTACTGTACCTCGACTGCAGTCTACATAAAACTGCTCATTAACCCCGAAATAGGACATAAACGGGTTCGTGTTAAGTCAAGCTGTAAGAATATATAACCATGAAAAGTAGACGTAGTTCTCTCACTAGTGGCCCATAAGCTGGCCCGGTTCAGCACGCCTTCGTCCCGCTACTCGAGCCAAGCATTCAAGCCCATCTCCACGGTTCTGGGTACCGCCGCTGTCTCCGCCCTCAGCCGAGCTGTATCTAGGCAACGGTCGTCTTGATTGGCTCAAATAACGTGACGTCATTGAGAGACAAGGGGAAGGCGCGTCATTTTATGCAGATATATTGAATAAAAAATACACTTTTATGTTAAAACTCATGTATTTATGTAACAATAATATTACAGATAGATAACGCTATTGTTTGTGGTAGATTATTGTTAATAACAGGGACATCGGTGCATCTGGATTTACACTTTATTGCCTGTACCGATTCTTTAAGTTATATTTCTCTTACAGATACACCCGCCTTCATACCTTGAGATCACCCTCAGCTTTCTACTCGGTTCAAGTAGAAGATTTTGCTTCTAGCTAAAGTAATTTAACTTTGTAATTGAGATTAAAAAAAACTTACAAACAAGGTGGCTCATCCTGTCAAATGAAGGAAAATCTTTGTGAGTTGCTTTATTGTAAACACATTTATACAGAATTTATACATTTATTAGTTGGGTTCTCCAATATAATGCGCTGATATTGCATAGCGCAAAAAGGCTTATACTTTTTTACAGTACAGTTTATTTATTCCTTATTTTTTCAGTGTCTAGAATTGGATGACAATGTAGCCTATATGTTAAATTATTTAACATGTTAAAGAATATTTAACTTAAATATTATCTCATCAAGTTATTGGTTTAGGAAGTACCTGCATGGTTATATTGGTGCAAAACCAGTCTATACCATATTGGTAAACAGGGAATTTTGCCCTCTAAAATCAGTATCCCTATCAGTTTTTTAAAAATGAGGCAGAAGCTTGTGATTCAATGATGAATTAGTGTTTTTTTTAAGGCACAGTCTCTCCAAACCACCTAAATAAAGTTTTTGATACATACACTGTGAGTAAAACTAGGTTAATTGGTCTAAATGTTGGTTATAGAACACCATCATTAATTGTGGATTCACTTCAAAGTGTAATTTAACATTCTTAAAATGTACTTAGTTGACCTACTTTAATGACTTGATGAAAAATGAATCTACTGCTTTTACAGATATCCCCTTGTGCTGTCGGTCAAACGGAGAGGTCCAAGCATTGTTGACACTGGGTAAATCCCAAACAACCACATCCGTACATTATGGGTTTGCCATTATGGATAACGTTCAGAAGCCTCACTGCTCAGTCAGTCACAGTCTGTCCTGGATGTGGACACTGATGCTCAGTAGAAGTTAAAACCAGCCAAATGCTACATAGCGGCTGTCATCATCTGAAATTTCAAACCAGCGACAGCAGGTGTTGCTAGAGAACACATCAGCTGCTTGCTTGCAAAGTAAAGCACTTAGTGATGCCTCTACAAAAAAAAAGGCCTCTACAAAAAAGAAAAGATTGTTGTGTACTGAATGTCGTTATATACGTACTTCTGCCAGACCAGAGAATCCTACAAGGTCAGGGTTTGGGTGATTTCTACCAGTGAGTTAAATGACTCCCTGCTTCCTCTAAATGGAACTCATTACAGAGCCATTTAAAGTTCAGTTTGACGGTTTATCTGCAACTTTGAGAGCTGTTACAATATTAACCAGGTTACATTGCTTTTAACAGACGTGTTGCAGGCTGTTTGGACATCAGATGAAGTCAAAGTGTTGCTCACCGATGGTGGGAGGAGAGCGTCCAGGAGCAGCTCAGATCTACTCAGAGGAACGAGTAGATCGAGTGTTTGCTCAGCTGAGTCCTGACCTCACCACTCAGGGCTTTGATAAGACCAGCCAGCCAATGCAGGGAAAAGAAGTACAGAAAAGACCTTGGCAATCGTAAGCAATCGGTGGCTCATAGGCTTTATATGGCAGAGAGTGATGGTTAGTGGGTTTTCCTTTGATTTGGCCTTTTTATACAGAACTATTGTAGGAAATTGACAATTATCAATTATTGCAATTGCAGATTTATGGGGGAGAAATCTACAGTATTGTTGAAATTGTTCATATACATTTATATGCAAGTTTAGTTTGCTATGTAATTTCAAGTTGGGTTATTTTATGCTTTCTTATCCCATTTGCAGGTTGTCACTTTTCTGCCTCCTCATTGTGTCTCCTGGTTCCAACGCTGTGTGCGATGTGTGCCTTTGCCTGGCAGGTGGTTCTGTGCTGTAATCTGCTACACTATGGAAAGTCAAGTGCAATCCTTGCTCTGACTAAGGGCAAGGGTAAGAAACATAGAAGCATTTATACAGTTTTATGTAAGGTAAGGTTTTATGTGTCAGTGGAGTGGATTTCTAAAAATAATTACTCCCTCTTACTCAATCTGAAGTGTATTTGATTTACATTCAGACATAAGACAATAACAATATCTGTTGCGGTGTGTGTTTCCGGTTGTGTTGGAGTTGTGTCGCAGTGAGAGCACTGCCAACCTGCTGAATATCCAGCCTCACTTGAAGAACCTCGCAATGGGCTCCACCTGTGATCAGGAGGTACGTCTGCAGGTGTGGATGAATACTGAACTGAAAGCAACGTAGAGCTGTGGAGCGGTGTGTTGATTCTCAGTAGGATCTGCAGTATAAGCAGCTTTAAGTGGCAAAATGGCTTAAATATTTATTTTGAAAAATAATTTATTATTTACTTATTTTACAAAGAGGGACATACATAATTAAGATCATTTTTAATGTTAACACACTCCATTTGTCACCTTTGTACAAGGCATGGCTTTAGCTGTGTAGTTGACACTGAACTGATGCTCTGTTGTTGTTGTCACATGGTAGGACAAGCTCCTCTGTTGTCTCAGACAGAAGGGAAAGGTTTCCATGCGAGGTCAAAGGCAGACCTCTCAAAGCCTGAATTAAGTAGCATTCCTCCTTTAACCTTTTTAGTCCTTCGAGAGATCACAGAGGACATCCTCTGCGGATCTCCACCTCACTTTGCCCGAGGCAATGACCCCCCCCCCTCTAACGCTCAGGATGGGCCCCATGTTGTTGAGTCTTTATGACTGCACTTAATAGTAGTTCTTTGATTTTTTTCTCTCCCCTGCCTCCTTTACTCCCTTAGGATTTCAGCCCAGCCAGATTCCCCCTTGATGTTTAATTGATGTTTCCTTGCATCTGCTCTTCAGTAAAGATGCAGGAAGAGACGGTATTGTTGAGCCTTTTCAGGGTTTAAGGGTTGTGACATTTTCACAGATCCTAATATGATTTCCTGTTATTGATTCTGCTTCTTTTAACCTCATTATATTTATTTATTTAATTTGCTAGTTTGTCAGCTGTTATTGACCCCCATTTGATGTACAACATTTTCTAATTAGTCTTCTTTTCCTGCATCAAATATGTTGGAGCAATACATTGGAGCAATGTGCTGATTTTGATGAAACTTTCAATTAGTGATGCATCCTGTTGATTGGTCAAAAGGGATCCTGGATTGTTTTGTGTAAACCAACATATATATATTATTTATATTGTTTGTTTTTTGTCTTTGACACCATGTAACAGGAACTGGAGGATTGGAAATTTCTAAATTAAACTTTGTGGAGCTTCTTCATATCCTTATAGAGAAAGATGTTTTTCAAGGTCAGACACACTATTACTATAATTAAAAATCAGCTGTATGTGTGTAAGAGATGTTTCACCTTCCTTTTTCCCCAAGAGGTCTTCCCCATCCACTGTAGCCAGCAGTATGAAGCAACATCGCAGTCATTAGTATGGAAATTAATTTCTAGATTGGATAAACTTTTTCCTGTACTGGATATTAAACAGGTACTGTACATTCTTAAATAATAAACAGTGCTTTGGTCATTTCCTGAAAACTATGCAAAGGTACCATTCCAAAAACATCTCTTGTGTGAACCGCAGATAATTTGACAGAAGTTGTTGTTAATTTCTGACTTTAAGTATTTGTTTTAAGTGATTTAGCACCTGATTTTTTATTTTTTTGTATGACTGGGTAATGCTACATGGCCTATGCAGATGGTTAAAAATTGTAGCAATTAAAATAAAAATTTAGCACCTGAACTTTCTACCTTCTTTTTTAAAAAAATGTTTATGCTTTCTGGTGGAAGTATCTTGTATTTTGTCCTCCCTCTTTGAGGTTTGCACATAGCTTTCTAGTTCTCTAGTCACTGGAATATTACTAGGATTGGTTTTACAAAATATGCCATTATTTTGCAGTATTTGGAAAGTTTGCCACATGAAAGTCAGTAGACATTAAAATGCATAATCTTTTACTGGTCTTAAGGTATGGAACATGAAACACAATATTTGCTGCAAACATTCATGCATTGTTTAATTTCATTTCATAACCTGAACAAAAATACATAGTATGTATAAATGTTTGGGCAACCTAAGAGTTATCCAGTCTCAGATTCCTTTTACAAGGTCTCAGACCTTTATCAACTCATTAGGCCTCGTCAACAGTGGTCGATAGGAACCGTTTCAACCCTTTACAAACAAACAAACAAACACTCTTTAAACCTTCCAACAAGGTACGTTTATAATAATCATCCTTAAGCTTTCCTCTTTTCAGCTTCAGCTTCGTTACATATGCTGTATGTTTGCTTCCAGAATTATTTGCTGGTATTTAGTGGAATCCATTCGTCCCTCCACCCGTGCAGTGTTTCCTGTGCCACTGGCTGCAACACCACCAGGAAACATAATAGAATCACCCCCATGCTTAAATGGTTGGGGAGGTGTGCTTTTCACAAACTGCTGCTCTTTTTTTTCTTCAAACATCCCTTTGCTTAAGTATTTTTGGATACTATTTTAACTTCATCACACTAAAACCCATCAGGGTTCTGTAGATGTTCTGCTGCATACTTCTGACGTTGAATTTTATGATGTGGACTCAGGTATGGTTTTCTTCTACTGCTTCTTCCATGAAGGTTTTGTTTGCACAAGCAGCTCTGGACAGTGAAACACCACCCACATGCTATATGAATGTGTATGTGCTTAGAAAAGTCCTAACATTTGTCCTCTTCCTCATTGCTTCCTCTGGAGGATAAGTGAGACTGTTCTTTATTCAGTCTGTCCTTTTCCTCCACGTCTGTTCCAACTGGCGCCATGTAATGTATGTCTGTGTCCGTTTCGGCATCACTTATTCTTCTTAGCAGCCCTTTCTCAGACAGCCACACAGCAAAGCCAGATACTAGCAAAATAGTCCCGGTGGCGATGAGCATGATGACAGTGCGGAAAGGGAAAAAGCGGTATCGGTGACCGTCCTCCTGTATCTTGTCCCACGGCAGGGGCAGCACGTCAGGAAGGCCTATCAGGGGTTCCCCAACCAGAGCTCTGAGCAGTAGTGCCAACACAAAGCCACAACAGGCCCCATAGTGGTTCACCCTCTGAGATAAGTAGAAGATGCATATCACCTGGGGAGCCATCATTGAATACATGACATCTGCACTGACGATCCAGAACAGGTGTACGGACTTTGCCATCATGGCCAGGCCTGCTCCCATCAGTCCGCACAGGAAGATTGACACTTTAACCACCACAATAATATTTTTTTCCGATGCCTGAAATAGAGGAAATTATTTTATAAGCCATCAAGTTACTTTTATTAAACCAAAATGTGAGTCACAGTGTTTAATTTTGAGGTGTTAAAAAAAAGTGAGTTGCTTAATCCTAAAAAACCTAGTAAGACCACTTCAGTGTAACTTACATCAAATTGCATACACTTACATTAGTGTTGAATGTTTGCCGATTAATTCGACTGATCGCTTCAACTCTAAACTACAATAATCATAAAGCAGTCAACATTGCTCATCAGGAAAGTCTCATTGTGCCACTGTTCACCAGCATGAAGGCACACTTTGCTGTGTGCAACTGCTTGAACATGGGGCCTAAAAACTAAGCCGTCAACCATAAAATACTGCAACAAATGTATTTTTAAATCTACTCACAGCAATTTAAGTTATGAAAAAACTCAGTCTTTTCATAAGCTTCTTGTGGCTAAATATTGGCCACATTCACAACATAACATTACGCTGTCTGTGTAATCTTTCAGTAGCTTACAACCAAGAACCTATTCAGTTATTTTTTAATCGGCCTTCCTTATTGTTGTTGATTGTTGTTGTCGGTGGGTGATCAGTGCACTGTAAACCCGGATAAGTTGATTGTACCTAAACTATTTGTGTCAAGTGATTGCCTCAAATGGTTTAGGTTATTGACAGTAGAGAAAATTAATTTGTTTAATTATAGTCAACTTAAATGTACAATAGTCAGAATTTAATTAATTTTTAAGTTACATACACTTAAATGGTTTAAGTAATCACAATCGAAAAGTGTAGTGGAGTCTACTTAAAAGTACAATAGTCAAAACTTCATTATAAGTCAAATACACTTAAAATTCTAGTTTTATTAAAAATATGAATATATTAAATTTTAAAATATTATATTTGGAATAAGAAAATTCCAATTAGATTATTCTTTTGTCAATGATCACACAATGCAGTACATTTTATTTATTTGATTTAGACACACAACAAAGCAACAAATATGTATTAACAATGATTCTGTGTGAAATACAAGATGCAAATCCAAAATAACAGTAGGACCTTGTTTTCATAAAATTATCAAAAGCACCCTGCTATGATGCAGAAAACAGAACATGTGAATTGAATTAGGAAACGATTTCCTTCCAAATACAATCACAGCTTAGTTTTTTAATTTTTTGCTTTGTGAACAATTTTCAAATAAAAAAAAACAAGAACACTGACCATGTAGCAGCATACTGCGAGTGCAAAAGGACAAACTGTATGCTTTGTTTGCAACACAACAAAGCAGGTATTAAGAACAGTAGCATTAAGAACAACTATGCAGTAAGGACCAGAGCTGGTGGAAAAAAAAAAAACCTGCAACTTTCTTACATGTGTCCTCAGTGTGTTTCAGTAAAACAAGCAACAATAGACACATCTAGTACAAGAAGATTCACATACAAAATGAGCAACTGCAAGAATATTTGCTCCAGTCAGTGCAATGTATTTGTGCAACAATCCAGACACGGAAATGAAGAATTGTGTCATGAGCATAAATGTGTCTTTCACTGCAAGATCATTCTTCAGCTTTTGAACCTTGGGAGGTAGCTCACTTTGACCCAAATTTAGCATTACCTGCTGAATGAAGGCAAATGTGTTTTTTAAACACTTCAGATACTGCAGGTGGAGTGCGTAGGTAAAGCCAAACAAGAGGCACATTGGCTGAGGTAGGTTGGTGAGTGCTTCCATTACAAGTCTCTCTAGGATGATCCCCACTCTTGAGGGGTTTGGTTGTGGCGATGCTGGGCTTGCTGGGCTTGCTGGGCTGGTGTCCTCATAGCAGAGGATTCCCACGGGAATGTCCACAGAGTCTCACTCATTAAGAGACTATAGTGCGAGAAACAAGACAAAAGGAGGATATTCAGGTTAACAGCAATTTGTCTACAATCAGCTGTGTGGTCTTCATAAATATCATGATTTTCATAATTCACAGTGGTTTCATTTTAGATAATGTTGTGTAAACAAGCTATTAGAGGCATTTTTTGGGTGTTCATGTATAGGTGTGTGAGTGCATTGAGAGACTTGAATGTATACATACATTCCTGATGCACGCAAGGAAAGGGCTCAGTTCTTGCATAAGTCCCATGTTTTAGCCTATAATGTTTAAAAAGCTGTGCTCTCTTCTCACAGATGGCAGGGCAGTACTTGCATTTCCAAGGCATTTTAATATGGCTTTAAACAAAAATAGTAGGGCAAATGAGGCTAATGTTAAAAGTGGGCATTGAAATTTTTTCAAAACTACATCAAATAATTTGAATTTTACACTACTGTTGCAAAACTGTATGTAGAAAACACACAAGCAGAGAGAGCTACTCAAAAATCACAATTGTCACATTTACAATTGTCCAACGCTCAAAATGTACCTATAAGTCAACCTCAAATTTACACACATTCAAATGTACAGGTTTCAAACTTGAAATTGTATTGTAGCAGTTTCTAATACTTGAATAGAGAAAACAACTCACCTCATTCAGGCAGAAATGGTATCCTCTTTACAGCAGGCAAATGTCCTTTAAAAGCGTCCAAACTTGCTAAAAACAGAAAAATGCAGGCATGTATTGTCCAAGGAGCATGCAAGGTGCAAAGACCTTAAATTGATCTGTGTAAATTAGAAAATGGCGCAACTTTCTCTGTAGCTGCCAACGGACAAGCACAGACTTGTCTTGAGTTTTGAGCCAATCACAACAGGGCAGCACTGTGGCCTGAGGTAAAACTTGATAGTTTAAGTTGGTTAAACTTACAAAAATGAGTACACCCACTGACTGTCTCATACACTCTTCATAAACTCATACTGTTTAAGTAATGCAAAAAAACTAATCTTTAAAAGTGGTATTTACTCAAATTGTTTGCATAGAATGAACTTTCGGTGTAACAGTGGTGTCACATGAGGTGTTACCTGTTTGTAGATGATGTTCTTGAAGATATTTCGGCCCAGCTGGGAGGCAGCAGACAGGAGTGCAGAGTCGACTGATGACATCACCGAGGCAGCAAGTGCTCCCATGCCAATCAGTGAGACGTAGAAAGGGCAAAGATGCTGAAGGGCAATTGGCAAGATCATACCAGATTTGCCCTGTTCGTAAGGGCTGGGTGAACCGTAGGTGGTCTGGTTCCAATCTGACAGACATTAAGCACATGTAATTAAAAACAATCATACGAGTCACAGGGAATAGGTTTGATTATTAAGAATATGTCAGTTGGTCAAGTTCTCCTACTCATAGTACTACAGATGATTGGCAAAGATAGTAAAGACAATGAGAACAATCTAGATACTTGTAGATGCCGCCACTGCCCCAATGATGAGTGATGGCATGCCAAGGATTGGGCATAAAACTGCCCCAGCATAGCAGGTGATCTTAGCTTGTTTATCGGTGGCTGTGGACAGGACTCTCTGGTAGAAAGCCTGGTAGCAGATCCCTCCGATGGCCTTGGAGAGGAATAAAGACAGGACTGGATTGGAGAATGGACATTAAGCTTGAAATGGTTGTCCATAAAACACTTAAAGGTCCAATGTCAAACATTTATGAAGATTTATTGTAGTGTAGTCTTTTTCTTTAATCTTTATTTACTACTAAAGACGTTTCAGTGTCCATTACCATTAGCAGTATGTCATCTATCCAGCGACCTGTATCCTCCAGCTCCAGCTTGCCGATCCATGGCTCCTGGTACAGCTTGGTTACCGCAGCAACAGTAATGTTAGCTGAGGAGGGGCTTGTCAGGATAAAGGGCACACAAAACCACTGAAAATAGGGAATAAAAAAAGATACAGAGTAACACATTCAGTACATCAGTCCTGCATAGTTCTATGGATAAAAAAATAGTAGTCAACATTTCAACAGTCAACAGTGTACAACATTTTAATGGCAATCCATCCAATAGTTGTAGCCACACCACTAGGTTAGTTATTATGCATAAGTGCTTTGAATTTTCCTTAAAATGTCATGTTTGTACCAAGCCGAGGAACATGAACATAAGCTGGATGACATCAGTATAGGCCACAGAGTACAGTCCTCCCATTAATGTGTACAAGATTGCCACAGCAGCAGAGACGCCTACAGCAAGCCTGGAGGAGACATTCATCACCACACTTAGCGTCCCTCCTGTAACCACAAACATACATTCCCAGTGAGTCATGCAACTAAAATTGATGCCATGTCATTTGTGCAAATAGCATGATACTAGTGCTATCACTAAACAGCATTTACATTGACTAACTCAAAACTCACCTGGCAGTAAATGTGTACTCTCAGGATATTAAGATTTATAATTAAGACTTTTGCAAGAAATTCATTCATGAAGTGGTTGTTTCTGACTTACCCAGTGCACCGAGGACACACGCTATCCACAAAATATCAGCAAGGAGAGCAGGAATAAAAATAACAGCAGCTACACTGTTGCCATATTTGTTTTGAAATGGGTCCATGAGGGTGACATAGTTCTTCGACCGAATAGGTTTGACAAGGAAGAGTGCACCTGAAATCACACAAATGGAAACATTTACATTTTTAACAAAGATTTTTTAAACATTTTTGAGTGATTATGGAGCAATTTAAGGTTCGCAATGTATCAGCATGTTGCATCTAAGCAGTTTTATTTGGTCTCACTCACCTATAATCAGGTTCATGATAAAGGCAATGGGTCCAGTGGCCCAAACCAACCCCTTCGTTGGATCGTAGACCACTTCAGCGCAACCCAGAATATAGCCTCCTCCCACCCAAGTGGCTGCAAAACATTAGCACACATACAGGCAATGAGAAATGATTTAAACTGTGTCCAATTCATAGAATACATTTATGAAATAAAATGAGGTCACTGATTTCAAAATAAATGTCTCTTAATGAACATTTAAGGTCCCATTGATATACTATGATCATCTGTGATGTTATTGTTATTATCATCATTATTCTACCTGTCATAGTAAAGATGCTGACCCAGATGTTGAGGTTCCGCCCTCCAACCATTGCAACTTCACTGCGGTTGCCCGTGCACTTCTTCTCTTCCCGTTTGGACTTCCTGGATGCCCAGATACCTGTGCCCAGTACGATCATATAAAACACTCCAATGGACAGCAGTCCTGCCCAATTTACCGCCATCCTCAGTGTCTGTGGGGAAAGGACACAAATAAGAAAAGTTTGTGTTTAGTGTTTATATTTCCCTTTTCAGAAAATGATGTACATTGGGCATGCATGGCCTCCAACTAATAGAACATTCAATTCAATTCAATTCAATTCAATTCAATTCAATTCAATTCAAAAATAATTTGTATAGTGCCAATTCATGACAGAAGTTATCTCAGGACACTTTTTTAAATAGAGCAGGTTTGCCACTCAGAGCCAGAGTTGTGCAGTAATGATCGGGGTTGGCGCCACGGTATCGAAGTCCCCAATTGCGAGCAGGGCTCAACTGTCAATCATCATATAAAACCCCCTTTTTATAGCTTAAAATAAGAAATTAAAACCAAACTTATCAGATAACAGAAACCATCTTTGGTAAAAATGGATTTGACGTGTACTTTGATTTTTTGGTTTGGTCCATTTCCCATCTGCTAACATAGAGGCAACATGCTCTATGATCTATATTGCAGCCAGCCAGCCACCAGGGGACGAACGAGGTGGTTTGGCTTCACTTTTGGAGAGCTGTTATGTCAACTAGCTAGTTACTTTTCCCCACGGGCTGGCTACTCCAGCTATACCTTGTGGTGATGGGAATTCTGGCTCTTTTTAGAGAGCTGGTTCTTTTGGCTCGGCTCGCTTAAAAGAGCCGGCTCTTTCGGCTCCCAAGTGTGTCTGAAACCCCTCTACCTACCTCGTCAGTCCAGTTCTTCAGGATCTGCCCTTCCTTTTTGGAAATTTACACTACAATAAACATTTTAAAGGAAATTGATCAGGTGTTCCTGAATCAGGGAGCAACAGTGAACACTTTGATGTAAAGTATGTGTAACTTTTCTGCCCCTTTTGCTCCTTAATTACACCGAAAGAACGATATGAGCTGTAATGTAATGTAAAAACAAGCCTGTTTTTTTCATAGGTATTTACTTTGATAATTAATAATCAACATTTTTGTTTAAGTTATGGATTAAAAGAAATAATGGCCCAAAAGAAAAGAAACATGTCACTTGATGTTCATAATTTGTTTTCACGAAGAGGTAAAAGGGAATAATAGGATATATATGTTTTGTGTCATAATAATTATTCAAATAATTTCACATACCTGCATTGCCTTTAGAAAATGTCGAGTAGGGTTACAGTTAAGTTTGAGTAGAAATATCTCCAAAGCCACTCGTCACAACAGTGAGGAGGAACAGGGACTACTGCTCATCAGGGGGTGGAGAAGATATGGTATAGTTTCAACTGCTGAAAAGTGTGATCACACCCAGCTTCACTATGTGGTCTATCACAAACATTTGATATACAAACGGTCTTGTTTATCTTTTATCTAGGTTGTTAAGTAGATGGGACACACCAACTCTTAATTATCGTCTTTTCTTTAAATGTGTTATTGCAAGAGTTTAAATTTCCAACTGCTAACACTTAATAAATAATTACAAATGAATGAATGCTTGAGGAAGTAAAGAAAGACATTTAAAATTTAGCTTTTACATTGTAGAATCATAGGAACAAGGACAAAGAGAAAGACTGATGATAAGGACAACAGTGTTGGACAGCTGTGAACCAGACTTGAAGTGCAGTGAATAGTGCTGATGTTAAGAATATATACATTCTGTCTCAGTTTTGTTGAGTGTGTGTGTGTACGGGCAGACTAGTTTAACCGGCGTTGTGTGTGTGTATGTGTGTATGTGCAGGTCCCCGCTTCACCATTTTTGAGATTTTTGTTACATTTCATACATTTTGTGTTTCTGTATCTTTCTGTAGTGTGTAAATTGTTGTATTTTTGTTACATTTCATACATCTCATTCGAGACCTCTAATTAATCGACTTATTGATTGGTCCACAAAATATCAGAAAATTGTAAACAACAAAAATGCAAATTATGATTCCTGAAGCACAAAATTACATTAAAACGGTTTGTTTTGGCCTACAAATCCAGTTCCATCATATAAAAAAACACAAAAGCAAACAGCAAATACTCACAATTAAGAGGCTAGAACCAGATAATTGGCAATTCTAAAAACGATTGACAGTTAATTTTATCCCACTCAAGTATCGAGTTGATTACCCAACTAATCCTTTCAGCTGTATACGGTGGCCCTGAGGGTCCAAACACAACATTTCATAAAGCTCAACAAAATTTCTATCACTACTACCTGTACTACTAATTAGTAAAACAATATAAATCCAATATTCAAACTGAACATTTAGCAGAATCAGAGCAGTTTGAATTCAGAAAATGTATATCTAAAATAGATTTTCTTCCTTTGCATTTCTGGTGCTTAGAACACTCCTAAAATACCAAATGCAGACTTACAGCAAAAAATTCTAAAAAAATTAACAGTATGTTTATTTACCTCTTTTGCCTTTAGAAAATGTTGAGAAGGGGACAAAGAGATCCTCTGCCAGTTGTAACAACAGTGTGGAGGAACAGTCTTTCATGTTGGGTTAGGTAAACTGTTTTTTCTTTAAGTTAAAACCAGTTTTTTTTTTTTTTTTGCACCACCAAACAGCAGACAGTTAGCATCGCATAGTTGAGCATTCAGCAACTAGTGCCAGATAATTCTCGCAGGAGTTGGTGGAGACCCAAAACAGAGCTAAAAGAAATCACCATGTGGCCAAACAACACCACTCAAAATGAATGCTAGTATGGCCTTGTATCAGCTGGATTTGTAAATAGCTAACAGGTTCATTGTGTCAACTTGAAAAATTCTAACTTGCTTGACACATTCTGTATCTTTGGGTACTTTGGGATAAACTCTAGAATCTAAAAAACTAACTTATAAACTAACCAATAAATGTTGTTTGTGCAGCTTTACTAAGGTTGAGCAGTTACAACTGTAATAGACAGAATATGCTACTCATTCCTTCCTTTCATCAAATTTTGACACCGATTAATTTCTACTTGAGGAGAACAACCCAAGACAGTCCCTCCAGGAAGTCGGAATTGTCCGTGCCCTTTTTCACCAATTTTCACCACCACTTTTCTGCAAATTTGACCAATCATTGTAGTCCCCCGAGCAGAATGTTGAGCCATTCGTCACCTAGCCATTTTATTCTCACTGGAACGACTTGTCTTCGATTTTTAATACAATTATTTTAAAATAATAATAATAATAATCGCAAATATTTAAAATTATTGCTTTCTCACGCAAAATGCCTAAGACTTTGCAACATGAATCACAATTTTACAGAAGAGCTGCTGTGAAATCAGACATTTTAGGCTGTAACAATCCCACATAAAGCCACATAAAGGATGTAAATGTGTAAACAAATGATTGACCATGTGAACCAAGTGCAACAATGTTGGCTTAACTTCCTGACTGATCCTGACACAAAAATATCTCTAGACTAGTCTTTAGAGAGACACAATAAAGTGAGGTCAGCTGTTACCTTCAGTCTCAAAAGTCACTGACAGTATACTGGTGCTATGGCAAGGTATCCTAGTAACCACTTCTGACTTGTAACCGGACCTCCTGCAACATCAGCAGGGAAAGAGCTCAGTTAATGCTTTGAGGATCAGGTTCTGCCGGGTTGTAAACATACACTGTTGGCAGCGCTTCGTTTATGTGAAGATGAAACATCCCTTACACACACTCTGTCGGAATTTTGTTTTCTTTTACCTGACAGGTGATTAAGCGGACAACTGAAACGTTATGGGACTTCTGGGTGCAATCCTCATTGGGTAGCAGTACAGTGTAATGGGAAGGAAGGACTGAATGGTGGAAAAGGCTGTAAAGAAGGAAACAATGACAACTTTCTGCCTGCTGATGATGTGGTTGGCTCCCATGGATTTCTTGCAGGAGGGTTTGGGGTTTTTTGAGCATGAAATACACATTTTCCTAAGCAACATTTAAGTGGACAGAATAATGGATGCATAGAATACGTTTTGCTCATAATTAACATAATAATTCACTTTGTGGAGATCAACTTTGTGTTTCAGAGGAACACCGGCGCTTTTAGGATTTAACATAAAAGATGGAAGTGAAAAATGAGACTGCTACCTCAAATTCAGACCCATAACAGGACATGGATGACCTACCAGTCAAGAACCCTGGTCCATTTCACCAAAAGATCACCCTGTCATGTAAAACCCTGGACTTCTACCTCACACTGTTGCTGCTGCTGGAGAATGTGAAGCACAGTGAAAGTTTAATACAACATCATCCTGTAACGACTGAAGTTTGTAGGTTTCCTAACTTTACGTCTGAGGCAGGATCCCCTTTCTTTTTTAAGCTTCCCATTCCTGCAACCCCGGGACGCTTGCAGCTCTACCAGGTGAGCTGAGCATAATACATAATAAAAGACAAATCTTCGGTCAGATGTGTCTACACAGTGCTAACACAAGCTTCAGTAACAAAAACTCAAGACTATCAGGGGCTTATTTTAGATTCTGGTCATAAGCAAACCAGTCCCTCCAGGATTTCGGTGGCTTTATTTGGGATTGTTACACCCTAAAATGTCACGACAATGCACGTTGAGATGGTTTTAGGCATTTTCTTGCAATGAAATTCAAATTAAAAAAACCGAAGCCAACTTGTTCCAGTGAGAATAACATCGCTAGCAGTTTGGTGGCGTATGGCTCAACAATTTGTGCAAGGGACTATGGCTGGTGAATTGGGAAAACACAATTATTGGTCAAATTTGCAGAAAAGGTGCAGTGATTGGACAGGTTTGCGTTAATTGTTGCAACTGTAACATCGCAACTTCCTGGAACATCATAATCTAACCTATGTACAGGCCCATTACATGCAGAAAAAAACAAAAAATATATTAATTTCTGTTCCACTCCAAAGAGAGTACTGGCCTCAGACTGACCACCCCTATGAAAACCATCTGGCTCCTGCACTGAGGACCGGCTAAAGGTCCTCCTGAGAGTAACCCACAAGAGTGCTGCAGAGGACTCTCCTAGAAGCACTGTGGTCACTCAAGCTCCTTAACTGTATGCAAGCAGGCACACACAACAACAAGCATAATTAAATTCAACCTGCTAATATCTGCTTCACTTTCCCCACCAGCTATCTCTGGCTGATGGAGACAGCACTTTGCCCCACTGGATGGTGTTTAGGCGACCGGATAACAGTCTATCTGGCTTGGCTCTGACCGAGGATTGTGGGATATACCAACTTAAAGTGTTTGTTACCGGAAAGCACCGTGCTGTATACTTTCATCTGCACATCCTAAACAGAACGGTAGTTGACAAGGACTCAGCAAGGTAAGAGAGCAGGAAATCACAGGGGGTGAAAGTATGCAATTTTAAAAAAACATCTTTATAGCACATGGAGAAGACTTACTGCAGTTTCTTTACACTTTACAACCCCAGCTATGTGATGAAATATAAACTAAATATTTTTCTGCTTTTGACTGTTTTGTATTGTATTTGAGTACCTTGGTAGATCGAATAACCATGACAGTGTTTTCCACTCATTATAATGGTTTTTAGTCACCACATCAGGGTTTGGCTCTCAGAAATGACAGTGTCATTTGAAGACAAACATTATTTTTGAAGAAGAAATTTGTTTGGTGTGTGAGTTTTAAGATTAGTCTTTTGAATTTTCATAAAATAAGCCAAGCTTTAACAAAACATTTAAAAAACACATGTATGTACAGTGTACAGTGCATGGAGTGTTTATCTATACTTGTGTGTGCACCTTTTGTTGAATTAAGTTCGGGCTTTGAGTTGCGTACTACTACTGTTACTCATCAGTTAACTTATAATTATTTGACTCGACAGTTCTAAAATAAATTCTTTAGGGTACAGTTAAACTCCTCAAAGAAACGGGACAAATAAACTGTGATGACCAAATGTTTACAACTACTGACATTTATTACATTGTATTCATCACACAAATTAAACTTTAATAGTCTTTATTTTTAAGTTTTCCAGATGATTTGTTGTTATATATATATTACCATAAACCTACTGTGTTGTTCACATTTACCCACAGCACATAAACAATGACACATAGAATCTGTGTGATTAAGAGCTTCCAGTCTGGCCTGTCTCCTCTTTGTCTACACTTTTGATTTCCTTTGGTTCTTCTGTTTGTTTGGTCTGTTGTCTGTTAACAGTTGTGTTGTTAAGCTGGTTAAGTCAAATTTAAGTTTGAGCGTGTGGTGTTAAATCAACAATGTAAAATCACACTGTGAGTGAGTAAACATAAACATATCTGATACTGAATGAGAGCTTTATTTTCAACATTGATCCCATGTTAGGTGGGTTTTCGTTAGGGCTGGGCGATATGGCTTAAAAATAAAATCTCAAATTTTTTCACACCAAACCCGATTTACGATTTTAATTGATTTTTTTTAGTAGACTGTTTTCTAGCGGGTGTTTGTGGGCTGTGGTCCTGTATATCTCCCACTCGGCATCATGCCTCTGTTTGAGGTGCTGGAATAAATCGGTCGTACTGCTACCTTTTGGTTGCAACAGCTTTCAAACAAACTTTGCAGTGGGTCGTGGTTTGTTCGCTGTCGGACGCCACAAAACCAAACCAGTTCCGAACAACCGACGACACTGTGCCTTTTTTGGGGACGAGGTCATCCTGGCTTGCTGCCGTGTTGTGTGTATCTGTGGAGAGGTCGGGGGGGAGGAACAGCGCACTCTGACCTACGGGAGCCCAAACGGAGCGCCGGTATGGTGGAAGTTCAAGAGAAAACCGATTTTAACTAAAAAGAAATCGTGTTTATCTACAAATTCGAGTTAATCGATAAAATCGATTTATCCTAATTTTCGTTAACTTAGAAGGATCTGTTTTTATGGAATGGTTGGAATCTGTATAACTGTTGGATGCCACTAAATCTACACACTGGTCCTTTAATATGATGCATTACCATATTGATTAAAATCAGGTAACATTTATTTATATTTTTTGTGACATCAATTACTATTTCTTTAAACTGATTTGACAACACAATCAGTTTCAAGGTTAATGCTTGAGGTATTTTATTTTTTTGCTTTTCTTAACAAATCCCATAAAACCAACAGTGTGTTAGTCTGTCTCTCAATACTTATCGTCTTCACTATCACGCCTGTGGCCCACAGCCAATTCATTCCTACTGAAGACAGAAATCTCTAAAGCTGAGAAAATCCATTTTTATATCAACATTAAAATAAGGAGTCATGTATAATGTGAAGGGAGAAGCTCGCGGCAACCCACCCAGAGAGAATGATCCCCCGACTCTGCAGCTCTATGAAGGGTTTGAGCATCATTGTTTTGGTGTTACAGTCCATAACTTCACTGCTCTGACAAACCCACTGTATGCTACCTGCAGCGAGTGACAGACAGACAGAAGTTAACAACTAGCATTTACCAGGTGGGCACAAGCTCCACTCTTGAAAACTAATGTTGCTCCATGTCTGATGGATACTGATACTGATGGACACTGTTTGCTGGCACGGTTAATGTGGTGGTAATATATCAGTGCTTAATGTGCTGCTTAACAGGCCAAAACATGGCAGTTAATGCAGGTTTAAAACAGGATATGTAGTTTTAGCTGGGCACTGTAGTTTTTAGTTTTTAGAAGAAGTCGCTCAAACAGGTGAAAATAGAGCTTATATTGTGGACTGCAGTCAGCATTGGGATGATGTATGTGGGACAAAATAAATAAGTGCCCATGTTCACCATAATAAAGGAACCTGTCACCCAGTGAAACACTGTGGCACACTGATGTAATAATAATAATAATATTGACAGCCTTATCCTTTAAAAGGAATGATGATCAGATTTGGCTTTGTCTCTGTGTCTAATAGGGATACTTTGTTCTGCTCTGAAGGGGAGATGACGATCTGGGCCAACCTTCTTCTTCAGCTGAACCCTGGGACTCTTGACGCCAGCCAGCGTATCCGTTTGGTCAGCACTGTGGCTGACTACCTGCACCTGCCACTGGGCTTTGTCCACCTGTATTCAACAAGAAAATCCTTCATACAAGAGAAGCTCAGAGTTTGTAGGCAAGGTGGGTTTGTGGAGAAAACTACTAGTGGTCATGAAAAACAAGATGCCTCAGCAGGTGTTATTCAGCTTCTGTGGCGTGTCGGCTGTCAAGGAGAGGAACAACGGTCTGATTTAGCCAGGGTGCTGGAACACAGTGTGATGGCAGGAGGGCTGGCCACGTTGCTGGAAGCTCCTGTTTTGGGATGGAGGGTGCTTTGTGCATCTGAGGTCCGACATAACGTTAAGAGAGACTTGCAAAGGCTTAAATTCACAACTTCTCAGAATGCGATTGTTCCACCACCGACTCAGATCCATCGGACTGTGAAACTTGAGCATTCAGACATATATTCTCTCCCTCTGACCAAGCTGGAACCAAGTTTGTCGACCGTATTATTGCATGTGAACCACGTGGGGACGGGGCTGGAGCCAACACACGCAGAGTATTCATCTGAAAAGAGCACCATCTCTGTCAGAGAGGAATTTTTACCTCAGCCCTCTGGCGCACAGGATAATACTTGCACAGATTCAACCAAGAAGGTTTTCAAGTTTACCACCCAAGGGAGTGCTTTAACGGTGATAATGCATCACCCTGACATAGATCCTGAGATACCCATTGCTATATTAAAGACAAACCGTATGGAAGAAATGCAGATGTTCTCAAATTCCCTTTTATCTACCGAGCAGATAACTTTGTACCCATACAGCCACGAAAGCACTCTCCTGGAAGTATCCACTGGCGAGATTATTTTGGCAACTTTGCACACATCTGTCAGTGCTGAGTTTGGGTGCAGTCATCCAAACTGGCCGTCAGTTCACAGTTCGCAGGAATACATCAAGACAGCTGGGCTTTCTGCCTCAGAAATAAAACCTCATGGGGAAGCGACTAGCTGCAGTGACTTGTTCACTTGCTCAGAGGCCACATCAGATACATCACTGAGTATTTCTGAGTATTTCCAGACCACAGAGTTATTTCATTTACCACTTTTTCCTGAAAGTACATCCACAGTCAGGACTTTTCTTGGAGAACGTTCAGCTGACACTGCTCTCTCATTGTTCCCATCATCCACACTGCACAGTATTTACCCCCCATTGCAGCTGACCCCAGACTCTTACAGTGCCCCTTCCACGCTGACACACGAGGCTTTCGACAGAAATTCGCTCGCCACTCGTCTGACCCTCCGACCCCACCCAAAAGAAACCCCCCTCTGGGCCGGTGCTTACAGAGCCAGCCGCACTGACTCAGAAAGTCAGCCCACAGTGAGCTCACTGGGTAGGTCTGCTGCTGTTGACTTGTGTGTGACTATATGGGATTGTTCTGGGTGCTTAGTCATTCAAGTCATATGTTGTAATGACTTGACCTTGCTTGAAAGGGAGCCCACAGCTGAATGGAGAGGAATGAATAGAAGAACATATGGGCTAATGTAGTGGTGGGAATATGAGTAGCATGAATAACATGGAAAACAAATGACTATGTTAGAGCTGTGTGTTATGTTGAGGATAACATGACGAACTGTGAATCAAGTGTATGAAAACACCTGCATTCAGTTACATTTTAGACACTTGGAGAGTGTACATTATACCTTAAAGTTGCTATAGTGAACTTTTTAGCAAACAGTTGCTTATTTGCCGATCCAGCAGACACGGAGCAGCATCAGCTTTCATTTGGTGTCTCGTCTCACCACATAATGAATCTAAATCCAATATTCTCTCTTTTAGCTCTGTTTCAGCCTCTTTAGCAGCTAAATGCTCCACTGTCAGTAACTTTGTCTATTACTTTGTTCACTTCACATTAATTCCAAGCAACTAGCTGGGTAAGAAACTTTCATGTCAGCCTCCGAGTTGTAATTCCAAGTCTGAGATATTGGAAATGTCTGATAGCGACGATATCTTTCACTTGTTGAAAAGAACTACGGAAGTGTCAAAAACAGCAAAATGGCTGAACAGTTAACTTAAGTCAGCGTAACACAAATATAACCGATTTAGTTATTTAAAATTTAATTATGCACGGTTTGTTTGTATCTGGTTTCACTTGTTAACAGACTACTCCAAATATGTAACAATGCAAAAGTATCTGATTGAGGCCTATTTAAATGATGCCACTATATCAGACTAGTGTATGAACACTCCCAAGTTGGATTTACTAGATTTAGGTTTTTATGTCCTTCCCATATTGATATCATTGCATAGTCAGGTCGTGGGCAGGTAGTGTACAGGGGGTTTTCAGAGCTTTTTTTTTTTAGCTGAAAACAACTGCCTGCTAATGATGCTGATGAGACTGAACCAAAACAGTAAAGTTGCAGGCTGTAAAATCAAAAACAATGAGTTGGAAGGTGTGGAAACACTCCAAAGAGCTGAGAGGAACTGCAGAGGACACGGTGGGTTGGTCATTATGATAGACTCCTTTCACACCATTGTTATTATAAGAATAAGAATATTGACTATTGCAGCTTTAAGTTTGGTGATTAAAAAAGATAAACAGTTCTTCTAAGACTGTCTTAGTTAATTTATGACCATGTATCAGTCTGATTGACTGGATTAATGAATGAATGGATATATTAATCCTTTAAGAATCCTATACAACAGTGTTTGTAATTATATTTAATTTGATCATTCATGGAAATCGTATTTTTCCATTGCCTGAATTGTTGCATTTTCTTTTTCTCAGGTGACATCTGTAACCAAGGGCCCATTAACGACCTCCACAGTGCCAAACCAACACTCCATAACCTCCCATCTGTTTCTCATCTACCTCTGACAGAGAGTTATAATGATGTCCTGCTACTAAACTCCAGGTTAAAGACAAAACAGTCACTGCAACCATCAAACAAAATACCCTCTACTCAGCCGTTTCCAGATGTGTCACCAACCTCACGTTTAATGACCGAGCACTTATCGATAACTCAGCACTTTGATACAATCCAACATCTGTCCTCAGTTCTGAATCAGGATGTAATGTCTCGGCTAAATGCAACAATTAAGGATGTGTCACCGACCGCATTAACGGGTGAGATGGCAGTGTCTGGACAAACCGAATTGGAGTCTTCGCTCTCAATGTCCTTGTTGGCGCCTTTAGTGACAACGTTCACACCAGCTTTACCTTCCGAGCTTAATATTATACATCCAGGGTTTACAGAGTCTCTCAAGGCATCAGCTGATACCAGTTTCTTCTCTCAGCAAAAGGATCTTGAAAGCCCAGTTGTAACAGAGTTATGTTTTGATCAGACAAGCTCAGACATTATACTGATGTCCCTACAGCCAACATCTTGGGCTCTTCAAATAAGCCTTCCATTAACTAAAACCCATCATATCATTTATGTCCCGTTATCTATGTTCAGAGATCAACCATCTATCAAGTCAGCTCATGAGAGTCTGCAATTCATGCCGTCAATGCTGCTTGGGGAGTCTCAGCATACATTTCCCCACATATCCTCAGTCATCAAAATGACAACAAGCACGTATTTAAATCCAGCAGTCCTGACTACAATTGCACCAAGTCCACATGTGACCCATCCAGCTCCTCTTTCAATGTTTGAGAGCACTAGACCAGTGTCTGAGGACCATTTTGATCCAACTGCTCCCTCTGCTGTCCAGGAGCCCTACATTACATCCTTCACTTATCAGATCCAGAATCTGGACCCTTCATTCCCAGCATATGGCCAATCTGTGGCACAGGATCATGTAAATGGTTGTACCCCAGAAATCAGAAGTACCTACCTCAAGAGCACAGTGGAGCACATTCTGGACGTTTTGACAAGTTATTCACAAGATAAGAAGCATTGGACTGCTTTTCAATCACAGTTTGTAATGTTTGATTCAAGTGGGCAACTATTTTCAACCCAGACGTCAAGCCCAACGATGCATCTGTCTGACAGTGCGACGACAGAAATAAACCACATAACAGCTACTCCACAAATGGACATTTCAGTCACTCTTCCTACTCTAGACGGCAGCTTCTCAGCAATCACATACACATCATTAGCAGAGAGCACATCTGCCCTCAGTGGCAATTGTGTCAGTACAGAGAATTCCTTGTTAACACACCAGACAGACAGCAGTGGGCCGGTCTCGAAAGGACTTCCCACGCAGCAGATTCTGAGCACATCTTTGAGTCCATTCTATGGGTTGGTAACCACATTATTAACATCCATACAGGCTGTAGGTCTTTCCTCGTACAGAACACAGAGCTCAGTCCAGCCAACACCTCCCTCAGCTTCCATCTCAAGTAAGTAACATCAAGGGTACCATTACCATTGAGTTTACTGTGTATGTGCCCTAGTGGAACTGGTTATAAAGGGCAGCTGCCAACATGTCAGCAAACCAGAGGTCAAGAAGTTGTCTTTACCCAGATACACTGTTCCTGTGTCAAACACCTAAATGTTGTGAAACCAGGAATGACTGAATAAGTAAACACATATAGTCATACATACATTAATAATGTACTTTTTAAATATTTCATATTCATTTATAATACAAGTGTTATATAAATATAGCTAAACCTTTTGCAATAGTGGTAGCCAGAAACTACTTAAAGCTTTTTAAGAAAACACATTAAAGGTTCCCTGTGGATGTTTTTATCAAAGTTCTGTTTACCAATCTTATATTTTAGAAGTGACAATTTCCTTTCACCTACATTTTTTACATTCATGTAGCTTTGCAGACTTTTTCTTTTGCACTGCATTTCCTGACATGTTGCTACATTTCTGGCGCATTACTGCCACTAGTGGAACAGTGTGAAACCTGCAGCAGGTAAATTAATTGCAATGTGTGTGTGTCTTCTGTGTGGGCACAAAATTAGGGAAACCTATTAAAATAAAAACATTTCTTACAGCCCAAGGTGATATATTTTGACATTATGTTTTATTGGCTCAACAGTCCAAAACACATGTTCCTAAAAGTATCTGAACCTGGACCCATCAATCGTTTGGTATTTTTGCTTTAGAAATTACTAAAATTATTATCAAAATTGTACAAATCTCTAAAATACACTTTTACTCAGTATTTCTGTGCAATAATTTAAGCAATTTTTTAAATATACTGTATATTTCAGGCTCCGTGAATCTCCCACCCAAAGTGTTGCAGTCTATTCCAGCATTGACGGCCACTGTTGGCTTTCCCTTCCACTACTCAATCCCACCTAAAACCTTCCTAGACCCAGAAGATGGTGAAGCAGATGCTCTTTCCCTGGAGATCAGGTTGATTGACGGCCCTCCCGTCGGCGTTGGTACCTGGTTAGCTCTGGACGGTCTGGAGCTTCATGGTGTTCCTCTGGAGGTGGACCTACAGTTTGCCCCTCAGCACCTCCTCCTGGCCGCCCGGGACGGACAGGGCCTGAGCACCTGGCTGCCTCTGACCCTGTATCTCCATCGTAGCCCTGTCGACCCCTGCCACACTTTCACCCTGACAGCTCAACGCAGTCTTCACTCTATTCTCCGTCACCGCCACAGGGTGGAAATGTTGTTGAGAAAACTGTCTCGCTTCTTTAACAGCTCTAGCGCCCACCACCTCTCGGTTGTTTCCATGAGGCCCGGGTCCACTGTGGTGTCCTGGTACAACTACAGCTTGTGCAGGATGGGTCGTAATAGAGTTAGTCGGTGCCATGTTGGTCAAATACAGAGCATGTGGTTGGCAATGAGGTCTGCAGATGGATCAGTCAACCCTACGTTTAGAGAAGCAATGCTTCCAGAGTTCCCCATCACTAAAGTTGGACCTGTGAGCTACAGACAAGACTGTTTCTCCACTACTACTGCTCCTCTATTTGATGGATCCACCCCTACTGCCCACACTTCTCTGACTCCAGGTTTGGGCACCAATACTTCCCTCAGTCCCACCTTTAATACCTGTGTCTCTGCATCTCCAGCTATCACTGCTGCCTCACAACAAATCCACTACCAATGGATGGCTGCCATGTTCACAGCCCTCCTCGTTGTCTGCACTCTCATCCTGATCGTCCTCCTCGTTGCTGCAGTTTTCTATTTCTGCAAACGTCGCAGAAGGTCAAGAACGGTCGCCATTTGGCCTGCAAGCAGGGTGCTCTCAGTTCAAAGCACGGATCTGAGAGCCATAAGACCAAGGCGGCCTCCGCTATTCCAATCTGAACTGCCTCCCCCGCCGCTCAGACTGTGGATTAACCTTTCACAAGGCGACGAGGGGCGACTTCCATCAACGTGTGAGTGTGGAGGGAAAACTCTTGACGAGGCACTACAGCCTCGTCCTCCAAAATATGAGTTCTCAAGTATCTAACATCCTGCACTGTTAGTGAAGTGTAACAACTAAATCTCACAGTTCAACACAAGCAGTACCACTGAAGTAAACTCAGATTCATGACCATTACTCATGACATTACTATTTAAGATTTTCAACACACGGATGTTCAAATACAAAAATGTTTTCTGACTTTATCAGGGCAGTGTTTAGTGCAAAATTGGTAAATTGCCGTAATTGCACACATTGCCTGTTGGTCAGTCATTTTGGGATGTAGGATGTAGGAACTAGTTATTCTGACTTGGATAACTTTAATATCAAAAGCACACCAGTAATAATATTTCAATATAATATATATTTTTTAAGTGAAAAATGTATATTATAAGTCCTAAAGGCAGGAGTCACAATGTTAAATATATAAATGAGTCACTGTGAATCATATGGTGAATTTCATAAATAATATAATCATGAAATCCTAAAATAATACACGTTCAGACCTCAGCTCAAACAGGGCAAAGGCAGTTATGTGAAAAGCCAAAATAAAACTGCTTATTGAAATAAAAATGTAGTGTGATAAATTTAGATAATTTCACAATTTCATTGATATTTTTTTGTGTATGAAGGTTTTTGGTTCCAGTTCAAATTAGTGACACAAGAAAATTCATCACTTCCAAACATTCAGTAAAAATTTGTGCAAAAGCCAACAGCAAAATTCTCTATTAACAGCTTTTATTGCGTTACACAATATGTGAACAGCGTATCTACAAAATCATGGGTAAAAAAAATTGTAAAATGTCTTTGTTTTGAGAGTATTACGTGACACCCAAGTCTTAAAAACACTGTGGTCCACAATCTCATCCTTGGCAGGGGTGAAGCAATGGATCCATGGAAACATCATCTGGAGGCCTTGCCGTTTTCATGAACATCCATCCTGGAAAATAGGAAACGTATGATGCATGAGACATTTTCAGAAGTGATTTAAATGTAAAAGCAAGGAGAGTGTTTTTTTTTTGTATTTGTTAAGTGTACATATGTATATATACAGGGCTTTGATACAATAAGTAATTTAGACACGTTCAATGTTACACCCATAAAGTAATGACTATTTCCCAGTAACACACCCGTTCTCGTCTTTGAGCTGCTGGTACAACTCGAACTTGTTGTTCACGGAGCTCACTCTTCCAACAAACTCTTGGTGTTTCCTGGAATTGGCTACAGTGATGCGGTTGGTCCACATTGTGAGGAGGGACACAGGACCTGCAGCAACAAGACAAAGGCACAGATATAAACATGTAAACCCAGCAGATCATCAGCCGGTATTTTGCCAGGGCTCTCATTGGTCCAGGCTCATATAAAGGTAATGATCACAGCTTTTCTGCCAATTTTCTGCATCTAGGACTCGTTATTTAATTACGCCTATGATAACAAACTATTTTTATGAACTTCTAGAAGTACTAACAAAAATGTGATATGTCGATACATTCATACTTAATAAATAATTGTAGGGTTTGCTACTGGTTTCCCTTTCATGGTTTCATACAGGTGAAGAACAGGTGCTTTCTCTGTGGTATTAAAAGGCGTACATTTGACTCTGAACCCTGCACTAATAAGAAAGACCCAATAATGTTGCATTCTCAAAACCACTAGGGGAACCTACAATCAACAACTGACGTCCACAAAGCGTTAAAAAAAGGGAACAACTCTTGCAAAATAAGGAAAATAAAACACTGAGTGAGCATGAATGCAGCCGGCAGTGCGTCAGTGATTTCTTCATGACTTTACAAAACTTTTGTGGTAGTTTCTCCACGCTGGTACCTTTTGCTCTCTCTGGAGGCTGAACTTCCTCTGTGGACAAGCGTGGCTTCTTGATGAGCGGCTCTGGAGAGTCCGGGGAATCCTTGATCACCTCCGACTCCTGATCTTCTTTATCCAGCAAACCCTTTAGTCTTCAGGTTAAAAACAACAAGACAGTTTAGTGACCACAGTAAATAAATGTAGTTAACTGTGGTACACAATCCAAGCACCACTGACCTCTCAGAGTCCTGCCAGCTTTTGTCGTCTGTGTCCTTGCTGCCGTTTTTCTCCGTCCTGTCTTCCCTATCCTCCCTCTTTCTCCCTCTTTTCTTCCTCTCCTCCTCCTCGGGAGGTTTGCTGCGGCAGGCGATGATGCAGTCTAGTACCCGCTGGTGTCTGTCTGTGTCTCCGGAGTGAGTTTTTACTAATGTTTCCAACTCGTTCCACATGATGCGATACTGCTCATCTCTGGGGATACCAACAATGCAGAAACATTAGAGACTCTGCTGACTGTTTACTTGCAGAAACCATGTTGATGCTCATTTAACTAACAGATAGAAGATGTCAAAAGTTTTTGAATAAATACCTCTTGGGGCCTTTGCCTCTGGATCCCACGGTGGAAATCGGTAGAGGGTCATTCTTCCTTTCCATGTCCACCAGGTTGTAAACTGTCTTCTGGCAGGTCAGAACGTCCTCCTCAGACAAAGTCTCTTTCACTATCAGGTTAGCTAAAGGGACCACCTAGTGAAGGGAAACGGGAAGACACACAGACACAGTTATGAGCTGAAGGGTGACAATGAGAGCCAACATGGAGGCATAGAAACCTTGAAAACAGCGTGAACCAAATTCTCGAGAAGGCAGATTATCTTTTATGTGCAGATGTTATCATCAGGGAACAACAAGCCAAATATTTTGGAGCGATATGGAAGCTTAGACGATAGAAATCTTTGGCAGAAGTAAATAAAGAGTGAAAATCCAGAAGAACTTGAGTATCTCTGCATGCTACTCACTGCCTGCATGTTGAAGATGGTGGTCTGGGAGATGATCATCGGCCAGTATCGAGTGTGACGTTCCAGCTGTGCCTTGGCCCTCTCAACTGGTAGCTTCCCCGAGGGATCATGGGAAGACTCTGACACAGGAGTGAGCCGGTTCTCCCTCATAAATTCACCAAAGTCCTGAAACAGACAAGAAAACGGTTACTATTTGAAGGTTACTGACGTATACTGCAACACAGCCTGTTGTGGGTTGAACTCACGGTGATGCGGTAGTCTGTCACTCGACCTCCGCAGCCCTCGCTGATGGAGGGCGGGTCCTCCAGGGTGGAGCGGTTGCTGTTGAGCACATGCAGGAAGATCTCGCCGCCATGGCTGCTGAGCATGTGGCTGATGACCTTCGAACCCGACTTCCTCGGCTGCTCCAGCAGCACTGATCGACCTGGAGTCGATGAAGAAGAGCCAGAAAGTTAGTCTGTGGGTCAGCTCAGGGCAAGGTAACTGGACAATGTGAAGATTAAAAAGAGGATTTACCGTTAAGGAGAAAGTTTGTCAGGCATGAGGAGGGACGACTGTTGACGTCTGTGGGGGAGATGCGATAGGCTCCCGTGCAGTAATGCAGTTCTGAGGTGGGAAAAAAACACAATAGATACCACTAAATCTCAGATCACAGTTGCGTCAGTCAATGTTGACGTGGATAACTCTAATAAACAATTTATCTCAAAGTCAAAACTATGAAAATATTGGTAGATAAATCAATTATTGTATTAATCGTTGGTTGCAGCCCTACTACAAAACCATCTTACAAGACTCTTGTAGTAAAGACATTTTAACCAATTCAAAGTATTAGTCACAGAATTCAGTATCAATTTTATCAATCAACGTTATGCCTAAAGGACAAAATGCGGGGGATATTTTCAACTTTTAAATCTTTAAATCTTTCAAATTAAATAATAACTGACAAATAAGACCTTCAGCTGATTATACCCACCTATGCTGTTGGTTCGTGGAGTGCACCATTTCAGCGTAATCGTCTCTTTGAGTCCATTTTCCCGAGTGCTGGTGCCAGCCATATGCAAGTCTCCTGCACAACACAAAGATGACATATTAGTTTATGTTGATAAGTCTCTGAATTTAAAAAAATATGAAGCATACATAAGGATGTCAAATAATTGCATAGCTTGTGCTAATACTGTAGTCAATAAAGCTACTTTGAACACAATTATTTCAGTTCATAGAGAAAAAGGTACTTTCGAACTACTTTATGTTGTGTAGTTGTGTCTGGAGCAGGAAGTGAATGGCCAACCAATTAAAAAACATTTATTTATTTATTTGTAACATGAGCACTTACCGCTTTTAAAGAACTCCAGGTGAGCGTCTCTGTGATGCAGGAGCTCAACGTCATAATTGGCTGATGTGTTGGCATGCTGCTCTTCCTGTCCATCCGCAGAAACAATAACAAATACAGCTTAGTATCAGCTCTTAAGAAGTGCAAACTAATACACACACACAAACACACACAAACAAACAAACAAACACACACACACACACACAGGTACAAACACACATTAACACTGCTGATTTCATGTAGCAAAGGGTAAATGATAATGGACAAAGTAAAAGAAAGAAGGCTCGCTCTCTGGGTGACTAAAGTATGTTTTCTTCTGACACTAGTGTTTAATGCATATGCCTTTATATTCACACAACACTGAGCCTACACGTGTTTGACATAAATCATATAGTTTGTGCTCAAGCCCAAAAATGGGGCCTGGCAACAGCTGATCTAGACACAAACTTTAAATCACAAGCTTTGAATTTGACAACTTTCTACAATTAAGGGGGAAAAGCAGTTGTAGGACAGCTAAAGGTGGAATCATGTTTAAACATTTAAGGGTCAGCTTTAAAAAAAACAACAACAACTAGTTTTTAGACAGCACAACGGACCACACCAAGAGACTAAAGGGGGGATGAGTGGGAACTGATGGGGGGGGGGGACAGACCAGGAGAAAGTTTGGACAACTTTTAAGGTGTAAACACCTGACAGACACTGACAGTATTTAACAACTCAGAAGAGGCAACGCTGGTCACAGATGTTTGGACATAAAAACACTTCAACGTTCATATTCTGTTGGTTTTTTTTTTAAATCAGAATTTGGCACAAACACTATCTCAAAACAGTTGATTTTCACAAAATAATGTGAGTTATTTTAAAACAATGTGGTTATAACATTATTCATTTGGGGAAAAAAAGTTAATTTCAGGTGTTCAGGCTCTCTAGCAGACCCCGAACTCTGCATTCCCTTTGTGTCCAACATGAGACCAGAGTTCCCTGCCCTTTACTGGAGCCTCACCAGCAAATCTGTAGAGCAACTGTCACATCAAAATAAATGAATGACACTGTAAGCCTGTTTCAACAATAGAGCTCAAAACATATACTGCACACTATGTGGTGTAAACTCTGAACCCTTCCTCACTTTGATGTGTGTGTGATAAGAGTACTAACCTGGTCGCAAACATTTAATGTGGGCTAGCAAAACAGAAAATACAGCATGAAACCAGCAGCAGATTCACAGTCATATCAACATGCAGATGAGATCAACAAAAAAGATGAGACTGCAAAGTTGCATGAGTAATTTTAGGCGAGGAAGGGCGCATACATAAAGATTTAGCAGGCAAAAAAAAAAGGTGTGAAGGCTGTGAGAGAAAATAAAACAACAAAGCAATCAATCGAGTAAAAAAAAAAAGGGGGGTGGTTCACTGCATTCTAGACATGACAACATTTTTTTTTTTAATAGCAAAATAAAAATTATATATTTAAAAATGTATGTGAGTTTTAATTTTGCAGTGGCATGTGCAAGGCCAGACGAAGGGCAGTAGGCCCCTTACCTTCATGGGGATGTTTGTTATGGTGGTGGAGGCAAAGTCAAAGTGCTGCTGGACCAGAATGTTGAGTTTGGTGGCTAAGTGCCGCCCTGCACGAACACTGTGAACCTCGCTGGTGAGCAGAGGGGAGATCTGAGACGACAAGAGAGGGAGACGCAGTCAGAACTAACAGCTGTGACATCCAGCATCGAGGGTCATGTTTTCACACGACCTCATGAATACGTCTTCCTTTCTCTGATTCACACAGGGGAAACTATGATGGTAGTTTTGACAAAACAGAGCCCTGAGCTTCCTTGTTAGCACCCACCTCCTTCTTCGGGCGGTCGGATACCAGCGTGTCCTCGCCCTGTGGGTGGATGTGAACTAGAACAAGGTCACACTGCTGGATTGCCATCAGCCTGAAACACACAACAATTAGTTAGAAATAAGAAAACCTTTTTAAAAGTGAAGAACGGCTGCAAGATTGAGATTCTAGTCAGAGAATTATCAATAGCATATTTGAGCCTTTTCAACGAGTGTGATACATTTCTTCGCACTTCATCCGACACTGACCTGTCTGAGCCGGCTGCCAGCTTGTTTTGTTCTAAAATGGTTTCCTGGATGCAGTCTTCCAACATGCGAACATGAGTATCACTGTATGACAAAACACATAAACAGCACTGCATTATAACACATACCCAGAGCTTCCTGCAAAATATCAACTAGTAGACAAGACAGCTTGGGAGATATACAGGAAAGGGGGAGAGAGAGAGAGAGAGAGAGAGAGAGAGAGAGAGAGAGAGGGGATGACACACAGCAAAGGGCTACAGGTCGGATTCAAACCTATGGACCGCTGCAGCAAGGACTCAAGGTAGATGGGGTGCCAGCTCTACCAGGTGAGCTACCGTGGCACCTCAACTCTATGGTAATTCTTAAGGCTGTTTTTGTATTGGATTGCATCATACTGTAAAGTGTTTGTAATATTTCTGATCCTCTATATAAGTAAATGAGGTGAACAAGTGTTCAGCATTAAACACACAGATTTTTAGCAGAATCTATCAACATCTAGCCAATGGCTGCTGTTGATTTTCCAGCCATGTTAATGACAGTGTTTACCTTTTAGCATTGGTTAGGCAGATAATACGCCCCCTATTGGCAACTCTCTCAGCCGTGTCCATCAGAGAGGTGCGCCTCTCGTGCTGCAACTCTGTGATCTTGCATAACGACTCCACCGCAGCAACCAGCCCATGCAGGATGCTGCAACACTCTGGATCCTCGCGTGGGTTGGGTGGCCCAACAGCTGCCAGAGCTGACATTAGCTGCCGGAGAAAGGGGAAAAAAACTGCATAATCATACTGCACCGTCTGATTCTGAAGAAGACTTCTGCAAAAATGTGGTCGCTGCTGTTCATTAGAAATGCTGAACTTTCGGCAAATTGCAGCTGCTGCAACATCTTGAAAATGCAACACTGATTGTACACTAACAAATCATACTGACATTGATGTTATAATTGTAATAGATTATGTGAGTTTCTGTGTGCAGTCAATTACCTCATGAGTACTCTGGTCTTCCTGCCTCCAGCTGTTCAAGATGTGGAACTCTGAATCACTCACAATGTAATTAACCTGTAAAATAAAGAGGTGGCAGAAAAGTGGTGGTGTTGATGTCACTGATGCACTGAAACTATACTGATTAAAACTTTCTAAGCGTATCACATATTACATTAGGTTTCCCACAAGTGATCTCAACTGTTAGGTCATTTAGTTACATCACTTGAGTGAAACCAGTGGTGGAGAAACAGAATGAGCTAAAACATTTCAGTTAAAAACAAAAGGAAAAAAAAAAAAAAAGACGCTAACCAGTTTGTCCCTTGGATAAATATCGTAGAGGATCCGACAGTACTCCATGGAGCACTCCACAGCACAGGTCCACAGGGACTTGGACACAGGGGCCAAAGGAATAACCCCTTGAGCTCGACTCTTTGTCAGCACGTCACACTCCACCTGCTGGCGACTTGACTCCGCCATGTAGGGACAGTGGTCCACCACGAAGACGGTCTTGTGAGACACAGAGAACATCTTCGTTTTGCACATCTGCACTGTGCACTGATCTGTAAGGGTGACAGCAGATACACCAATGTTAGGCTCTGGGTGAATTAGTCTTGCAGAATGAATCATGTTTTCATTTTTAATTGCTGGTTCCAGGCCCAATGCATATTAAAACCTTATGTTCCCCTTAATTGGGATGTTGTAGAGTGCAAACACACAATATCTTAACTCAATTATAATTATTATACCAACACTGTAATTATTGTGTTATAAGACGGTCAAATATATTTTACAAACACATCTTATTGCAGTATTTATTTCCTTTTTGAGCACTACAGCTACAACATAAACAGTAACAGGTTATCGTTTGATGTGATTGCTGGTGGTGGATAGGGAAATCTCCATTCACAGAATCAATCAATCATACATGTTCAACATTTCTAAACCGTGTCAGCGGAACGTTTTCCCCGGACAGAAAATGATCTAACCCCGCTAAAAACCGTGCTCGCTCTCTTGGGGGTCAAGTTACGACTAAGTGACAGACTATCTGACCACCAATCAGTCTAAAGACTCAGTTATTTAACAACAACTCCAAATGGTTCGCAAGCTAACTCGACTAACGCTACTTGCTACAGGAGCACGACACCGAGCACTGCGTTAGCCTGTCAGCTAACACTAATCGGAATAATTTATTACCGGCGACATAAACACTCACCCATTGTGGCATTTGTGTTAGACGACGCTGTGTGTGTTCTGTTTGTCCCACTTTCGATGGATCATCACCTCATAGTTTACAAACTTGCAACGACGAGCATAAACAATACATGTAGCCGTTAGCCGTTAGCCGCTAGCAGGTTTGTTATTGGCGGAAATGTGTCCAGTGGTGTTCCGTCACCGTTTTCCTTCCCCTTAGATACTGAAGATACTTTGTTCCGTGGTTCAGACGCATAAGCCACCACATTGCGCAAATCAAAACTTTATGTTTTAGTTACCTGTTATTATAAAAATGTATCATGTCTGCTATTTATTTATTTTTTTTCAAATGTTTGTTCTCAAGTGAGACCAACGGCTAAAAGCAACCGTTAACACACGGCGCTAACGTACGTGCTGCTTCGTCTTCTATTAAATTAACACACATTGATTTTAAAACGTTGGCTTTCCTCCAGGCGAACATATTAATATATCATTATGGGCGGACAGCAGACGCCTGTGCGATTAAGTAAATGTATAAAGAGTTTTAAGCCGTTGGATATCGGTTAATGGTTGAGTTTCCCTTGTAAATGAACGTTATTTGAATAAAGTAATGGGGCAACGTCAGTTAGTGCCGGGTGTCGCCATGGTTCCCCGGGGTTGGTGCTAACGGCAAACACCAAAGCGAGGCAAATACGTAACTTTAACTTACTTAGCAAGTTTGTTTAAGAGTTCACACGATAGTAAGAATACTAAACTAACTTTTTATAAAGAATGTGAAGAAAAAAAAATAAAAAACTTTTAAAGAATGTAAAGTGGGCGTAACTTGAGCTGTCAAATGTGGCTGAGAAACATGAACACCCTCCTTCTCCTCCGCCTTCGACCCCACCCGTTAGAGTCCCCCTCTCTCAAGTCACAACTTGAACCAAGCTAACTTTATGCGGCTGAAACGATGTTGAGAAATAAAGTAAGAATGTGCGGAGGAAGGGGCTGCGCTTTAAAGTGACTACATTATCATCTACGTGTTGTTTTTAGGTTGTTTTTTTTTTTGGGTTGTTGCTCTCGGTGATGTGACTGGAAAACCCCCTTCTCCACAAGGACCATGGACGACAACGACATCTTCGAGATGGACTCCGTGGCTGACACAGAGGAGATGGAGGCTGATACTGAGCTGGGCATGATAGATGAAGAAGTTGGTAAGAGAACACCTTTATCTTTCGCAAGAGTTGTCTTGTTGTTGTGGGTTCATGGACAATGTCTGGACTTAATCCCAGCTATCTGGAGTACAGTATGTGTTACATATGAAACTTTTCCTCCCTGGGAAAAGTTAGCACACACTCATTCATCACCACTCTGCTTTATAATCTGTTCTCAGTTTAAACAGTGAAGCTTTCCTGGGTGTAACTTCCCTAAATACACCTTTAAAAGTTGCTTAAAAGTGGTGGACAATAATAAAGTACATGTATTTCTACTTTCTAATATACAAAGTACAACTGTGAGAGGCTGCAACTTCACTGCACTTTAACTTTTGATTCATTTTCTTGCTTATAAATCTGTATTTAAGTAGGAACTTGAATGCAACACTTATTATAAGTATAGTATTTTTACCCTTTGCTCTTTTATAAGATCTGCTTATGATGACTGGTTCATGATTTCCCTGTTTGTTTCATGTTTCACAATGACTATTTCTGCCATTATGAAACACGACCCATGTGTCATCCTTAAAATGTTATAATGTTAATATAGAAATAGACGATCAAAAAAAGGATTCTGTGAGCATAGGAGTCTGTTTAACTCAGCGTGTCAGAAGAGCTGTTTTACACCAGTGGGGGTGTGACGCACACATTTGTAAGAGCGCACGAGGTCACACACACACATATTGCCAACACAGATGAACATAGATAATGGCTGTTGGGCAACCATCAGTTTAAAAGACAACAGCCCAAAAGCAGCAAAAATCCATGTTTATTTTTTATCTATATTATGTCTGCTGTGGCTCTTGGAAAGGCTGCAACTTCAGAGGCCAACTGATTGCATCTCTCCGCATTTTTTGTGTCTTGCACGTCTTACATTCCTGACACAACAAACTGAAACCACATCTTAACTTTGGAATAATAGACACTTACAGCTGCACCACAGTACGTTACAGTGTCTGTACAGCTGTCAGGAGAATCTTATGGGAAATGTTTTTCAGTCTATACGCGCCTTTGTGTTTTGTCTTGTCCACAATGACATACTGTCTCAGTTCACTGAGAAACAAATGGTCCTTTGGGCTAGCTTTAATAGTTGTCAGTAAGTACAGTACATAAAAGGCCCTTACCATATGGAAATGGTCACTGCTTTTCACACTGTATCACAAAGGCCATGCCAAAGTGCTCTCTGTATAATGGAGCCTATTATCACCTGTTATGAATTATTAAGGTTCACTCTTTATTGCAGCCTGTGATGGTGTGATAACAGCACAAAAACACACAACACTGGCTCTTATAATACTTTTATAGTTTGCTTTGGCTTAATAATGTGCAAAGTGAACACTGTGGTGAGACAGGAAGTCTTATTTTTACCTCACTTTGTGGCTTTGGTGCCGTATTCCTCTTAACATGGCTGTAGGTCAATGCATATTAGGGAGAGAGGTAGGTCTCCATTGCTGGAAGCATGTTTCAGTGGAAATGAATCATTAGTGGTCTTATTTCTCATTCGAAGCATACAATTATTGGCACTAAATGTAAATACTGAAGCAAGATCTTAAGTCTGATTCTGTTCCTGTGAAAGACATTATACTCATAGACCTTGAACACATGTCATAAAATGCCCCGGGCTCTGATGCAGAAAAGAATTTCCTGTTAGATTATAAGAAGGTCACTTTGCTGTTGCTGGCATTAAACTTGAAGAGTTAAGTGTTGAAGTGTTAGCCCTTAGATGGAATAAAATCTGGATCATGCACCATGCTGTGCTAAATAAAAAAAACGAATCCAGCTTGGCACAGCTCTTTCTGTTAAAGAAGTATGCGTTTGTTTGGTCTGCTATTATTTCGTGTGTTGTTATGGAGGATGTTCTCTAGGGAGGAAGTGAGGGCTGGGTGGGTGGGTTGGTTGTGGCAAGAAAGCAGCGCAGATTCAACATGCTTTTCAAAGTTTCCACTGCAAGTTTCAGAGATTTTGTTTGGGGTTTATGTGTAATGACTCAACACAACATTTTATTTGTTTTACACATCAAAGTTGTGACATAGTGATAAAATAAAAATGTGGGTACTATAGTACATACATATAAAACACACAACTAAAGAAATTTAGTTTAGTAGTCCTCATATACATACACTGTGATATAGTTTACTGTGAAGATTTAGGTCTTTTTCACAAGTGAGAAGAGTCAAAAGCCAGGCTGTTTAATTCCTTCTGGTGATAAATAAGTCTGCAACAAAATAACAATGTCCCTAGGCACTGTCATTAAGGGATACTAGGTAATTTGTCTGTGGTTCACCTGCTTGTCAAAATTCTACCAGACCTACCAGAATAACAAGATTTATTATAGGTCAGACTGTTAGGCTGGTAGATGAGTTTCCAAAGTAAAGTCTTATTTGATGAGCATTGATCACGCAGTTAAGTTTCCCAGGGTGTTACTATGGGCAGTGTTTGGAAAACAACATCTGTCTTTAGTTAGTTGTCTTGTTCTCCTATTTATATGGAAAGATTTGAGGACTTTCCATATTGGACGTTGTGTCATCTGTTTTGTAAAGAAAAATGGCATTTATAGTATAATTATTAAGGCATATAACTGTGGATATAGTAGTTGATCACATTGGTTTTTGTTTGTTTTGATGTGGTCAATGGTGTGATCACTGACTGCAGAGTTCTACATGATCATTTGGGGAAACACTTTAATAGATACTGTGTAGGGACGACATAGTGGTGACCTATTTCTTTTCTTTTTCCAGGGAGTAATATAACATTGTGGTGAGTGCGCCGTTATGTGCAAGCAGTAAAACAAAACACTAGCATGACGTTTGGGGGAAGCCGTCCTGTAACAGGAGGAGTACTTCCCTCTGGCAGGAGGCTGCGGTCCATCAGGACCAAAACCTCACACCACAAGAGTAGTTTTTTTTCCCCATCTGCAGCTGGTCTCATCAACAAGACCCGGGGCCCCCACTTACACTGACTGTTAAACCCACCCTGTGTAAATGCAGTACATTAATGCACTTCCCTTGGTGTTTTTTTGTGTTGCATATTGCAGATGTCATTATGTGTCACACTGCTAACTATGCACATTTCTGTACAGCTCTTTACTCATTTATTTAAATATGCATCCATTTTATACATATCCTATTTTGTATCTTTTTATCTATATTTATATTTTTCTATCTTGATTTTGATTCCTTTGCACCAAGGCAAATTCCTCGTAAGTAAAAACTTACTTGGCAATAAACCTGATTCCGTGCTGCTTCAGTGAGTGAACCAGTGAGGTAGAAAATGAATATTGTTTGGTCAGTTTCCAGTTGATAGTGCATGAATGTGAAGTAGAGCAAGGTTGTGTAGGGTCAGCTGCAACTCCTCTGGAAAAGAAAGCTGAGTCTACAGCTATGCTAGCAGCCCTGTGAGGCTGTACTTGAGCTGAACACTAATGTTAACATGCTAGTGTTTAGCAGGTAAGCTTGAATATAATAAAAGTCTGATAAGACTATATCACTTGCTCTTCTTTTTAATGTATTTAAACACATACAACAGCATTGTACTTGCTGTGTCACTGAGCATCTGATTAATTAAGCTGTGGTTTCAAACTGGGTCACTTAAATCAGAGGTGTTGAGGGTTTCAAGTGTTGTTGGGTGCTACAGTACGCTGGTCCCGGGTGCTCTGTTGCAACAAGCACAGCTTCAACTTAACCGCAGGTAAATGGCAGCTAAACCGGATGTATGATGATGTAACTCTATAAAGTCCGTCCCACACAGGAGATTCAGAGGAGTGCCACATAATATTAATAGTGTCAGCTAACCATCAATAACTTCTAAGTTAGAAATACCACTGGGACCATATACAGTGTTTGTGTTTCATCATTATTAAAATTAAAAAATTATAAATAATGCAGTGGCAGTGGGTCTTACAACATATCTATATTTATTTGACTGAGTAAACAGTTCACATGTGCTGACAAACAGACCTTAACTGCCCTCAGTTTGTCAGATAACCCTCTCTCTGGCATTCAAAGTATGTGGTTTTACACAATATAACTATTATTAGTAGTATTATTAGTTATTGCACAAACTTTTGAATAATACATGTCATTGAAATTATCACTATATTAAATAACCACAAATAAAAATACGAAACAACATCAAATTTAATATACAGATATAATATACTATATACAAATATGAATAAAATTGCCGCCAGTAAAGGTTTTATTGGTGCACTGTACTGCTCTGGTTTTTCTTTTGTCATGCTTGAACCATAGACATATCTAAAGCATATATACAGTATATTTATACGATAATGTATCGTTTGGGCTAAGGTAAATATCCATGTAGTTTTGTGCGTCTTTGATTATTATTTTCCCGCTGCATTCCCATTCATGTGTTTGGTCTGTTTTTCACAGTTTACCCACAGGAGTTCCTGCCGACGTATGAAACCATTAAGGAAGGAGCAACAGTAGCCAAAGCACAGCTGGTGAGTCCACACAATAACGTTGGTGTGAGCTACAGTAGCAGCACATCAATCAAATGTACTCTGTGTGGGTGTAGATCGACTGATTGATTGTTTTAATTAAGTTGTCATACTGTCCATGTGGAGGAAGCCACATTACTTGTATATTTCAAATATTATCCACACACCTACCTGTATTTATAAGGATTATAATACAAATCTTAGCCAAAATAATTTCAATTTTCTCAAGCTTTTCTTAAGGCACACTTATTTAGCTAATAGAAGGCAGATATTTAAGTCAGTGGATCATGCCAGTTATTAAGAGTGGTGTCACAAGTCTGATGTGTGTGGAGAGAGAGAGAAGAGAGAGAGAGATGAAGGGCGGATGTCATAATGTTTGTTGACTCTTCCCACTTCTCCTGCACGTCCCACATCACTGGCTGGTGAAGGTCAGTGTTTAACAGTATCTCTGCTCAGACTGTCCACACACAGTCGCTCCTCTCTCCGGGGCATCATGTACGACATTATGGAGGAAGAAGTGTTCGAGTTCCAGGCTGCAGAGTTATCTGATGAGCCTTGTTTTTGCCCTCAGGCAGAGTTTAATGACAAACCGGACTCCTTATTCTTCAATGATGGCGTGAGGAGGATCGACTTCATCCTGGTCTATGAGGATGAGGATAAGAAGGACTTCGAGAAGAGGCACACGTTCCAGCGTCGCAAGGTAGCTCTCTGACTTTTTAAACCTTTTTTAAGCTGCTACTTGTTCCTGCACAGTACATTTTAGAATAAATCTGCAGGTATTTAAAGTAATGGAAGTGGTGTAAAAGTGAGTGTAAAGTGATCTCCCCTAAAAAAAAAATAAGCATCTGTAAAAAGTTATGTTTTGAGTTTTTCATGTTTTGCTGAGTGTACTGTTGAGAGATGACAGGAAATGTGGGGAGAGAAAGGAGGGGGACGTCATGTGAATGACAATAGCAAATAATTTGTCTATTCAAAACAATATTCATTATTATTATTATTATTATAGAGTACAGTATAGCGATGAATGAAACATGACATAACTGAACCAGACGGGAATGCAAATGAGAACTTCTACTTATTAGGAAGGATATGGCTGAATATGATATGCCTTGTGTGTTATATTACAAATACCAACCTATTGACTCTTGCCTATTTGTAAAGGGAGTTTGTATTTACAGCAGGGTGGCAGTCCTATGATGTTATAATAATTACTCGTGCCAGTGTATGTTCAGCACTGTGTGTACAATAGTGCTTTAATCTTCAGTTATCCAAGAAAGGGAACAGCTGAGCATACATTGTTTGTATAGTTCCTTTCTACTTCACTTTAATTCACCATTTTGAACTGTGAGTTGTTCAGGAACAGCTCCGGGCTACGTTGCCTGGGGGGGGAGTTGTGGAAATGAAGAGCGTCACTCTTTCACTTACACCAACAAAACTTTGCCAAGAGAATTCAGATCACATCAGTCTGGTCACAAGTCTCCTCATGTATATTTGTCTAACGTTGGCCCTCAAATTTTAAACCTTAGAGAGTGTGAACAGAGTAAATCCGAAAGCAAACACTCGTTCCAGGTCTGTCTAACTACCTTTTAGCTGAGCCGGATATGAACGTCAGGGATGTGTGCAGGGATTGTGCACAAATCAAGAACACTGCGACATGAACTGACATACCGACGTCTGTTGTTTGTTGCCGCCTGTGTCTTTCACAATAGGTGTACAGTGAGGGGTGTGCAAGATAAGGCTTGAAAATACTGTAGATCCGCAGACCTTCCAGGCTGTTACCTGCACTGTTGCAATCGTAACCCTCAAGTTGTTTTGAAATTGAGGCTGTGCCCTGTGAAGGCTAATACCAAACATCATTAATTTGTAAATAGTTTAGAAAATGGTAAAAGTTGGCAAAAAAGTTATGTCTTCTGTTAAGTCTTTTTTTAACAGAAACACGTGTGTAGAAGCTGATCAGCCAGTTTTAGCCAGTTCCCGGGAAGAGACCTGCTCTTACGGCTGTTGCAAGTCTCATGAGCTTCTTCACCACAGATCCACTGTAACTGAGGCAATTCCTCATTTGTAATCATATTAAAACAAACTAAATCCAGTTAGGGATGACAGAACAGTCTCTACCAGGCACTCCCTTTTTTTTCCCAGAGTCAAATGTGGGTCTGAACAGGAGTTGCAAAACCTTTTTTTTCCTGCTCCTAATGCTGGAAGGGCGTGGTTCACTTCAGATACTGTTGGCAAGATTGCTAGCTTTCAATGAAGCTAAATTCACTCACATGTTCATTCATTTTCATGTGCTTATGCTATTTCCTGTGTGTCATGTAATCAGGGTTGGCTAAAACAAACTGTAAAGAGATTTTGGCTTTTGCTTTGCCAACACCCTCAAAGGTATTCCTTAGAATGGGATTGACCTACCGGAAAATGTGTAAAGGTGCCTTGGATGATATGATCCCAAAGAATCAAATGGCTTATAAACTTCAGTATAAAAGCCGTTTGAACAAGAAGATTTAATAATGTTATTCACTGTACCTGATCCTTTTAGTGAGCTCCTCTCTCCATTGCGTCCAGCATTCACTGTAGCACCATAGTTGATGACATGCTACAACAAGAACGTGCTATGACTTGCTTACAGTATTATCATTCTTTACCACTATGCACAGTGTAAATAATGGTGATGATATGGAACTGGAACATGTCTAAATAAGTGAGCTATCAACTCTACAGTTAGCTTTAAATGAACATAATTAAAGGTCATATTAAAACAATATTGAGAAAATTGAATCACATAAAGCGAAAGAGGCTAATTCTTCTATTCAAATCAATTAAATGTATCTAAATTAAAACACTTCTGTGTGCTCACAGTATTTCCACTGTGTTTGGCACATGAGTCATGCATACAGCTTCAGTACTTCCCATAGAGAAATTGAATTAAAACAAGAAGCTCATTGGAAGTCTGTTCTGTGTTCTCTTCTGTAGAGGCGGCGGGAGTACTTCGAGGCCAGCCTGATGAAGATGGGGCTGGAGCTGGAAGCCACACAATCTGTAAGCAGACTGCACTTTTTTTTTTTAAAGGTTTCTCTCACTGTATCTCGTATTAAAAGCAACCCTCATTCGTGTTCTGCAGGTAATCGATGAGAAACTGCTGTTTGTGAAAGTCCACATGCCGTGGGACGTGCTGTGCACCTACGCCGAGGTCCTCCACATCAAGCTTCCCATCCAGCCCAACGACCTGTCCTGCCACCCCTCCCCGTGGCGCTGTCTCTCTTTCCTCACCAAGCCCTTCTACCCCAGCGAGGAACTGATCACCAAGGAGGCCGAGTTTTTCACCGCCGCCTTTGAGAAAGACCGTCTGGACTACTTCTACATGAAGGACAAAGACACCTTCTTCACTCCGTCCATGAGGAGCAGGATGGCAAGTTGTTTTCATCTTTCACTTTTATAACTTTAAGGATGAAGTTAATGTAAAGGAATTCTATAGGGCTGTAAACATAAAACCTCTTCTTCTTCCAGGCATACTACATCCTGAGTCGTGCCCCCTATGAAATACGGGGGAACATAAAGAAGTTTGGCATCACCAAACTGCTGGGAGGTGGAGTGTACAAGGCTGCCTATCCCCTTCATGATGTAAGTGATATCATTTGCCACCTGTGTAAATGTTCATATCTGTCGTGCTTTTAGTGAATCTAGTTTTGTGTCTTTTTCAGTTTATAACAGTCATATTTAGCTTGGTTTTAATGCTATTAATGATCTAAAAATTTGCTGAAATCTTTCTTTGTTTGTGTTATTTCCATGTTGGCTATTTCAGTGCAGGTTCAATGTCAAGTCCAAAGAGGACGACTGCCCCAACGAGAGATATCTGCTATATCAAGAATGGGCTAATCCCAAAAGCTTCTACAAGATGCAACCACTTGACCTCATAAGGTGAACACATCTTTTATGTTCTCATCCAAAAAAGGAACTTATAAGTACTAAAATGGCTCTTTCATGTGTTTCAGCTCAGCTTAAACTGAAGTGTTTGCTCATGTTTATGTGTCAATAAAAAGTGTTTGCCTGCAGTTACTTTTCCTGTGTGTGCAAGCAGGAACAAAATCTGTTACGCCTTTGTCCTGTTGAGGTTTCTTTTTCCTAATTGATGAGCCAGAGAAGTTGTGATTTAAAAAACAATTGTTTTTTTCCACAGGAAGTATTACGGGGAGAAGATTGGCATTTACTTTGCCTGGTTGGGTTTCTACACAATAATGCTCACTCTGGCCGCTGCTGTGGGATTGGGTTGTTTCATTTATGGATACAGGACTCAAGACACCAGCACCTGGAGGTACATTCCCTTATATACACTCCTTGAGATGTCCCCAAGAGCTGTTGAATGAAGAACTTAGTATAAGTAGTTAAATTATGTATATATGCTGTTTTGAGATGAATCAATATTATTAAAGTATAAGAAATACCGCAAATCCTCATTATGTCTATTTTTCACCCTGCTTTTCACCTTTGCTTCATTTTTATACACTTCCCTGTATATTAATCTCTATTCTGTGTTGAAATTACTGCAGCAAAGAGGTGTGCAACCCTGAAATTGGAGGCCAAATTGTGATGTGTCCACAGTGTGACAGAGAATGCAAATTCTGGAGGTTGAACAGCACCTGTGAAGCTTCGAAAGTGAGTGAATGTTTTTCACTTTGTACGCCATCGGCTAAAATTAATTAATATATTATAATAGTATAATATATATGACTATGTCGCTATAAGATAATTATCTGAACACATTTGTTTGAGAAATTCTTTCACCTGTAGTTTTGAACATTTAAACTGCAGCTCCAGCCGAGGCTAGCAGTGGCTACTGCGTCAATAGCAACTAAGCTTATTCCATAATTGTCGCTTGAGGCTACAGTGGTCGCTGTTACACACTGTAGGTTGTCCATTTGGACTGCAGCTGCACACAATACAGTTACAGAATTACCATATTTGAATGTGTGTGGCTGTTATTATCCCGAGTGGCACGGCAGCAGTTGTGTGTTGCATTTGCATGTAAGCAGTAAACAGCTGCGACAGTTATAACCCCCATGTTTCTCTCTTTTTCTTTCTCTTTGCAGAAACTTTGTATATTTGATAACTTTGGAACCCTGGTATTTGCAGTTTTCATGTCAATCTGGGGTAAGTTTTATATAATTTCACAAATCACTTCCACAGAGCGTATTGTCATGCTACAAATATATTGTAACTTATGATTTGAAATGATTATTTAAGGTTAAGTTGTTGTTTCTTTTTTATTCCTTGCTTCATCCTCTTCCTGTTCATTTCCTGGCTGTAGTAACTTTGTTCCTGGAGTTTTGGAAGCGCTACCAGGCTGAGCTGGAGTACGAGTGGGACACTGTGGAGTTTCTGGAGCAGGAAGAGCCGCCTCGCCCAGAATATGAAGCCAAATGTATCTATGAGAGGAAAAACCCAGTCACAGGGGTAAATCACATACACAGCTAAAGATGTATACCATTGTCAGGAAACCGGTTTAATCTTTAGTTAATACAAAACAATAAGAAGTTAACATGGGTTCTAAATATTGAGTCAATAAGATTTAGAGATGCTTTGTTTTGCCTCATTGTTGTCAAAGTACAGTATTTTATATTGATTGTTTGTGATTTAGGTAAAAGAAAAAGTTCCCTATACAGCCTGCGGACGATGCTTTCGGGTGTCGTTAGGAATTGGGACTGTCGTATTCTGGGTAATGTAAATAAATAATTTTTATTTCAGTTAATTTTTCTTGCTATTTTACCAGTCTGTAATTCACTAACTAAGATTTTCTGTGAATAAATATGTAGTCTGGTACTAATTTTAGGGAAAATGCTAATTTCTTTGAGCAAAAAGGTCAATTACTCATTTATTATTGGAAACTTAGCTCTTAATATACATTGAATTGTATCTTTGCATGTAGACAAATGACATGTTTCTGCTTGTTCAGCTGACTAAAAGACTCTTAATGTTATTCTAATTAAGTTATTAATTGGAAGTTTACTAATTGAACATCTCTCTATTCTAACGTATCTATTTTACCTACAACTAATGAAAAATTAATAGTTTTTTCCAGGAAACTTTTCCAAAATTATCGACCGATTAAATAAAGCAAAACCTATTTTCACCATAATATGCATCAATCTTTTTATTTTCATTTTTGTCTTTTAGATTTTTTTGATCCTGGCGTCCATTGTGGCCATCATTGTCTACCGCCTGGCAGTATTTTTTGCCTTCTCAGCTAAACTCAGGACTCAGGACCTGAGGGAGCTGGAACCCCTAAAAGAGTATGTGACGCCGCAGATGGCCACGTCAGTCACTGCCTCCCTCATCAGCTTTGTTGTAATTATGATCCTCAATGTTCTGTATGAGCGGGTCGCCATTTGGATCACCGATTTTGGTGAGTTTGAATTTTACTTCTGCTCAGTATTGACTTGCGTGTGCTTTATACTGAATCCTTTCTTATCTGACACACAATAACAGAGCTTCCGCGGACCAAGACAGACTACGAGAACAGCTTGACTCTGAAGATGTTCCTCTTTCAGTTCGTCAACTATTATTCCTCATGTTTCTACATCGCCTTTGTCAAGGGGAAAGCAGTTGGTTATCCTGGAGACCCCGTCTATCTCTTGGGAAAATACCGGAACGAGGAGGTACAGTTTGTCCTTCTAGCTGTCGCCTGTCTAACTTACTCACTTCTTATTCTTAACTCTTGCTTTGTGTCTTGTTTGTCCTGCAGTGTGATCCTGGCGGTTGTCTGATCGAGCTGACGACTCAGCTCTCGATCATTATGGGTGGAAAAGCCATCTGGAACAACATCCAAGAGGTCTTGCTACCGTAAGAAGTCAGAATCTAACAACAATTTTTCAGTTAAATGTAAAAAACAAAGTAATACAATTAAGTAACAGAATGGCGGCTTACAGAGGCAACGGTTCCCTGGCTCATTTGCTGCTTGCAACATGTGTCAAGGCCAAGGCTGTCCAAGGCGATAGCTAATCATACGTCAACTCTCCAGTGTCATATGGAGTCACTTATGATCTCTTCCTCCTTCCACAGGTGGGTGAAAAATTTGATTTTTCGCTACTTCACCCGTGTGACCTCACAGAAGGTGATCCCTCGCTGGGAACAGGATTATGAGCTCCAGCCTGTTTCACAACTAGGACTGTTCTATGAATATCTTGAGATGGGTAAGTGGAGAAGAAGGTCTTCTTCAGTCCCTTTGTCTACCACATTTAGACCACCTGGCACAACTGAATCCTGGGTTGTTTTTTTACACTTCTATCTCGTCTCTCTTACAGTCATCCAGTTTGGCTTTGTGACTTTGTTTGTGGCCTCCTTCCCTCTGGCTCCGGTCCTGGCTTTGGTCAACAACCTGTTTGAGATTCGGGTTGATGCTTGGAAAATCACCACTCAGTTTCGCCGCGTGGTGCCAGAGAAGGCCCAGCATATAGGGGCCTGGCAGCCCATTCTTGGAGGCATCGCTATATTGGCTGTGGCAACAAATGTAAGTTACTGTTTACACTGGATTATTAGTTATGAGGTACAAATGTAAAATGTAATGTAATTTAATGCAGCAACGCTTCAGTAAATCCTACTTTTGTAAAGCATAATATTCAGTTTTTCAGTAAAGTTTCACAATCTAATGCAGTCTAGTGAGATACAACAAACTACAGACCTTAAAATGAACATATGTTTGAATCTTCCCGTCTCTATTACTACATTTACTTTGTGTCCTGGTGTCTCAACAGGCCATGATCATTGCTTTTACGTCAGACATGATTCCACGGTTGGTCTACTACTGGTCTTTCTCCGTGTACCCGTATGGAAATTACTCTAATCACACCATGGAGGGCTACATCAACAGCTCGCTGTCTATATTCAGCACCAGCCATTTTTCTAATGAAAGCATGCCCATAGCCACTTACAACATCACCACCTGCAGGTACAAATACTAATCCTTGTGTGTGCTGTATTCAGTTTGTCCTTGTTGGACTATGAAGAGAGTACCGTGTATTTTATTCTAACTGTAATCCATTTGGAAAACTATTGCTCACTCAGTTAAAACACATTAATGGATTTACATTGTATTTTGGTTAGAAAAAGTCTTCCCTAGACATAATTTTATACATGAAAGGACACATATGTGATTCCACTTGAAGATATTATTGATAATATAATAGTTCAATGCTCGCAATATTGATGTCCCGGGGGTTAAATCGGGGCTGGGGCCTACAACGTAGGCCTATGATGGGCTGGGCCTCTTTGGGGCTCAGATATAAATTCAAGAAACAAAAGGCACAATAGTGTGATGGAAACTTGTGGACCAAATAAAACCTCTTTATATGAACACACAAGAAATAAAATATGATGGTGGTTTCTGAAGTAAATAATTAAAAACCTTTCTGTCCTAGGTACCGAGACTTTCGGTATCCCCCCGGTCACCCCAGGCAGTATGAGTACAATGTCTACTACTGGCATGTGATCGCTGCCAAAATGGCTTTTATAATCGTTGTAGAGGTGGGTATACACAGGACATCTCCGTGGCACAAAATTATTATGAAAACAAGAATGAAAACATATTCATTGAGGTGTCTTTTTCTTCTCCTCACAGCACATTGTGTACTTAACCAAGTTCATCCTGTCCTACGTGATCCCAGACGTCCCGTACGCTGTCAGAGAACAAATCAAACGAGAGAAGTACTTGACGCAGGTTATCCTCCACGAGACCAACCTCAAGCTAGTGACCAAACGCTTGAAACCAATCAATGAAGAGACCCTTAAAGACACAGCGATGAAGATGGCAATGGAGGAGCTTGATCCTGATTTCTGACAGTAGAAGAAAAAGTACGGAAGATGGGATGAGATCTTCATCCCTGATACTGTATATACATACATCCATACTTAGTGTATTGCTGCACCGACCCACAACCAACACTTGGTGAACCAGTGACTGAATTAACACCGGAAACAAAGTATGGACTTCTGTTATGAGAAATGTGTAGCAACCAGTAAGGAAGAAGATGTTGGGACAAAGAAAGGAATAACCACTGTTGTTTTGTTGTCACCCCCGCTGTCTGTCCTCACACTCTGGATTCCCTCAGTGTGTCAGGCCAAAAAGTGTGAAAGGGAAATGCACCTGCAATCTTTTATTTTAGTAGTGAAAACAGATTTACCAAGATAAGACAGCAGACAGTGCTAGAGGAGAAACTAGGTGCATTGATTTTTGCGGCGCGGTACAGAGAAGAGAAGCAGTGCCTCACACTTTGAAGCTTCACACTAAATAACAAATACCATTTGGTGTATTAAGCATAAAAAAACAGACATTTGCTCAGTTGTAATGGAGATAGTTCAGTTGTCTGTTAAGATTTCTAGTTTTATGACTACATATATACCTATATACTATTGCACTGTCTCACTTCGTCCATTGAGCTACTGGCTGGGGGGCTCAAAGCTTACATGTAACCAACAAGTGCCACTGCTGGGTGACTGTTTTACTCTTATGCTGTCATGAAATATCAGTATTATCATGTACAAAAATTGCACCACTTTTGGAAGAGATGATTAAGAGGTTATTTTTACTCTTCTATCTCTGTTACTGGCACTAAAGCGCTGTAGTGATGTGTCAAACACCTCACAATGTTACACAAGCGATGAATAGGTAGACAATAGAATAGACGTGGACGGCGTGTAAAAGTTTGATGTACACAAGTTTACAAACCACAAAAATGATTTAAAACTGAATGCCTTTTTTTTTTTATCATCACACCAAACACGGTTTAGTGTAGCTTATATTTTTAATTAAATGAATGAATCGCAAGCCTTGGTGGTTTAGTTTATGTGAATATAGTCTGTCTCTTTCTTTATCCACATACTCGCATCGACTGTACTGTTTTGCACATTGAGTTCTCGTCCTGTGCCACGACCGCTGCGCTGCACGACGTTTTGACTGCCTGTTATAGGTCATATATCCTGTGATGTAGGCGATGTGGTCATTTAATCTTCTCCTGTGTCATTGCTAAAGTCCTCAATACCTCTGTTGTATTATTGCCGCGCCCCCTGGTACTATAGCCACCGTTTATGTAAACAGTATCATATACCAGCAATATTTTATGATGCATATTTTTCTTGTCTTATTGTTTTATATAAAGCCATGAAATTGTTTTATAAAAAATAAATCCCTCTTGTACTTAAAAATCTTTAAAGATATTATTGTTTGTAGTGTCCTCTGTACCTCTGTCACGGTGTACTGACAATGCCCGGTGTACACTTCCACATCACTGCAGCAAGATGAGAATCAAAAACACTTCCTGCTACTGTTTTTGTATAATATATAACACACACATCTCTCTCTCTCTCTCTCTCTGCATCTGATCATGAACCTGACGAGAGCTCGAAACATATGAGCTTATTGAGTTGTTTCAGCTGCTTTTTGCTCCACTACAGCTACAGCACGTCATAACTGGAGCACAAAAAGAGCAGGAGTTGACAAATCAAGACGAGGACGGAGGAAGGAAGAAGAGCGAGAACAGCTACAGGAGGAAACTCCCAACTGAACAACTTGAGGGAGGTGTGGAATGCCATCACACGCTGTAAAGTTAATAATAACATTGAAAGATGGGGGTGAAAAAAGCAACAAGCTGAACCGGTTGTTTATTAGTTTCACTGGTCGGGCTGCTGTTTGCCTTTTCAACTCCTTTCTCAAGTTCATCCACCAAATTCTCCCTCCTGCTCAGCTCTCAGCGTCACAGCTGTCCGCCCTGATGGCATCAGTCCAGCTGTTATAGGGGCTCAGCCATGTCTAGTCTGCCAGGATATTTTGGTCCTTACTCCCAGGAGGAAACCTCCCAGTGATTTCATAACAGAAAGAGTTCCTGCACGGTTTATTAATTATTTATTATTTGGCAAACACTAATATCTCATTTGCAGATATAAAACCCAAGAACTAGAGCTGGTGGTGGGGGGGAAGCATTAATATGACATATATATATGATAAACAATATAAATATCTGTCATTAAAGATATCTATAGATGGCTTTACACCTTTACAACATTTTTGATCAGGCAGGCTTTTCAACGCTCTAGTGACGCCATCTAGAAGCGTCAGAGGGCCCATTTGAACCCACGTGTGTACACTGTGGGCCAACCAGGACACGTTTACACATCGTATTGTATTTATACTCATTTCTATATAAATATATATCGATAAAGCGCACTGTGTCTCCAGGATGAGCGCCCAGATTACTTGTGTCGGATGGGTGGGGAGAGGCGTTGCCAAGGAAACCCCGGAGAAGGTAAGTCGCTAACATGCTGGGCTAGCTGACGTTAGCCGACTAGAGGCTAATCTGTCAACATGGCAGGTACTCGGTGCTCCTGTGCTCGTTTAAATGACATTTCCAGCTAACTTTACAGATAATGTTTCTCTTTAAACTGTCACACACAACCTGGCGTTGTAGTGTGTAAACGCACTTTGTCTAGTAACTGTAGTTTTAGCTGACTTTTTAAGAGCCATTTGCAGATAGACAACCAACCCAAGTGACAAGAGAAACGTTTTGCTCCAGTAGATAACATGTGAGAGGTTGTAGGTAATGTACAGATGATGCTTGTACTGCAGCAAAAGTTGAAAAATCGATTAAACTGTGGAAAAGTGGAGTTTATCCGTCAGTTATTTAAACTTGAGGGGAAATTAAGTGGACAGTTTTGAAACAAACAAACAAAAAAAAAGTCTGTTCTTTGACAGTTTTTCTGCTTGACAATGATAATGTTTAATTCCTCTGAGTATGTACAGCTTTGTGTTAAGTGTTTACCTGTTTGCCTAAAGAACCAGGTTAAATTACTGTGTTTATGGACCCATGCTTCATTAAAATCAGGTACACTGGAAAGGTCAAGACTTAATAATAAAAGCATGGTACCTGCCACTGTACAATTCCTATGTATTAACAACTAATGCCAAGAAAGAAAAAACGTTCAATAATAATAATAATAATAATATAATACGCCGTCTCCCTCTTTGCTTGAGACACATGAGTTTGTCAGTTTTTTTTAAGCCACTACTTTTTATATTTCCATTTCAGGTTGAGTTGAGCCAAGAGGAGCTACAGCGCATCATCACTGAAGCAAAAGAGGAGCTGGGGTATGTTTGACTAAAACACACATTACTGCAGTCTGTGCCTCTGTTTCATCTGCTGGTATTGTCAAAACGTTCAAGTGTCACAAGTGTCAGCGTTGCCCCGTTGTTCTTCCCACGAAGCGGCCGGTGTCATGTTTCTTGTTTGCTCTGCTGAATCAGGGAACTAGTAGTCGAAGATGACGAAGAGGAGGATGAAGGTATTGCTTCTGAGCCGAATCCTGGCAGTGATACACCCGACGTTGCTGAAGTCCCAAAGGATGAGAATGAGGAAGATGACGAGCTAGCAGAGTATGGCCTGGATAAATATGATGAAGAGGATACAGGTGAGAGAGAGGGGGGGTGTTTACTGTATGTACAGTGTGTATATCCTCCGTTTTATTGTGTCTCACCACTTTACTCGTGTCGATATAAATGTAACTGAAAGTCTTGTTCAGTCTGACCCGGTATCTACTCTTTGTCTGTCTCCAATTCAGTGACCTCTAACCTCGGCGACAGTCTGGCTGGGCTCACAGTGTTCTGCTCTAATGATGAGGATCCTTACATCACCCTCAAAGACACAGTGAGTGTCCTCACTGATTATATGTGCATACACATTCAGTTTAGTCCCACTTCAAGTAGCACCTAAAGCCTGATAACAACTACAAATGTATATATGCTGTAAAAATTCAGATATGCAGACAGACAAATATGATTCCCAGAGCAGGAATGTCATTAAACCTGCATTAAAGCCATACGGTTTTAGCTCTGATGTTAACTATTAGCTTTGTTCTTCCCTCTAGGACCAGTATGAGCGAGAAGACTTCCAAATCAAGCCCGGCGACAATCTCATCCTGACTGGACGGGCAGAGAAAGACTGCTGCAATTTGGAGATTCATGGTAAATCTCTTCATATGCAACACAGCGAGATGACAGCAAATATCTTGAAAACACAGGGAAATACCTTTTGTTTGTTTGGAGACTGTTGTTCTAGCTTACTGTATAAGCTGAATGCATAACTGTGTATGTTAATGTCCCTATGCCTCGCCTCCCAAAACATTTTTATATTTAACGATTGATCTCTCGCTTTACAGTTTATAACTCACAGGAAGAATCTCTATATGTTCATCATGATATCCTGCTGCCAGCTTACCCGCTGTGTGTGGAGTGGCTAAACTTTGACCCCAGCCCTGGAGAAGGACTCGGTAAGAATCTTGTGCCTCGCTCCGACAACCCCAACAAATCCGGTTAACTATTCAAAACAGGCCTCAAGGTGTATTCCCTTAGATTCTTCAACATGTCTGTTAAGCCTGGCATTTATTTGACAGTAATGAATTGCCAGTACTGACCTGACTTTACTTACAGCTAACTACGCCGCTGTGGGAAACATGACCCCTCAGATAGATGTGTGGGACCTGGATGTGGTGGACTGTTTAGAGCCAGTCTTCTCCCTGGGCAGCAAAAAGGCCTCCAAGAAGAAAAAGAAGAGCAAGAAGGTAGAAGCCTGTTTGTATACTGTCTTATACGAGCATCAGTGTGGTGAAAGTGGCGTCTGGTTAAGTTAAGGTTAATCTGATTGGAAATGGGATGATTTCTTTTCTTTTTTAGGATGTTTGAAGGTCATTTTTGCATTTTCAACACCATCGATTGTCATTATTTCTTTGTTCTATTTGTTCGATGTCATTAACACGTTGCTGCCTGTTCTCTCTGATGCCAGGGGGCAGCAGCAGCAGAACCTGTCGAGGGGCACACAGATGCAGTGCTTGATTTATCCTGGAACAAACTGGTCAGGTCAGTATTTTTGGAGCATTCTTTGTACTTTTCCTCCAGTATTGGTGTAAAATAGGTCTTAAAAAGGTCTTACAGAGTAAATTTAACCTGTTGCAAAACTCTGTTAAACAAATCCACCTTTTTCTTGCCTTAGAAATGTGTTGGCCAGCGGATCAGCAGATGACTCAGTTATCTTGTGGGATCTTACTCAAGGCAAACCAGCCACAACTCTCCGCAGGCACACTGATAAGGTACTCCATGCTGGATGTAATCTACAGTGTATTTTTGGTTTTACACAGAATTTGCGGCCTTCAGCTTCTAGAAAACAAAATCTTTTTTTCTTCTAGGTCCAGACGTTAGCATTCCACCCATTTGAGGCTCAGACTCTGATATCGGGCTCATATGACAAGTAAGTTTAATCTAGCATTGTTGATATTTTATTGAAATAAAAGACTTTTGTAAATTTGACTTTGACACTCGTCTTTTCAGGACTACTGTGCTGTACGACTGCCGCAGTCCAGACAACAGTTACCGGACCTGGAGGTTTAGCGGTCAAGTGGAGCGTCTGATCTGGAACCACTTTTCACCATGTAACTTCCTGGTATGTGCTCAATTTCTTCTGCTCCATTTTAAAGGAAATAATCCGCAAACAAGGATCAGCAGTTTTACTCTCAGACTCTTTTTGTTTTCATCACATTTGATTGCAACTCCTCTGAGACACTGTCTCTCAACAACCGACTGTCCTGGCCTCCACGTCGTCCTGTAATTCCTCATAATGGACACCTCGTTGGGCATTATCCCTCACATAATCTGTCAAGAATGTCATCTGTGTTTTTCTACCTCCCAGTCTTGCAGAGATGAGACAGTCTTAAGAACTTCAACAACATGATGACCTATGTAATCATTAGATTAGGCATGTGGTTGTGGTAACAAGCATGTTTGTCTCAGAGAGATCCAGTTGCAGAGATTGAGTCAGGTCTGGTTAGATAACTAATCATTCAAAATCACAGTTTACCCATTACACTATAAATATAGCTGGTGTGTTTGCTTTTAAGTCATTGTGCTACAAACCTTGTTTACCTCTCTTCTAGTATTTCTTTCACAAGCTCAGTGGATAACCCAGAGTTGTGGTTGTGTTTCAGGCCAGCACAGAAGATGGATTTGTCTACTGTCTGGACGCACGCTCGGATAAACCTGTTTTCACACTGAGGGCTCATGATGAAGAAGTGTCAGGTAGGTTGTGTGTGTGTCTGTGTGTCTCTGTGTGTCTGTGTGTGTCTCTGTGTGTGTAGCTGTCGGTCATGATGAGTCACGTAGGAAGGATAAAAGCATGGGTTGTGAGGAAACTTGTGGTTGTTTCATTTTGGGGCAGTCTTTAAAAAAAAACGTGGTGATGAGCCAGTAACACTAATTCCAGCCATGTTTTCCACCATGTAATTTGCATGTAGGCGTATTGTGAGTGTTGTATTCCTTTTCTTTCACACGGTGCATCCTGCGGACATGAAGATGAATAAGCGGGCGTAGAAAAAAGGATGGAGTTAATTGTCTGCGAAACCAATGCTGTTTTGGTTTTTTGGCTGACTTCATGATGGACCTAATGTTTTTAAAGGCACATTGACTGTACGATGAAAACTTCCTCAACATCTCTGCAGGTTTGAACCTCAGCAGCCAGATTAAAGGATGCCTGGTCACCTCATCAGCTGACAAACACGTGAAGATTTGGGACATACTGGGCAACAAACCCAACCTGGTGCACTCAAGGGACATGAAAATGGTAAGAATTTACAGCTTATAGACGTTACATTCTTTCACACATATCACTGAAGGGTTGTAATTGGTCGTAAGGCATGTCAAAGTCCTGAAGTTTATGGTTGTTGAAAGAGTTATAACAACATACTCTCCCACTTGTGAACAGGGTGTGCTCTTCTGTGCCTCGTGCTGCCCTGATATGCCCTTTGTCTACGCCTTTGGGGGGCAGAAGGATGGCTTACGGATTTGGGATATAAGTGATGTTGCAGCAGGTATGTTTTTTCTTTTCTTTCCTGTGTCCTTTTACTTCACACAATTTGTGCTGTTCATTGCAATCTTATTAAAAGTTAAATAATTTGTCACTTTTATTTGAGAAACATGTTCATTCCAATTACCTGTTAGGTAATATACAGTGCCTGATCTATTAATTATGAAGTCTGTTAAATTAATAATGCTTTGTTTGGCTTTAGTGGCTGAGGTATTTGGCAGTCGAGAGCGCCTGGTGGTGAACGCGGGATCGCAGGCATCCAGCGGTGCAGCGACAGCAGAGATGGAAGTCTTGTAGTGACGCTCTGGATGCATCAACAACCTGTAAACACGAATGAACTGTGGACACCTGGAAACGTACGAAGCTGCTCCGCTTGTTGCTGAGTTCCTCGGAGGGCAGCGCTTAGTACGTCGAAACACGAATTGGAGTAAACAAGGCTGCATTCGTTAGGGGTTTGAAAGGTTGGCCAGAATGCAAACTGGTATTAAAACGCCTGAAAAACTTGTTCAGCTTGTCTCTCTGCACAGATAATAACAGTGGCTTTGCACTCTTGAAGACGTCATGAGAAAAGACAAGAACATATTTCTTACGTTTATTCATATAAGTGAATATTTCCCAAGAATTTATTTTTTGTTTTTGAGTTTGGAAGCAGTGATTCAAATATTTTAATTGTTTTATATCAATTTGAGAACTTTCTTTCATTTTGCTTTTCTTTGTACATTTACAAATGAAACATGCTACCAAGAGTATTTTCACATGAAAGTGTGTCATCTACATTGTGATATTGCATACCTGGGTTTCCTGGTAATAATGAATGGTAAAATGAAATATTAAAAAGAAGCCTGGCCAAAGTATTGAAAAATAATAGACTCTCTGAAAAGCTGTATATTCAATAAATAAATACCATTTATAAAATGTGTAAACCTTCTGTTATTTGGAATCTGCAGTCCTCAGTTGGTGAATGACAGACAAGGTACATTGTGATTCTGAGGTCAAACCTGGTGCTGCAGACACAACATCCTCCTCTTAGATTTTTCTTGTTGTTAGGTCTTCTGTTTGTGGTGGATTTTTGGGGTCAGTTTCATAAAGATTATGACAATCCAAACAGCTAAAGCCTATTCAAACACTTTATTAACCATCAAAAACTTACTGAATCAGTACAATAAATAGTTTATATTAAATAATCCCTTAACTCCAGTTTGAATCTTGCTGTATGCCAGTTTAAAATATTGCCATCTGAAGCTGGGCAGGGTGTTAAATACTTAGAAACCATTTCAGTGGAGCTGAGATTTTTTGCCTTGAGGATACATTATCGAGCCCTGTGAAATAAAAATGGGAACAAAAATGTTTTTAATAATAAATGTGTTTTGATTAAATAAAGTTTTCAAATAAGATGCAAAAAAAGTGAACAGTTTGTTCATCAGTATAACGTAAAATGGCAGGATTGGGGAAAGGGGCTGGGTTTGTTTGACAGGTGGAACTCAAGCTGAGTGAGTCCGAGCGCTCAGACGGAACCATCATAGTGATGCACACCCGACAATAAGTGAGCATGGCGTCGGGTCACTTGTGCAAGCTACACGGCCTCTTAACGCGACTTTCCACCAGCACGGCGCTACGAAGTGCACAAAGTAAGTCCTGTTACTCTCAGTTTGAACGCAGTGTTTGTCGGCGGTCGACGTTAGTTCACCGGTTATATCCGGTAACGCAACGACGGTAGCAGTAGAAGCTAACAGGGGCTAACCTTGAGGATGTGTGTAGCTGCTTGGTAAACACTTCTGCTCCTAATAATGAGGTTTCCTCTCTCACACCTTTATTTTCTGAGAGAAATAATATTCTTTAGATTATAGCTACTTTATTGGACCCAGCCAATTTCGGTATCGTCCTCCATTAATGCTTAAAACCCACTTGTTGACTTGGTTCCTGGTTAATGTTAGCTTTCAAATGCGTTGTATAATATTTAGCCCAGAAGTTTGAAAGTTTATTTATTAATTATGTTAAATTGTATAATATCTGTGTGTTTTTTTGTGGTTTTTTTTGCTGCAGCATGTTTGGTGCCAGTGCGACAGATGTCCGGTGGTCCTATAATTGATGATAACTGGTATGTTTTTTTTTAAATAAGTGTATATCTATATTAAGTGTAGCTATGGCACTACTCCTGATATGGCATATGACTTTATTACATTGAATGAGAGGTAAACAAGGAGAAATAGAGGATGGCACAGAAGGGGCTGTAACTAATGTTATGAGGAGAAGGTTGTCACTGTTTTGTTGGTCTGCCTGTCTAAATGTACCTCTGGGGACACACTGGCACTTTATTAAGTTATAGATGCAAGCTGTGTCCTTCGCCTGTGTGTTAAAAGCTACTAATGATTATGCAAATTACTACATTTCAAAGAGTTTTTGTGTATTTTTGTAAAAAATATGAATCAAAGTATTGAATAAGTAAATGTGTGTGATCACAGGGCTCCTGTTCCATGTTCAGAGCTTATTATTATAAGTTTCTAAGATTTGATCAGGGTAATAACCTTGCAGTTTCTTTGATTTAGTGATGTGGAAATCGGTCTGACTTCAGATGGGAAAACCGTAGTGTGCTACCATCCCACTGTCGACATTCCTTATGAGCTCACCCAGGTAAGAGAGTGCTTTCATAAAGATCAATGTGTTTGTTCTCTAATGACAGAATCTACTGTTTGTTAGCTGATCTCACTGATTATGACTGTCACAGATGTACATCAGTTAGAAATATAATGGTAATATTAGTTGCTGGATTGTTAGAGATGAACATGTAATAAAATATGTAAGAGGGGGACCATGTAATGACAGTAAATCCTTGCAGCCTATAGAACGGCCGGACCCCGTGGCCAACCAGGCTGAAACCCACGACCAGGTTTTAAAGGACCACCTCGGCAAGGAGGGGCTGCAGAGCAACCAGGGGCCCTCTATAGAGGAGCTGAGCAAGATGTTTTTCACCACCAAACACCGGTGGTATCCAGTAGGACGGTAAGTACACGAGTGACACAGCGTTGACAAAGGACACTACCAGTACACCATTTCACTTTTTTTTTGCATTTACAGAAGTAATCTCTCGTCTCAAAGGCATTGCTGCTGTTTTGAGTTAGTTAGTTGATTCAGTGTAGCTGCAGAAGAAGACGAGACACCTGGTCTCGTCACTGACAAGAGGTCTGCAAGCTTTCCTTAGATCAAAACTTAGGTCTTGTGTCCACATAGTGTTTGTGTGATGTCTTTTTTTATTTGTTCCCAATGAGGAACAATTGAAAGAAAAAGAGAAAGCACTGCTTCCATCGGTTTGTGAGTTTTTTCCAGAATGGTGCTGGTGTCACCCTGGTAACCAAGAAAATGGAGGAGAAGCTTGTTCTGACACTGTCCCGAGCTTTATGAAACTATCAAAACAGAGACAGAAAACAAAAGTTCTCTACCACGTTTTGCTGTCATTTATGGTCGTGCTAGATTCTCTTTCTCTCTCTCTCTCTCTCTCTCCCTCTACTTATTTGGCTGAGGGCGGGGCTCAGTGCCTACACACACAGAGCACAGCTGGCAGAGGTGGAAACAGTGAACGGGATGAAGTGAAGGTGGTTGATGACGACTCCAGTAAAAAGTAGAAAAGCGATATTTCCACCTGCTTTGTTTCGCAGTTGTTGCTTTACACAACCACGGCACGTTTGTTAAACTAATAAGCAGATTGTTAGAAGGTGTCACGATATTGTCATAGAAACAAAATCCATGTGGGTTTTTTTTTTTTTCTCTCACTGGAAAAGTGCTTTATCCCAGCTCTCCCCAGCGTTTTTCTGCCAGACAAAAACCGCCATGTGGACACAGGCCCTTAAACAGGAGAAAGTATGACCTACTTCTTCTCCTAGCTCAGTATTGAATTCTTTAGCTTTGAATAGTTGTTCTCATGGCAGAATAACTTTTAAGTGTTTCACATGTTAACGTCATACTTTAGTATGGACACAGTGCTGGCTTATCAGGATTAGATCAGTCACTTTAGTAAGGACACTTGCAGCGTCTTGTAGTCATTTTTTATTTAGCTCTTCCACTGTACCTTATAGGTGTGTCCCTGCAGTGTAAATCTATAAAAGCTAAAAGAAAATCTGTCAGCTCATCAAAAAAATCCCTCTGTAGATATTGGTCAAAATGAATTTCCTCCTGTTTCACTGTTCACAGGTACCACATGGGACGCAAAAAGAAGGATCCTCCGAAGGACAGATAGTCGAAGGCCAAGGTTACGAAACAGGAAATGTTTGTTTTTGTTATTGTCACAATGATGTATAATAAACTGTTAAATATTAAGTCAGTTGTCATGAGTTTTTGTATCAGTGCTGAACAGTCATGTGATTTTGAAATCATACTTCATTACAGGTTATACTAGTGTTTGCTGAACTTCAAGATCTGTTCATATAGTTTAATACTGTGTTATGACATTACACACAGACTGTGTTTAATAGAGGATTTAATTGATTAAGATATTTGCTGCCAGATCGACCAGTGCATGTCAGCTGTCAGTGCCACTTTAAATGATATATTAATAATTGATTGCGTAATTAATATTAATGCAGCCTACATGTTGATTTGTATCTGAAGAGATGGAGTGAAGAAATAGTGGCAACTCCTTATTGAATTTGAAGAAACCACTAATGTAGTTGCTGTTCTGTGCCACAAGATATGAACAACCAAGAGGTTTTGAGGTCCTGCACGCCACAGCAAGATGCAGGCAGGTTTAAAACAATGAGATTAAAGAAAATGACCTTAAAATGTCTCCAAATGAGCAGATACAGACGAAAGCTGGTGTTCCAAACAATGTATTTTATTTTAATTGTTCTTTGGTGGATTTTGGAAGTTTATTGTGAATACTGCGGTGCACCTGCCACAAGCTGCTTCACAGTAAAAGCCTCTCAGCACAGGAACCTCTGGTGTACATGTACAGGGTAAAATACATGTCGGCTTATTCACACAAAATTGAACTGAAAGCGATTCATCTCCACAAGACCAAAGTGACTACATAAAATATTTAGATGGTCCTTTCGAAGCTTATTTTACCATGCCATACTCAACCCATATTATTAACTTGTTCTCATCTGTAGTCTCAGTACAGACTTTAAGTCTACTTGTAGAGCTCATATACAAATATAAGTCTTGATTTTTTTTACTTTAAAGTACCATGAAAAAGAGCATGTGGTTTTTACTAGGCAACACACATTCACTACAGAGGCAGAAACAAAAAGCAAAACTTTTATTACTTTCATTTTTGCATCTAGTGACTAATCATTTTTATTTAGACTTTTTTTTTTTTTATCCGGCAGAATGTTTTCATTTTCTATTTATCATAACAAATGTGTTAAACAGTGTAAATAGAAGGAATAATCCAATCTAATGAAAGTAAATATAGAACCAAAAGGTGCAATGTAATGACAACTTTTTATTTTTTATATACTCTTTTATTTTTATGTATTTTTTAGAGAGTTTTAACAAATATGTTAAGGCTTGAGGAAAACAAATAACATACTTTTGTGAATAAAAACCTCCCATATCATAACAATAATTCATAGTATAGAATAGTATATTTAACAGGACGCTTTAAATGTGGGATATTACACCTATAAGTTTTACTCCTGATATGGCATATGACTTTATTACATTGAATGAGAGGTAAACAAGGAGAAATAGAGGATGGCACAGAAGGGGCTGTAACTAATGTTATGAGGAGAAGGTTGTCACTGTTTTGTTGGTCTGCCTGTCTAAATGTACCTCTGGGGACACACTGGCACTTTATTAAGTTATAGATGCAAGCTGTGTCCTTCGCCTGTGTGTTAAAAGCTACTAATGATTATGCAAATTACTACATTTCAAAGAGTTTTTGTGTAAAAATATGAATAAGTAAATGTGTGTGATCACAGGGCTCCTGTTCCATGTTCAAAGCTTATTATTATAAGTTTCTAAGATTTGATCAGGGTAATAACCTTGCAGTTTCTTTGATTTAGTGATGTGGAAATTGGTCTGACTTCAGATGGGAAAACCGTAGTGTGCTCCCATCCCACTGTCGACCTTCCCTATGAGCTCACCCAGGTAAGAGAGTGCTTTCATAAAGATCAATGTGTTTGTTCTCTAATGACAGAATCTACTGTATGTGAGCTGATCTCACTGATTATGACTATGTCACAGATATAAGTTAGTAGACCATATTTAACAGGGCGCCTATAACATGACGAAAAAAAACGGAAGAATAATAAAAAATAAAAATTAATATTTATATATATTTTTTTTGCATATTTTCTTACGTCATCTGAAGCCACCGGAAGAGCCAGTTAACTATCCCCGCCCCGGCAGCTCACTCAATCCGACCCGAAGAGAAGGCGAGTCCACGGCTAAAAATACAATAGCTAACACAAGATGGCCGGTTTGCCTCGTAGGATTATTAAGGTACATTTCACACTGTATGTATACATATAAGATAACGAGCCTGTGTGTGAGTATTGAATCGATTATCTGGTGAGACTACGGACCGACGCTTTGCTGCCATCCAACGTGTAGCCTGACGTTAGCGCCGCTAGCACAATTAGCTCTTATCGAGCTAGTTATCGAGCTAGCTCGCTGGTCCGTGTCTGCGAGTGTTTTGTTTGCCACTTCCGTTTACTCCCGTCTGCTCTCATCTGTGCTCGTCATTTACACACAGGGTAGATTAAGTGTCGTGTTTAAATCGTAGTTCTCCCGCCGCCGTGTTGCTAATTCCCGGTATTAACCGACAAAATGTGACATTTTGTCCCAGTCGCCATATGAATGGATTCGCTAAGCTAGCAGCTGTAGCCTCTTTTTTTTTTTTTTTTTGTCATGTCTGACGCTGCTGTGTGTGTGTGTGTGTGTGTGTGTGCCCTTGTACTCTCCGTACATTTAAAAAGCCCCGCAGTAACGCCAAACATTACAGTAGTGCTTTATCTTGTGTGGAAAACGAAACGAAACATGAGGTTTTGGATGTAAGGCCTGTTGCGCTGCGGTCTCCTCCCTCCACCTCCACTGGGCCAGGCCCCGACGGTGGGCGCGATCAGCCCTTTCCGCCACATCTCAGCAGCTATCTCTCAGGTTTAGCAGGTTTTTTTTTTTTTTTTGCACAGCCAGTAAAAACATAAGAGGGTGAAAACACGACCCAGCTTTCCATTATGTGTGTGTGTGTGTTTGTTTTAAAAAGGATGAAGTGAGGAGTATTTACAGCGAGGTTTAAAGCTTTGCTGTTTTCGCTGCACCTGCTTGATAAAATGCAGAAATGTAGAAATTGTTTCACTTCCTCTTTTTGATCTCTGTCGTCGATCGTATCTTACTGTCGGACTATTTTATATATGTGTATATCTATATATCACACAAACTGATCATTTGCTACTGAATTCTTATAATAAAATGGACCATAACATAGTTTTAAAAACAGAAATAGTGACTGTTTTGATAAGTGTTTATTTACTTTAGCTATTTTTAAGTAAAAATGCTAGAAATGTGCTTTTTACAGTCTCTAAATGTGTGGGTGATAGTAAACAGAATATCATTGAATTTTGACATTTTTCATTATTTTATATACCAAATTGACTAGTTGATTAATGGATAATACTCACTGACAGGTTAATCTATAATGGAAATAAAGTGAGTTGCGGCCCTGAGTTAATACTTTTATTTAACTAATTAGTAAGGTTAGAAGTTATGTGTTTGTTTTGATCTAAATAAGTCATTGTACAGTTCCTGAGAAACGCTCCAGCCCTCCCTTACCTTTTTTTTTAGTGTCTGTGTTCAACAATAGCTTGAGGAATGTTGTTTTGTGTGTATGTGGGTGAGTTTGAAAGTGCGTGAGTGACTAAGCAGGGTGAAATTGTATGTCCTCAATCCTTTATATACTCGAAAGTCTGTTGTCTGCTGACACCTTCACAGTTCTTCTTACAGCAGTTTTTTTTTTCTTCTTTTACTCAGAAAAGTCAACAACAGTGTTTATGTATTTCTCATTCTGACCACACTCAGGAGACACAGCGGTTGATGGCAGAGCCTGTTCCAGGGATCACGGCTACGCCTGATGAAGGGAATGCACGTTACTTCCATGTGGTCATTGCAGGGCCTCAAGACTCTCCTTTTGAAGGAGGCACATTTAAACTTGAACTATTTCTTCCAGAAGAGTATCCCATGGCAGCTCCCAAAGTGCGATTCATGACCAAAATCTACCACCCCAATGTTGACAAACTGGGAAGAATATGTTTAGACATTTTGAAAGGTAAGAGAACATTAAGTGTTGATTGAATCAAAGACATTTTTGATAAGTACATATTTTTTTCTGGGTGGCATCAGTGCAGAACCACACTCGGAGTATATAGCACATTTTATACTCGCGTGGTTCAGTTTCAAACCTTGAAATTGGAAAATAAGAAGCGCCGTAAACAGTTAAAGCTGTAGTTGGTGACTTGTGACCAGTCAGAGGAAGGAAGTCTCTTAGTAATGACTTTTATGTCTGTCTGCCACACACACGTGATCGAGTTATTATTCCTAATGTGTTGGCAAGCCACTTCCTACTTCGTACAACGTCATGAACATCATGGGAACCCCAGTGCACTTTTGTTTATGGCCACAACTAATGAAGTCTATTACTTACTGGCCTTTCTGCAGATTAATCGTTTTGATTCTTAGCTGCTATATGCACCTCTTCCTTCATTAAATGCCTGTTTATGTTGTTTGCTGTTTAGTACTGGACAGGTATCGAACACTAGGTTTGTCAGATCTTGTTTAAGGGAAACTACCATACAGTCTAAAAGTGGGCCGATGACTAAAATGTGCACAGAGTTCAGTGGTTTTGGAAGTACTTTCAACTCTTTCACATTACACAGAGCCATTTGATTTAATGTTAATATAAAAAATATCACCCATTGGCATTTTACATTGTGCTGTTTAGTTGGACGTTGAGACAGTTATGTAAAAGTGTGACATTTTTATATTCAGGATGTAGTGATTATCCAGACAGGGAAGATTATTCACATTGGGACACAACATAAACACAACTAAATGTCACAACTTCACTGACACTGTAATTTTCAACTATGAAATCAAGCAAATGGAACAATACACCAATGTACCTTACATCTGACTGACAGGCTTAGATGTCTCACCCACAAGGTGCTAAATTAGCACAGATCACACCGTACACACCAGCAGTGTGAGGCATAGAGTCACATAGGCAGGTTTCATTATGACAGTAACCAGATTTTGATCACAAAAGACCAGAAATAAAAAAAATAAAATAAAAATGATATTCCTGTATGAGAAAAGCAGCTGGTTATGTTTACAGAAAGCCATCTCGTGGAACGAAGCCTTAGGAAGCAGATGTGATTACAGCCATTAAATCAAGTTTTGAGGTAAACAAACTCGAGGTGTTATGTTTATTTGGCAAGAGCCGAAAAGACAACAGGCGAGGGTTTGCCAAACTTGCTGTTATGTAATAAAGACTATATTGCAACAGACTGTAATTTGTATGCACTTAAAGTCTTTAATTTGCTCGTTTTATTGTTTTGATTCATTAGATTTACTACTGCCAGAGTTTGCCATTATCAAGTAGCCTTAAGATAAACTGGATGATTGCTGCTTGGCGTCTCTGTTACAGGCATGTTGTGGCTGCTTGGCCATCTTTACCCATGCCACAACGCTGTATCACCCTGGAGTCTCCCTTGTTGTTGCAAATTTGACCTTTATGCTGTAATTTTTTTCCCCTCTCTTTTTGCATGTTCTTCTGAACTTCTCTTCCAGATAAGTGGTCTCCAGCCCTGCAGATTCGTACAGTGTTGCTATCTATCCAGGCGTTATTAAGTGCTCCCAATCCAGATGATCCCCTGGCAAACGATGTTGCAGAGCAGTGGAAGAAAAACGAAAGCAACGCCATCGAGACAGGTGAGGATTACATTCGTATTTTCTTTCTCAACCCTCCTTAAAAAAAGGATCAGCTGGGCCGAACTATTTTACCACTGCCACAAGTGGTCACTGGTTACCAGTGGGAGAAATTCTCTGGTAAATGGTATCAATCATTAACATAGTTCTAGACCTCCAATTTGCAGCAAACACTTGATCTGGTGGTGTTCTCACGATGTGAAACAACCCTGTCAGCATCTCTGCAGTCGGGACCCAGTTGACAACATAATCTGACTGTAAATACACACAAATATGGCAGTAAACATGAATGAAATTGATGATGTTGAGCATAAATCTGTCCATTTAAGCAGTTTCTGCAAATGAAAGATGTTTTGCTGTTCTCCCAGAAAAGTATAATTGTTTTAGGAATCGTGTTTTCAATTGTCCCGGTGGGAGAATTGAGTGCTTGCTGTCGTTTGTCCCTTTATCACTATGTTGGAGGAGCATGTAAATGAAGCCGAGAGGCATGTCTTAATGGCTGGCAAAATGCCAGTTCAGTCTAAATATCAGGCTAAGCAGTAACCTCTAAATGTAATCCATCATAACGTTAAAGTTTTCTGTAATCCATCATAACGTTAAAGTTTTCTGTTCATCAAGCATCAGTTTTTGCGGCCTTATGTCTCCTGCAACTTCTCTGTTGTAATCAGTAGTTTAAATCAGTGAACCAAAACGTAATCTAAATGTGTTTCCTTTGTGACTTCAATGTTCACCAGCAAAGAAATTGAAAGAACGTGGCAGTGTTGCTGTGCGTTCAGGAGCAAGCTTAATTGTTTTGGATTTTTCAATCAATCATTTGTTTGAACAAAAATAGTGTAAAATGCCCCTCACCACCTCTCAGAGCCCACTGTGGTAACTTCAGATTGCTTGTTTTATTCGAAATAGTTCAGAATCCAAAGATATTCGAATACATAAATGTAAGATTTTCTCAGAATAGAGATTAGTTCATCGACAGCAACTGTTTTGATTATAAATTCATTGTTTTTAAGGATTTAAAAATGTTGCTCTAGCTTCTTACATGGGAATATTTTCTGGGTTTCTAAGTCTTTAATGATAGGAACGTTGCATTTGGGTTTTGAACTGCTGGTGGACAAAACAAGCAATTTGAATATGTGACCTCTGGCTTTGGAGATCTGTTTTCAGACTATTGAAAAGTCACTAGTCCATTTATCAAGAGAATAATTGGCAGATTTAGCAATAATGAAAATTATCATTAGTTGCTGCCCTAGCTGGAACAAACTAAACTTTCTGAACGATTATTTGATCATCAGAATTGTCAATGATTAATTTTCGGTTGACTGACATATTGCTCACCTTTCGTTTCACTTTCGTATTTAGAAAATATCAGGACATATCCGTTAGGCTGCCTCATGTTCCGCGCGTTTGTTTAAACATATCTGTGTAGACTCTGCAACGCTTTCCTTATCCACAGTCCTCCACCATATCACGCCCTCCACCACCATTTTATCTCTTTGTCTCTCCCCCAGCCCGAGCATGGACCAGGCTCTACGCGGGCAAAACTCCGTGTAGTAAATAGTAATACATCACAACATTTTATGTTTTTTTTTTTTTAAACTGGTATTGTACGGTTGGTGTATACAGACCTGTCTTGGCCTTTTTTCTTGGGTTTTCTGTTTAATGAAGCTTCACTTGTTTCTGCCATTTAACACTCTACACCAGTTTGTCAAAGACGAGCTGAGTCTTTCTCTCTGTTGTATCTCATGGGGGGGGGGGGGGGTGACCACCACAACCTCACTGTGATAACTCCAGATTGCCTGTTTTGTTTGAATAACAATCCAAAACCCAAAGATATTCAAGTTAGAATGTCAAAACCATTTAAGATAATAGTATCTGTAACCAGAGATTAGTTCATTAATAGCAATTCTTTTGATAATTAGTTGTTTTAACACTTTTTTAAAAAAAGTAATACACTAAAAAGCTTTTATATTTAAATATCTTCTGGTTTAGATAGGAAACTGAATACCTTTGGGGTTTGAACCACTGGAGGAGCAAAACAAGCAATTTGAATATATCTGCTTGGGCTTTGGAGAACTATTTTCTGAGAATTGAAAGACTGTTACATCATTAATTGAGAGAATAATTGGCAGATGAATTGATCAGGAACATAATCTTTAGCTGCTGTCCTAGCTGGAACCATCAAAACTTTGCTTGATTAAATTAAAAGTAAAACTTCATAATCTTCAATGACTTTAGACTGCCTATTGTTCTGGGAGCATCTGTGTACACTCTGCAACACTTTTCCTTATCCACAGCCCTGTGCCATCCCTCACCCGCCACCATTTTATCTCTCTGTCTCTCCCCCCTCCCCAGCCCGAGCATGGACCAGGCTCTACGCGGGAAACACTGAAGTATAGAAGAAGAGAGACGAGGCGTCTGAATGTGATCCACAAAAATGTACTCCTATTCTGTCAACATTTGAATTTAACGGACACAAAAAAAAAGGAAAAAAAAAAAAGATTATAAGTCCAAATCTATTTGAAAGAAATGACGAGATTTACTGCTGCAGACCTCTGGGTGACTTATTTTCCTCTCTAAAACGCGTTAAGTGTGTGTTAACCTTTTTTTTTTTTTTTTTTTTTTCCTGTGTTGCTATTTAAATGCATGGACAGTGAATGACACCCTCCCCACTACAGTCTTAAAAATAACATGCAATATGTCGTCCTGAACCGGACACATACTGGTACGTTTGCAAAAATATACATTAAAGCTGTTCTTCTTTTAAACACATGCATTTTTTGTCAACACATCTGTATGTCTTTTTGTGAGAGATGACATGTTCTGTTATTTCAACACATAGAGAGTACAGCTGTCTTTTTCTCCCCACTAGTAGTACGCAGGTGAAAAAAAAATACCAACACGAATGATGTTTCTCTTTACTCTTTTTAGGGAAATGCAATGAATTTTTTTGGAAAAATATAGCCCTTACATTCAACAAGGAGGTTAGTTGGAATTCCACTCCCGTGTGTCTGTGCATACCAACACGTCACAAACACTGAACATTAAGTCGGTGGTGCAGCTACTGTAGTTCGGCATCATCTCAAGAGCACACGGGGCACTTAATACTGAGCACAGAGGTGAAACTCTTTCACAATGTTTTCATCGCACAGCAAAGACGATCTTTATTTGTACAATTTGACCATTAAGAAGCAATTTTAAAAAGGGTTCCACGCAGGAAGTATCTCCTCAAAAAAAAAAAAAACCCAAATCCTTCCAGAAGACACTTTCTGTAACTGCAGCACAAATCAAGTTTGAGAATTAGACCACTGAGAAAACAGGAGGAGGAACATTTTCATCCACAGATATCTGAGGGACGTTTCATTCCAATGTTTTTACTGTAAAATAAACCTGAACACGCCCTGAAGGTTGCTGTGTATCTGCCAAATTTGCCGGTAGAGAAACACATAGTACTGAGCAGCCATAGCTAACGTTTAAAAGCAGTTTAGTCCATGGCTAGCGTCAATTTGTGGCCCCAGCAGATGTGATTTTAGCGCTTCCTTATTTACATCTTAACATTGGTCTTAGTTTGATAGAAAAGACTGAGTTTTGTTTGATTAGCTGCCTGATTAGGTGATTGATTGTGCTTCTAAATAACCCAAAAATGTAATATTTGTTCTTTCAACGTTGTGTCAAGCGGTCCGTTTGGCAGTAGTGTGACATTTTGCCACATCTTTAAAAGTTTCCACACTTTAGTCTCAAGCTGTCGGTGTAATGTTTGTTTCATCCATCTGTACATGTTTCAGTTAAACCCTGTTTTTGGACAGTTTGGGGAGGGTGAGCAGGTTACTTCCACACACTTGAGAAAAAAAGCCATTCCCAACACATTCAGGAAGGTAGAATGACGCAAATTCTTTCGTGTTGAAAAGAAATTGTATGCATGTTGTAGCAGACTACTCAAATGTGTTGAAAATGTCCTTTTTATTAAGGGTGTAGGAGCTGTTTTTTGTTTTTATTTTCATTTTTTTTTTTTTTTAAACTGTCTGTCCATGCTATCTATGTTGCCTGTTCTCTTATTTTATTTTCAGTGTTACTTCATTTAAAAAAAAAAAGGCATGTACCATAATCAAACTGATATCAGGACAGTTCAAACTAGTTTTCTTCAGGGTGTTAGTGAGAGTTGAAGTGTCGAGTTGTCTTTAAAGGGAAAGTTGAGGCTTTTTTTTTTTTTTTTTTTTACATTTTGTCGTCAATTACAAGGTTGTTTTTTTTCACCGTGATTTTTCCTGAGTTGGTCTTTCCTGCTTTTTGCTCTTTCCATCATACTGATCTGTGATACATATGCAAGTGAATTTAATTGATTGGGTTATTGTGGTAGCAGAAAATAAGTGATATTACAAATAAAACGTATTCAAGATTAAAGGTTCTCACCAATGCTATTACAGATTCTCTATTGGCTCAAAGAAATTGCACACATGGAAAAAAAGATTTCTAAAAAGCCTTAAGCTTTCCTTTTTAAAGCTGCTGTGTTGATGGGATCAGACTCGAAAGGCTCATCGGCCCGTAACTTAGTCCCTCTGTGATCATATTGCTTCTGTATGGCTCATCTGAGGGAGAACTGTAACATGTTGTAGTAAAACTATTTTTGTTAAGCCTTCTTTTTTTGGTTGATCTCTTTTTTATTTCTTTTTGTTGCTCTTCATTAGAGTATCGCAGGCTTGGTGTTGCTTAGATTTGTTTGTGTCCTGTCCTCGCCCAGAATTATTAACCAACTGTTTCTAACTGCTACATTTACTCAAGTCTGGAAAGATGAAGCACGGCTTAAAACCTGGTTAATTTATTGTTTCCCTGAGGGACTTGACAGTAATCTAAACCAAGAAAACAGTCACTCACTGGATTTTTTTGAAGCATCTAGATCAAAATATCGAGAGATCAAACTCTGATTAATCAGCTCCCCATGTGTAAAAAAAAAAAAAAAAAAAAAAAAACAATGAAAAAAGAAGAGTTCTGTCGGTAATTTCAGTACACTTGCAAACATGGCTCTTCAAATACTCTGTAAATAAACTGAGTTGAGTAAGTAAGCACAGGCTCGTCTGGTTTATGTTGTGTGCAGTTTATGTTCCCCTGAAGGAGAGGCATTACAGCCGAGATTTAATTAATGGAGGGTGGTTGCGCTATCGTTTATGTCTTGCAGGAGTTTGCATCTTGTTCTTATTCGATTTACTCTTGACAGCTTTTTAAGGCGACCATTTGATACGTTTTTTTTTTTACTTGCAGCCCACAGAATCTGATTTAGGTGTCTGGGGTGTTGTTCAATAAAGGTTTAATCAGGGCGAGCACGAGCACATAAACGTTTTGCATGGATGGTATGAAGCTGTGAAGCATCCCTGAGCCTGCCAGAGAGAGAGACACACACACACACTCTGACACTGAAAAAATCCTACATTACAGGGTTTTTTTGTAGAAAGTAGAGCTGTCCATGTCCAGCTGAGGGAGGTATTGACACTTTTAACAGTAGTGACTCACAAAATGCAGTTCTTGGTGTATTGTATCCTAGGACATACCATTAACCAATGCCATATATTATTCTTTATTTGGTTTTAAAGGACCATTAAAATAGGCAAAAGTCAACATGAGAATACATATAAAACTCATAAATGAAGAAATGCATATAATAACAATTAGTAGCATGAAATTACTCTCCATAGCAAGAACTCATTCATGACTCCTGTTTTAACACTGGTTTAAAATAATTATATTAATACATTTGAAGTTCTGTGGGTAATGAGTTCCTCATATTGAGCCCCTGAAAAGAAAAAGCCATCTATAAAAATTAGGATTTACAAAATAGCTCCTTTCAGTTCCCCAAAGTTTGTGTGGTAATTTTAAAATTTAATAAAATCCTGTAAACTTATGAACATGACAGTGGTGGGATTTTTCCTACCCAAATGTTTCATCTTAAACTATATATAGTGTTTATTCTACCAGTGATACAGGAACTAAATGATGTGAGGGTTCCCAGGTATGCTACATGAGTTCTTAACACTTGACATAGAAAATAAAATCATCTGCTGCAGTTTGCAACTCTTATCCCTCCATGACATCTGGTTAACAACTGCTGCCATAAAGGAATATTTTCCCAATTTGTAACGAATAGACCCTTTTCACAGCACACATTTTCACTTGTCATTGGAAAATAAAAGCTGTGAAATACGTTCGTAATATGTAGAATCACCTCTTAATACTTACTGTTTCATTTAAATACCATTAACTGTATAACAGTGAAAATGTTTACATCTAACCACTATTAATGGGATTAAATAATTATTCATTTGTTGTGCAATTTCAAAAGCTTGATTTTATGTTTTTTAAGTATCTAAAATTCAGGTAGAAAATTCAGCTGTTTGATGTTCAAATTACATTCAAGCTGTTCCAACTCCAAATCATTTTCAGGTGTAAAAATTCAAGCCAAAAAAATGTAATTGCCCAAATCCACTGTTTAAAAAACAACTGTGTGCCTAGTTCACCTAATGAATGCTGAATAATGTTATTCACTTACACCTGTGCTTTATGTGTGCAGTGAAAATTGTCCCTTTTCTCCTGCTGTTTCCATAAAATCTCACAAGATGGCGCTACAAGCAAATGTTGTTGCTAGCACAGAGGTACACCTCAGAGAAACCTGTGTTTGCCTTCATTGGGATGTGTTCCTCCTCAAGGTTTACTCTGAGTTCTGTTGGGTGCTGGGAGGTCACAGGGGTGAGTCAAGATGGCTGGTTAATGGTTTTACTCCCTCTTTACTACAGCGGAGGCACCTGTCCTCAAAGCCTTTTTTTTTAATGTTTCCTCACCAGAAACTAAAGGTTTCGCAATATTTTATGATGATGGCTTGGTTTATATGGCGACAGTGAGCCATTCAAGCTGGTATGCAGCCATTATTTGAGTGGAATTGCAGGAAATGATTCCCCTCAGTATCTGAAATATCTGACGAAACATTAACTAGTCCCAGAGGTTGTTGTTGTTGTCTCCGGAAAGAGGGTTGTTATTGCGCTCCATCCTCTGGTTGAAGTGGTATTTCTATGTCTTAGTCGGTCAGTTTTAACTTGACACATTTCATATTAATAAATATGAGCTCACGTGTGAGCCGCTGCTGGTACAAAAAGATTACATGTTCACGTAAATGCTGATTTAGGTTGATAATGATAACAATGTGTAGGGATATTGTAGTTTAATCTTAAATGGTTAACCTCAAATCTCTTTGTGAGTCATCTATTCAGACTGAATATGGGTTTGACCTAGCATTATTTACATTTTATATTGATATTACTCTTCAGTCAATAATGTATATTTTCCATAATACTTAATGTTAAAGAAAACAACAAATGTATAGCCAGGCAGCCTCTGTAGCAAAGGGATTTGAAGCCAGGCAACTGTGGTAAGGACGCAGCTTTGGTACATGGTGTCAGGACATCCTGCTTTTAGGGTCTATTCAGACTAATGGACGGATATGATTTGAGTGATATTGATCTCTCATCTAACTATCTGCCAGCAAACAAATGTCAAACTATTTCTTTAAAGTAGCCTGTTACTGTTAACCCAATGACCAAAAAGGTCAAACATCATAAAGAATATTGCTTCCCCCAGTGTACAAACAATAGGCTATGACTGACTTCTTGATACCGGATTGCCAAAATACTAAAAAGGTAAACCGATATGGATGCAAATGTCTGACCTCCAGTACAGTGTAATTGATCATGTAAGCATATGACAATACAGAGTTACAACTACAGTGGTTACTGCCACAGATGAGCCAACGCACTAAACATAGCCCTGCTCCTCCTCTGACAGGACAGATCATCTCTCGCTGTGATTGCTGACTGCAGGTGAAAACACTCTGTAGTCACATGTCGGGGATGTTGAACCGACAGTTGACGACAAACATCCTGTTTTGGCTGTTGTGTGTCATCGGCGTCAGCGTTTATTTGAAGCCTGTTGGTCAGTAGTTGTGGTGTACGGTGGGGTTTTTGAAGTTTAGGTTGTGTTTGTTAGAGAGAGAGAGAGCTGATGGTTGTACGTTCAGGTTTTTCTGGTCTTCCCTATTACCACTTTTTCTTTTCTCATTTTTTATTTCCTCTGCTCATTTCTCGTAATCTCTAATTTCCTTTTCTCATCTGTCCATCCTCTCCCCCTTTCTTTTTTCTTCTCCACTTGTTTCCCTCTTCCTCTCCTCTCGTCTTCTCTTCTCTCCCACTCCTCTCCTTGCCCTAGTTTCTCCCTCTCTTCTCTTTCCCCCCTTTCTTTTCTTTCCTCTCCTTTCATCTCCTTCCTCACCTCTCCTCTTCTCCCTCTTTTTCCTCTTTCTTCTCTCTCCCCCTTTTTACCTCCTTTAATTTCCTTTGCTCCTTCTCTCCTCTCCTTCCTTTCCAACCTCTCCTCCCTCCCTCTTTCTTTTCTTTCCTTTCCTCTCCCAACTCCCTTTCTCCCTTTCTGTCTTCCTTCTCCTCTCCTCCCTTCTTTCTCCCCTCTCCTACCCCCTCTCTCATCCCTCCAATCCCTCTTCCTGCGCTCTCCTCTCCCCCTTTCCCTTCTTCCTTTCTCTTATATCACTGTATCCTCCCTCTCTTAACCTCTCCTTCCTTCTTCCTTCCCTCTTTTCACCTCCTCTCTCCTTTCCCTCTTCCTCTCACTTCCCCTCCTCTTCTTCTCTCTTCTGTCCTCCCTCTTTCCTCCCTCTCTCCTCTTCGTCCCACTGCAGAAGAAGTGGAGGGGGACTGCAGTCAGAACCCTCTCACCTGTTGCCTCCTGATGTTATATAATCATCCTTATTACTCTCCCATGCGTAAAAAACAAAAGTCTGCCAGCCTGAAGGGAATCCCTCCTCAGACCACAGCAGCTACCTGGATCCACTTCAGTCTCCTTCTGTATCTCTATGGCTTTATTTAAGAGTAAGATTAGGTAAAGGACGTTCTCTATCACAGATGTTATACAAGACAGCTGCAGTGGAATACTAATACAGCCAGGCAGTGCTAAGTATGCTGTAAATAAGCTTTTTCAGCCATTTTTAGAAGTTAGGTATAAAGCAATAAATCCTGTCCGATTCCTCACTTTGCCTTTTATTTCTAAGCTTGTGATAGAGTCACCACATGTCACAGCTGTGCATGATATAAAAATAGTATTATGTTCAGGGGTTTTATTTATTAGTAGTTTTATATTTAGCCTGAGAAATGTTTCAGGATCATATTTATGAAATACAAATCATGCAATCTGCCCCACAGTATATGCGATCATGATCTGTAGATATTCAACGTGCTGCTTTCAACCCGATCTGTGCGAGCCCGCTCAAATTAATTCATAAAGGTTGTAACACAAGTACGCAGGATATTAATACGACAGTTAGAATACATACTAAACAGAGATTAGGAAGTATACAATAAGCAGTGTAACCAAAAAAGGTAAACTGGAATGATTTGGATTTAAAGCATCTCAACAACTATCGGATGAATTACCATGAGATTTTGAAGCCATTCATGGTCCCCAGAGGAGGAATCATATTCACTTTGTTGGTCTTCTGACTTTTCATCTACTGCCACTAGCACTGATTCAGTTAAATAGCTTGGCATCCATTGTTTAGAACATTTGTACGGACATTCATGGTCCCCAGAGGATGGATCCTGATGATGTCTGGTGATTCCCTGGGTCCTCCTCTAGCGCCAACTTGAGGTTCATACTTTTTTGTTTTATTAAAAAATATCTCTCACTTGATGAATTGCCTTACTATTTTGTACAGACATTTGTGGTCCCCTCAGGATGAATTGTGCCATTGTGCCATCATCAGGTCAGCAGGTTCAATACTTTGGTCCCTGAATAGCTGCTGTACTCGCGTGTTCAGCACTAAGTGGCACACGTTAACATGCTAAATTAAGCTGGTCAACATGATAAACATTATTCCTGCTAAACATCAGCATGTTAGCATTGTCACACAATCGATTTTACAATTCCTGGTGGTTTATACAGTAGTAAACTGTGTTTGGTGATGGCGGGGATTCCTCTTCTGCTCCAGTGGGTTTTTCATCCTTAGCGAGAA